TGGTGGACCATAGAAGAGTGCCTTGGGACTTGGTATGAGTTCCGGGAATAGTTGATAAATCTCTTTAGAGTCTAGCAACAGTACTACTAGTTTCTTGAACTTAGTAATTGTGTCACAGATACGAACAGTAATTGGTCACCTGCTTCACAGTAGACTGTATCTTATTACAAAGAAATTACAACGCAATGATTATTTGTGTTTTGCCGTTAATAGTGTATATCAGTTGTTTCGAAGTCTGTAAGCAGTGTCGTGGCTCATAATTGGGCGGTTTTTTACGAACGAGAGACCTTTATCAGTTTATAGAGAAGTATTAGGTTGTTTTTCAAACGACGGAGCCATATAGGTGCTAGGGAAAGATGTTTGCATCTTTCCGTGTAGTTGACGTTATGGCTCCATCCCAGCAATCACCGGATTGAGCTTCTTTGGACATTTTCTACTCGTATCTTGTCCATGATACTCATGTTTGAGAACATAAGTGAGCAGTATTCAAGTGAGGGCCTTACACACATTTTGAAGAAAGTAAGTTTAGCCTCACTTGTCAAGAAGTTCTTATTTATAGACCAAATTAGTCGTCTGGATTTAGAGATAATAGTTGAGGCACGTTCTTCGAATTTTAGGCTTCTGGAGTAACGGGTACCCAGATCATGCGCTGATGTAACTGTGTGAACCCTAAATTTTTGTAAGTAGAGTGGTATATCATGGTGATGCTTACTAAAATGCATGATGCCACATTTGTTATGGTTAAACCGCAGCTACCATGTTTCGCTCGACGTAGTTAAGTTATCAAGATCATTCTGAATCTTGGCTATATTTCAGTACAGATCTTCAGGCTTATAGCTGTATACTATTTTCAGATCATCAGCATATAAGTATGCTCTTCCAAATCTTATGGAATTACATATATCGTTTATTTACATCAGAAACAAGAGTGGACCTAATGCACTTTCCTGGATGACTCCACTGATTATTGCTCTTGGTGATGAAAGACAATCGTTGTACTTAACAATTTGTTGGCACCCATCTAGGAATGAAGCAAACCATGAATGTAGTGGGTTACTGATTCCGAATGAATTTAGTTTAAGGAGAAGCTTTCTGTGTGGGACCTTATCAAAAGCCTTCTTAAAGTCGAAGAAAAGGACAGATACTAGAAACCGTTTGTTTTGTTTATGCGTAATATCATTGAAGTAATCTAGCAGGCATGTGTCACACGACCTAGTCCTCAAGAACCCATGCTGCGAAGTCGATATCAGATTGTTACTAAGTAGATGTTGTGTTAACTCTGCCCCAGATAATACTAAAGTTATGTTTAGGGGTCAGTAATTTTCAATATTCGCTGTAGACCCAGATTTAATTTTTGGGATGATATGTGTAGTCTTTCAGTTACTGGGCAACACTCCGTGAAGAGTGATATGGTAAATAATTTAGCAAGAATATCAGACAGATCACTGCTCCCATTTTTCAGCACGCTGGCTGGGATACCATCTGGTCCTTCAATGTAAGAGTGCTTCAGAGTAGTGATTGCCTTGGAAAAGTTTTGTACAATAAATTCAACACTGGCGATTTCACACGAAGAAATCTATGATGATAATATTTGTATTTTGTTATAGTTTCTATTTTTTTGTACCTTTATTGGACTTTCTATGTTTTTAACTGAACTGTATTATGTTGTTTAAACTGATACTTAATTGTGGCGTCAGCCATATCGGATTCGATACTCTGGCGGGTGAAAACTGAACCTGGACTGGAAGGGCGCAATCTTGGACCCATACGGATGCATTCTTCCAGAATTGGAAACACATTGTGTTAAAACTGAAGGAGAGCAGTGTAATATTGTTTTACGTAACTATGTATACCTTTTATTTGACAATAGAGCCGTTTCTTACCCAGATAAATTGCTTTCTTGTCGAAATATTCGGGAAAGGCGCATATGTATACTTCTAGAACTGTTCTTCCGAATTCAGAAGTCACTCTAAAAAAAAACCTTACACCTGATTCAATAATCAAATAAACGCAACACTTGAAAATAGTGGTGACATTTATTTGTAGTATCTTAACAGTAACTCTGAGTAGTAACACCATGACAGTGAATGCTACCTGAACATGTATGTATAGGTCTAACTTTTAAGGGGTTTTCTGTGCGAATGTTCCTAGTTTAGGAAATCAGTGTAGCCGACCATTATTATTGGTAGATAAACTGAATCTGCTCATCTTCGGTGTGATGAAAACTTGGTTATTTCATATCTAGGATATCACTCCTGTATAATCTGGGTAATAGGAACAGATATTGGAAAAGGAGTGAGGATTATAAATAAAAAGCTAACAACACGAACACCCGTTCCTATTCTTGTGAACGCCATGACAGTGGAGCTTACAAAGTCCTTAGTTTAGCAGATGCTAGCCTCTCTAGTCTCGTAAACGCAAATGCAGATATAGGTGGGTTGAATGAATGACTTAACTTATATTTGGAAGAGTGATGTTTGAAAACACAACGATTATGTCGAAGACCTTTAAACGTTTTACTAAAGTAGTTCGTACAAAATTTAAAGAAACGACATACTTTTATTCTTCTGTGTAGTTCGGTATTTTACAATATTGATAATAGTAGTTACTGTAGAATCCTAAAGTGGGGTTGGCACTTAGGAATAACTATTCAGGAAGTTTAAATACGCGTCTTGCCCAGTTTAAATCCAAAACAAGTGATCTTGGTAAGTAAAGGTTCTATTATTAATCGTAAATATAAATATACATCATTACCCAAACAATATTATTACTGTTATTCCTTCAATGATAACATAGAGTGTTTCCAGTTCTGGAAGAATGCTTCAATTTCCAATCCAAATTGCACGCTTCTAGTCCGTGTCAGTGCTCCAACCGCCAGAGGAACAAAATCAATATAGCTGTCAACATAATTAAGTATCAGCTTAAACAACATCGTGCAGCTCGGAAAGAAACATAGAAACTCAAAAAAAGCATAAAAAATAGAAACTTTAATAAAATACAAATACTATCATCCCAAAAAGGAATTGAACAGATTACCAAAATGTAGAACTGAAAGAATTAATAAGGACATTTTACAAACGTGTATGTGGAAGGATTTTCCTAAACAAAGCCTTCCGAAACGGATCGTACAGTTACTATTATTGTTCAAGTATCAAATACCATTTATTATTCTTGATTAAAAATTCACATCCCTGTAGAAGGTCTGTCCCAAGTTTTGTCAGATCTAAATTGATTACAGTGAGCACTCAAAGGGGATGTCATTTAAGATACAAATCTAGTGTCCCAGTTTTCCATTCTCATGTCACGGTTTAAGTTTTTTTAAAAGGGGCATCACCTATGTCTATCAAACATTCAAGACCGAATCCCGACCAATAACACAAAACAGTTTATTGTTTAGGCAGCTCTACCCATGGATTATTCGTCTCCCATAAATCTAGGAGCCTATTTAGGCCAGACGAACGTGACTTATACATTTGTCACTGCGTTAATCAGTTAGTGAATTCACCATGAATGAGAACAACTTCGATTAAAATTACTTTTCTAATTTCATCATTCTATTATAGTTGGGAGATGTACGAAAAGTCACTGTCTAATAACCGTACTGATTTTCTTGGAACATATCCAACTAAACTCTACATGATGATACTCATTATATTGCTGTAGGCTATGCAACACAACGATCTTCATCAATTTCCGCAAATCTATTGTCTTCCATGGACCGGAACCGAATACAGCCAAATTTCCAAGGTTTTAAATAGCATCCATACGATACAACAATTGAAAAGTAACATAACGGAAACTGGTTACTGTAGTATGATCTTGGTCCCTTTAGTTATAAGTTTTTTTAGTGAAGGACAGTCTGAAGATTTCTGTATGAACATTTGAAGTTCGTCTGAAATTGTTAACCATGGTGATGCTACCTAATTCATTTGTAAGGAATATTTATTGTGAAAAAGATTCTTACCGGGAGAAATTCAGTGTCATAAAATCCAAGCCAGAAAGCGATGTTTCAACCTTTTGTACCATTTGTTGAGATTTAAGTAATCCTGCCCCACTTTACTGAAAATGTTACATAATCTGCAAGCTGACGAAACCGAATATATCTCAATGGAGCAGTATAAACGGTGGTGGATAAATGAGATTCATAACCAGGATATTTTATCTAATCAGGCAAGTAAATAGCACCACCATATCAGTTATACTGACAAACACCATTTTTCCATGCCGTTCCATGCAGTCGAACGGTTGAATGTTCTAATGAACTTTCTAGAGCTTCTTTAATCTGACTCCTGAACACCGCTCCCTAATATATCCTCAGAAAGAGATTTCCGTCTAATAACCACAGAAATCATAAGTACCAGTTAGCTAAGGGGTGCATCTAAAGCCAATGCAACCCTTCAGTTAATGTGAAGACAACTTGGTGCAGTCATCCCACAATTTTTCTTAACTCTCTTTAAAACACGCTCGCTCACACAGTGAGGTTCACAATATCATCACACTCACTCTCCCTAAAAGAGAAATAAATCTTCTAGCTCGAGTGCAGAGACGAACATGAGGCAGGGTTTGAGACTAGACCTTAGGAAGTCAGATTCCAACATGAGATTATTATCACAGCTATAGGAGAACCAAAGGTGATCTGATAATCTCAGACAACATATTAAGCATACCAAATAATCCCGTAGAAAAATGTCACATCAAATAGCAGCGCGATCGAGTGGCTAGATATCCAATGGACACAAGCAAGTACTTGGATTCATACCGAAAGAACAAGAATTGAGCGCAAAGATATCAGCTGGTTTACATTAGGATATAGTATTTTTGATGTAACCGCTGGGTTTTATCAACAAACGTCTTTGTAAGAATCTTTGACCAAGAGAAGAGATGTTTATGGTTAGAATTAGCGTTGTGAAACTGTCTGACTACTCTTCCTTATGATGACTGAAGAGATGCCAGGTGCAGTCGCGCGCAAGAATTATTAAGGTCACTTTGTAGGTAGAATTAAAGAGCGCAACTTTCGAACTATCTAGTCCTTATCGTATGTGGCCACTTACGGCCTGCCATGCATGTTGGGATTTGTGAGATGTGTAATTGGAGCAGCAGAATTTTATCGGATCTTTGTAGTACTTGGAATCCTACCCTTGGTTACATCTAACGAGGCTTTAAGTGGATTGTTATCATCAAGTACATCGAAAGATAAAAGGTAATTTTATTCTCTGTCGTAAATATCAGCGGTGTGAATTTACTTGATATTTATGGAGCTCATTTTGAATCATGTTACTTTGTTCTTGGATTAATCTTGAAACGAAATTCCAAGTTACTGCTGATCTGATAATCATACAGCATAACTTGTTAATATCCCTCTGCATATCAGTATGATGGATTATTATTAAACTGGTTAAAAATGCAGATTAAGCTTATGGCGCCTAAAAGTAATTCACTTTGGCGTTCCGATTTACGTTGGACGAAATATGTGCTACGTACATATCTCAAAACAGTTGCATACAAGCTGAAGTCAGATTTCATTATTCGATATAAATGATTTGACTTTTTATTCTTGCATTGCACTCTTAGTTAACCTTCATCGTTGTGGATCTACACTTTCTTAACTATATAGTAATTAGTTATTATTTCTGTCGTAGCATTCCACTCAGATTTTCAAACAACATTTTACATAATAAATGTCAGTTATTTCTGACGGAACTAAGTCAGAGAGTTCCAAGAAGCTTGAAATGCATACCTTTTTGTGGGTTTAAGCAACTTATGCTTGGACACTTATATGAACGGATTCAGTAACGAGGACCATAAGGTCAATGGTTATCATTACCTATTTAAACTTTAAAAAATGGTCAGCGTTAAAAAGTTTTCCTTTAGCTTTATAAAAAGTCTTTGAATTCTCGAGAATCTATAGTGTTTTACAAACTTATCTTGATGTCTGTGATAAACTCTAATGTGTTTTTGTTCTCGTCAAATCCAAACGAACAATCCCATTGTTTTTTTTTGTGTGGTATTTTTTTGTCATCACTGAGAATATCGTCCTCATTATAAATATGCAAGCGTAATTTAACTTACCAATCCCAATTTATAGCAGGTCGATCCAGCCTCTACACTTAAGTTATAAGTTATTTCTAATACATGCGAATATTACCTATTTATTAAAATTGTTTTGAAATACCAAGGGTTTAATTTATTCTCAAGGTATACAGGCCTAAATAAAAGCTATAGTCCCGCCTTTTATCAGTAAAAGTTAAGAAAAAATCATGAGTACCATTTTCGCAATCAGTCAGCTACAACGTAGAACTTCGTACATACGTACATCAGTTCAGGTTGCTATACTAGACCAGCACATATCATAGTAGTAGAGGTTGTAGAATTATTGAAAGTAACTGATCAGACTAGGGCTTGGAGATATGGTTCTTCTAGAAGTGTAATCCAGTGAAATGAATTTAAAAAGGAAAAGGTCTTGAGGGATTGAGATTAGAATTTTAGAGAGGACAAAGAGTGGGTGCATCCACCCCATTGCAAACCATTTCGAGCCATGTCATTCAAAGTCTCTAACAACTGGTTACTATTGTAACATGGACCCAAATAGGTAATATACACGTAACATGACTCAGTCCACTTGTCAGTGACTGGGGCATATATAACACGTGTCTCAAACACTTAAATTGATCAAGATTCACTACTTCATCAACTTATCTGCCATCCTTACCTAGTATCCTTTTCCTAACAATATTGCTTACTCGATTGTCCTGTGATATACGAGCAATGATTTGAAGACACCTATGATCGAATTTCAGTAACCTACAAATATCCTCGCTTCCCAGTGGCTAAGTTTCATACCCGTATAGTAGAACGGAGTTAATTGGTCCTCACCAAACTCACCTTTTGGTTGGCAGACGGATATCTCGCCTACGCCATAAACGACGCAAGTCGGCAAAAGCCAGTTGAAACTACTTTATCCGTGCAGATTTCGTCAGGTATTAGATCATCAGGACTGAAAAAACTGTTAAGACAAATGAACCGATCAATACGCTCAACTACTTCACCCCTTATCTTTAGTTCAGGTGCCGATGCAAGCCAATCCTGAAGCGACGTTTTTCATTTGGAGGGAGAAAATCGCATCCCGACCATACTTGCATTGTATCAGCTTAATTCTTCAGATTATCCAATCCTGTTGAGAGTACATAAACAAAAACAAATGGAAGTAAGTACAAAAAAACCAAGGAAAGGACGAAGAAAGTAGATGAAGATTGATAAAACATTCAGGACCTAGATTAAAAGAAATACTAATTCATCTACACTTTTTGACAGATTTCATACTATATTCCTTACCTATGACTTCTGTTGTTCTTTTTTGCCCTTTACGAAAGTCACACTTCTTTAAGACTCAGAGTCGACAGTGGAAGACCATTACGAAGAGTTGACCTATCATGTAATCATTTTTAGTTTTCTCTTAATTCAACTTAATTTCAGTCCAAATCTTACTATTACTAAGTAATGGCCTAATATTGCCTAACACGTAAGGTAATTGCCTCAATCAGGACAGATAAGTTGAATTTCCTGTAACACTTCTACCATCAATCTTCGCTGCTACATTACAATTTTATAATATGTCGTGATGCAATATTTTATCTACTAACTATTTACATTGTTATCACTTTTACTTGCTTTTTAGCGAGAAATGTACACTAGCCACTACTCATTGTGTTCCCATCGCTTTACATCTTAATCGTACATGCTTAGGTAATCATTTGCCTTACAAATTGACTGCTCCAATACCACTTGGTGAAGATGTAACTTTTTACAGTCTAGAGTTTTGGAAAGCTTTACAATCTATCCCAACATGTTGGGATAAATTACAAGTAAGCGCTAAATTTTTTTTTTGTTGAAATTATTTTAAGTCGAATTTAATTCGTTCATTTTATATAATAGTGTTATTAATAATAACCTATACAGCCTTAATTTTTCTGTAATAAGACATCAATCGTTAACTGAGAATGTCACGGGATTTGAATGGTTTGAAACTACATTTTGTATCTCTTTACTTTTTTAATCTAAATTATTTCTTGTGTATTATTGAGGTTATCATAAATCTATCTTTATCGTTTAGATATACTCAGTCAGTCAGTCAGTCAGTCAGCTACAATGTAGAACTTCGTATGTACGTACATCATTTGAAGTTGCCATACTACATTCGAATTCCATAGTAGTAGAGGTAGTAGAAGTAGTAACAGTAATCGGGGAGATTAGGGTTCGAAGTAGAATCTAATAAATAAACCTAAAAGTAGAAAGTTAAAGATGATGAAGAATCCAGAGAAATAGGATTTGAGAGGAGACAAAGAATGGATGTACCTGCGCCATTGCAATAGTAAATCAGACAATTAAAATTTCCTCTAAATAAAATACCAATTTTTGATTACCAGCTTATGGTATATTTGTTTATGCCAACCTCAAGATCATTATACTCTATCTATCTAGATTGATTGATTTTGCTATTCATTGTAGTTATTCACTTCTAACTTATCATGTAGTTAGCTATGAAAAGCAATACTATTTACTGCATTGCTTTTAATCTAATCACTGAACATAAAATGTTAATATCACTGACAACATAGTGCATATCAATTCTTCTAAATTGAGTTGGCAATTTCATCTTTCTGTGTTAATGTGGTATGGCAACTTGAACCGATATACGTACGTACGAAGTTCTACGTTGCAACTGATTGACTGACTGACTTCTAAATATCCTATCATGTAATGCTTTATGATTGCGCAAATTCGTGAAGTGTTTATACCTTCCGATACTTTTGAGTTGTGAGACCACCCAGAAGTACCAAACTCTATTGGTTATTGATTTATTTGAAACATGGAGATTTTTACTTTATAGCAAAATTTCTGACTCTTCCATTCAAATCAATGAAGCAGTAGTTTATTGAAATTCAACAGAGATTCCAAACTGTAATTCACCCATTGAGATGTAAGTAACTGTATGGTGGCTATAAACAAGCATCAAAGTCACAATTTTCAGTACAAATGTCAAGACAGTTCTACTGTATGGGGCAGAAACTTGGGAAACTACCAAAGCCATTATCCAGAAGATACAAGTATTTATTAACAGTTGTCTACGCAAAATAATTCAGATCCGTTGGCGAGACACTATTTGCAACAGTCTACTATGAGAGAAAACAAACCAGCTTCCAGCACAGGAGGAAATAAAAAAGAAACGGTGGACGTGGATTGGACACACGCTGAGGAAAGCACCCAACTACGTCACTAGGCATGACCCCACTTAGAATCTTTAAGGCCAAAGGGAAAGAAGAAGACCAAGGAACACATTGCACCGAGAAATGGAGACAGACATGGGAAGACTGAACAGCAATTGGATAGAACTAGAAAGGTAGACCCAGGATAGAGTAGATTGGAGAATATTGGTCAACAGCCTATGCTCCACTGGGGGTAACAGGCGTAAGCAAGTGACTTTATAGTCGAGATTAATCGTTACACCTAAATTGTGACTTATAATCCGATAGGTTGTAAATCTGTGCTCCACAAATTAATTACATTCATTTCAACTTAATTAATCTATCTATCAGTCAATCAATGTTACAATTTTCAATGGCTTGTTCGGATATTCAGGATTTTAATAACAACACTAATGAACGTATAAATATTGATGTAGTATTTCTACTGAGCTGTTGACTCCTGATTATTGCAATCATAGTTAACTATGAGTAAGCCTAAATGTACACATATATATATATATATATATATATATATATATATATATATATATATATATATATATATATTCAACTTCATCGATTTGGTGATTCACTTGTAATCACATATTCTACTGTTTAAAAAAAAAATAAATCATAGTTATCCAACTTAGGAAAGCCGAAATATTTTTTTTTTCAACTAAAAATAATTTACTTTAGTGCATTTTGTGTCAACTATCAATTCATGTTGTGTGTGTGTGTGTGTTTGTGTGTCTGTACGATGATAAAGTTAAGTTTACACAGAATTAATATTAACAAAGAGTATAGTTTCGGAGAATCCATGTGCTTCACTAAGTTATTTTATTCATAACTTTGTTAATTCATACTAACTTCAAAGGTGATCATGTGTTTTGTTCATTGAAATATGATACTCATTTTTTTTTAACTCCCTTTCATTATCTAAATAAGGTACATTATATAATACAATAAAAAGAGATATTAATTGACTCATTGACCAGATGATTTTTACATCAGCTACCATCTTAAGTGTGAAGACTGATGATATGACCCGATTGCTCAAATCAAAATAAATGAAATTGGGTTTAATAAGCCTAGTGATTGAAAGTTGAATACCTTGAATATCATCAAACTATCACTCATCATACAAAAGAAAAGTTTGTTTATTAGACTGTGATTAAAAAAATTATACTCTATTATAATTCTCTTATTATTACAACTTAGTATTCTCGGACACCAATTCGCTCGAGGCGTTTACCTCAAAACTCAGAACACGGTTGAACAAGAAAATAGAGATTATATTCCAATAACAAGGTTAGATGGAAGACAGAGAAGTCCAAAAGAAAAAGACGTTAGTATATTTCTAGTTTTCTTACATGAGAAAATTTTAGAATATCCGCTCAGTATCGGCTAGCGCTGAATGGATAAGGAAAGAGCCAATCAGAGTGCAGCAACACAATCATGCTTTAATCCAATCTATATCCCACTAACACACTCCTTACTAATTTGTAACTTTAGGAAATTGTTTTGTAAATTACCTTGAACTTATCTAATTAGTGTTTGTTTGTTCTTTTTTTACGCCAAACAGTTTTTCTTGTGCTCTGTCTATATACCTGAATGTGTAGTTATTCAAACATCGAAATCCATTCATGATGATATCACATATTCATCGATTACTCATGAAAATAATCAATCTAAACCAATTAATCATTCAATCAATGTTATCAGTGATCAAGAGGTCCTCAATAAAAACATGTCAGTTGATGATCGTCCACCAGCATCGTCATCATCATCACCAGCATCGACTAGTATTCATCGGATTGTTTTACCAGAAGCTGAAATGTGTGAAGCTGTACACAAAGCCTGTCCATTATTATTTTCAATTATTCACTCAATGAGTACTAATCATCATAATAGGAAAACGAACGAGAAATTGACCGAGATCAACAACTCTGGTATTGACCAAAGTCTTAGTAATAATGATACTGGTAGTAGTAGTAGTAGTAGCAGTGGCGGCACCAGTAAACAACAACATCATCATTATCATTTATATCCGAAATTCTTGGATTGTTCATTGTATACACCAGGATGTCGACAGGTATATTTCTACATGTATAGTTTCACTACAATTTTTCTTTTGTCAATAACTTTTGTGTGTTACTTTGATTAGTAATGATGATGATGATGATAATAATAGTGGTGATAGTTAATAATGACTCATTAAAAGTTTAAATTAGCTGTCTCTGAATAAGTTGATCTGTTACTGGTTAATACAGAAGAATACAGAAGGCTTGATTGACTTTTGCCAATTTGTGTCACTTATGGAGTAGGCGAGATGTCTGTCTGCTAACTAAAGGATAAGTTTACTGCGTAGCAGTTCGCTCCGTCCTACTTAACGGGTGTTAAACATGGTCAGTATGAGTTGAGGATGTTCGTATGTTTCTAGTTTTCGACCATGGGTGTCTTGGAAGCATTGCTCGTATATCCTGTGACAATTGAGTAAGCAATGCCAGTGTTAGGAAATGGGTACTAGATAAGGATGGGAGGTCAGCTGACGAAGAAGGGAATCTTCATCAATTAAGGTGGTTGGAACGTGAGTTTTGTGTTGTAGAGGTAGGCCGGAAGCTAGAGGCGACCAGACCAAAATATGGCACAAATCTATGAAGTCACTGACAAGTGGATTGAGTTATGTCGGTAGGTGTCGACTACCTGAATGGGGTCTGCGAGATGATAGTAACTGATAGTTAGAGAACATGAACAACATCAAAGCTTAAAATCGTTTGCAATAGCGCCTATGCATCCATTCTTTGTGTTCTCTCAAATTCTAATCTTCTGAATTCCTCACGACCGTTTTCTCTCGTTCATTTTTTTTTAAAATTGATTTCTCTGAGATTTACTTCTCAAATCATATCTTCGATCCTTAATCTTTTTGAGTACCGCTAATACTTTTACTACGTTTACTACAATGGGATTCGAATTGACAATTTGATGTCTCTGTGTGTGCTAATGTGGTCTATCAAATTGAACTGATGTACATGTGTACGAAATTCTATGATGTAGCTGACTGACTACTGGTTAATCTGTTTGTGTACATCAAATTTCTAACCTTAAAAAAATATAATTAATCTGCTACCGCAATAGAGATATGGGTTGAGAAAAAAATTTACACATGACATTATTCCATGAATTCATTGAGTGTTTGTCTGTGTTTTTTTTTATTTATTGGTAAATGTGAACTACTGCTGTGGTGTGAGCTACTTATAAGTAGTATATGACGTGAGTGTCAACGTAATGTCTGGCAGCAGAAGATGGGGAGAGATCAAGATAGGAAGAGTTAGAAAACAATGGAATTTGTATGAAACGCAGGAATAGTGACAATGGATTGATGTTTGGCAACAGGAACAGTCCAGTTCGATATGATGATGAACTGATAATTTGTAAATGAACGATTTACGATATGGTTTTCCGATTTTACTGAGTAACTCTGTAATTTTCGCTAAATACAATCCCGTTGCCCCACCTGTGTTCTCGTTCACTACACTACCTGATTGATGTGCATTCTCCTAACCATGACCATTGATTGAAAGTATTGAATCAAATAACTGAACATCATTCACAATAGCACAAGTTTTAGTAGACAATACATATTGAAAACAGAAAATAAATTTAGAGAATAAAATTTTGAATCAATAGCGAATTGTTGCAGAACTTTCCCCTTTCACTGAGTTAATCTTTAACCAAACCTACCCTGATGTATACTGGTAGAATCTAAAAATAAAATGAGTATTCCAGTTGTTAGTGTATAACCCAATTCAATTATCATGCTAAAATTACTGTCATCATTTAAAGATATAACGTTTACACAGTATCTTAGTCTAAACAATAAAATACAATATCTCATTGTGTTTATTTTTTTTTTTTACAAATTTTTTCTGAAGTGATGTGTTAATGAGTTATGAAAGAGAGTTACTCAATAAGAATTCTTTTACACTTAAAAACGAATCCATTTTTTTCTGAAACATCACTTAAACTAATGTTAAATCCAATGTGATAAGAGTAGTCTAGTTATACTGACAGTTTCTTAATAACTGCGGTAACTATTATAGAAGTTATTAGTATAGATAGATCGTGGCCAACAGTGGAATCCAAGACGCGCCTTTCACTCTACTAACTAACTACTCGTCAATTGGATGTATCTGCATCCTAGAGTTGATTTTCACTTAGAAACTCAAATCCTAGTTAGTCGGTCAGTTACAATGTAGAACCTAGTACGTACGTACATCATTTCAAGTTGCTATACCATATTAGCACTGAGACATAACTGTCAGTTCATATCCCATAATGGTAGAGATAGTACAATTATTAGCGTTAATGGAGAAGATTAGGGTTCGAAGATATTATTCAAGAAGTATAATTCAGTGAGATAACTTTAGAAAGTGAAAGATAGAGATGATAAGGAATTCAGAAGATTAGAATTTGAAAGGACACAAAGAATGGATGCACCTGCTCCATTGAAAACGATTCTGAGCCATCAGTTACCATCGTCTCGTGGAATCCAACCAGATAGCCTGCATCTACCAACATGACTTAGTCCACTTGTCAATGACTTCATGGATTGAGGCCATGTTTTGGTTTAGCCTCCTTTAGCTTTCTTCCAACCTACTACTACACCACAGAACATAGCTCGACAAGGCAGTCGATGGAAACCCTCAATACTGTTCACTTCAAACGCCATCGCATTTTCCACTTAACCATTGAGTCCATATAACCAATGACTTGTGCAATAGGGAAAAGTTTAATTCACTTTCAGTGATAGTTTGAATTTTCCCACAAAATGTACATCCTGCTAAAAACCATTATCCATTTCTATTAATAATACTTATTATAACCTAATATCAAAATCGAGACAATCCACACAGGATATACATGTACCAAAGTAAACTGATCAATTGCAGTCCTGTACATCAATGAAAACATTCAAATTCTCTTTACTACTAGTTCTTGTTAAAAAGGTGACAAATTCTCAATCAAGTCAATCAATATTTCATATTTTCACTGACACATCGACTACAATCAATCAATGCTAGATCAACTTCCTCTACAGTGAGTGACTTTGTCTATAGCATAAAAATGACTTGTATACAAAACATTGTTTTATATTCTTTCTTTCTTCCAAATAACCTTTTACCCACATTACAGAGTCAGTCAGTCAGTCAATCAGTATTCTTTTCACTCACTCACTCACACGCACATATATATATGCTTGTAATGGATAATATTAGAGATGGTAGATTTTTAAACAACAGATGACTAACAACTCTCTATCTCTCTCCGTATCCAGTTTCTTGTCTAGACTATAAAGCGACAATATTCCTCATTTTATCTATATATTTTTTTTTTACATTCTATTGTGTATATATATATACACCTCATTTATTCACATTTGCAGTAAAATAATCTATCGTATAATAATAAATTGTCTATTGACAAGCTTTTTGTAGTGATAAATTTTCTTTTTGTCTGACTGATTAACTGACTAATGCTGTGTAGTAGTAGTATTGCTGTTAAACAAAATAGTTGATTTGTTAGTTTGTTTACTTATAGTTGACCATATTCCATTTTGTATGGTAAAGGTTGAAGTACAAATTAGTATTCTCGTATTTTTTTTCTTGTCAATTTCATTTCATTATAATAATATGAATATGATAATACATTAGTGATGTAGTTCTCACTAGTGATTAGCTTCGTTAAGAAATTCTTGGAGTTCTAGTCTGAAGATGTGACCAGTGGAGTTTAACCCTGTGAAGTGGTGGTGTAGTAGGAAGTAACTACCGAAGACAAATGGGTGAGGTCGCATAAAATCTTTAGATTGATCAGAGTTAGATATTAACACCGTTGGATGCCAGCTCAGTGGTTCAAAGATTAAGCGTTCGTGCACAACACCGAAGGTCTTGGGTTCACATCCTGTCAGTAGTAAGAGTCGTGGATGCACACTGCCACTGATCAGTCATATACCAGGATGAAACGGATGTCAAGTGTTCCTGGTTTTTCTGGTGGTAGTCTAACAATCATTGATTAATGAATTCAATACACTTCTCTAACAATCATTAGTGATTAATTCAACAAACAAGAAAAGTAGAGAATTTTTAGAAGCTTGGCACTCAGGTCAATCAGCACATCGATATAGACCCAATTTATCAACCAATCAGAAAAATCATAGGTGACAAAGTATCAATAAACAGATCAAAAGTGGGATACAATCAAAACAAAGGTGCAAATACCGATAGACTTAAGGTCAACAGCAACCAATCAAGATCGAGGTTAACAGAACAGACTACGGTTCAAACGTGGAGAAATTCGAATACTTCACTTCTATCTGAAGTTTGTGCCGACGATGTTGTTCAGAAGAACAATGAAAGCTTCACAACCAAAATATCTAGCTCAGATAACGAAACACCACTACAATTATCCACCTGAGCTACAAATTTTCTTCACCATCTCAGACTCTCAAGTAGTTGTTTATTTACACAAATGAACCAGAAAATTTATAGAACTTCTTTGAAATCATAAACTGATCAATGTTAGACAATCGTTAGAAACCTGGCAGCACTGGGTAAACTACCAGGTAAGGGTCCATGAGACAATAGTAACCGATGGTCAGAGACTTTGAACAACATGGCTCAAAATGGTTTGCAATGGCTCATATGCATACATTCTCTGTCGCGTTTCAAATCATAATCTTTTAAATTCCTCATCACCTTTATCTTTCTCTTCTTAAATTGGTCCCACTGAATGATACTTCTCGAATCATATCTTCGATCTCTAATATCTTCGACTAATACTAATACTACTACTACTACTACTACCTCTACTACTATGGGATTTGAATTGACTATGGCATCTCTGTGCTAATATGGTATGGTGACTTGAACCGATATACGTAAGTACATACAAAGTTCTGCGTTGTAACTGGCTGACTGACTGGAAGTACTGAACAGCCGTTTTGTCCTAATACCAGGAATCATCAGTACTGCGCATCCATGAGCGGGAGTCGAACCTAAGACCTTCGGTCTGGAAACGAAACGACCGTCCAGTGCTTTCAGGTTTCTAATGTGTTGGCTAGCATTGATCAGTTCATTATTTCAAATGAAACTTAACAATTTCCACAACCCCCTATACTGAAAAATATATACATCACATTTGAATTTATTTCATTGAATGCACTGAATTGAATGTATTACTGTTTCTGAACCAATTGATTCATAGATTTTCTCTTAAGCTATTTTTATACAAAGTTCAAAGTAATAATTATCATTTTAAGTACGGTTTTTTATTGCGGGGGCTAGTGTTGTTAAAAAAACGATTGATAATGATTTATCTAAATGAAATGAAGGTTACTCATTCTTTATTCATTATGACTTTTGAGCTTTAATCTATATTTTGCATTATGATATTATGGAGATCGTTGTTTTTTCATAAATTGGGTTCGAATCCTGCGCGTAGTAGGAGTTATGGATGCACACTTCTGCTGATGAGTGCCATACCATGATAAGACGGCTGTCTTTCGGTGCCTCCGGGTTTCTAATGCTGGTGGTCTAACAATGATTCATTCATAAATTCTCAAATTCATAGTTTTAAGTACTTTAATTGATTTGAGAAGACTTTCATCCAGTAATTAGACTCTTCTTTATTTTAAGGGTGCTTCTCAGTCAGTCAGTCAGTCACTTACGACGTAGAACTTCGTACGTACATCAGTTCAACTTACCATACCACATTAGCATAGAGACGCAATTGTCAATTCAAATCCCATAGTGGTAGAGATAGAACAAGTATTAGCGTTAATGGAGAAGATTAGGGTTCGAAAATATTATTCAAGAAGTATAATTCAGTGAGGTGACCTTAAGAAGAGAAAGATAAAGATGATAAAGAATTGATAAGATTAAAATTTGAGAGGACACAAAGAATGAATGCCCCTGCGCCATTGCAAATGGTTTTGAGCGGACCCCAACCATGTAGTCTACACTTACCAACATGACTCAGTCCACTTGTCGTCAGTGACTTCATGGATTTGTGCCATGTTTTGGTTTAGTCGCCCCTTTATTTCTTCCAACCTACTCGTACACCACACAATATAGCTCGTTGAGGCAGTCGGTGGTTGAGCATACATAACATATGTTCCAACAACCTGAACTGATGAAGTTTCACCACTTCATCTATTGATTTGCTATCCTTACCTATTAATCGTTTCCTAACAACAGTATTGCTTACTCAGTTTTCTCAAGAAGGCTTTTAAAATTGAAACAAATTAATCATGAAAAAGGTATAACTGTTTCAGTTATTTATCATTGATAAAAATAACTAAAGTATTTCATTAATTCTTTATTTTTTACTGTTGTTGTTGTTGTTGGTGGTGGTGGTGATTTAAATGAAAGAATAAATTAACTGCTCGTTTATTTCAAAGTAATGGAGGCGGTTGTCAATCTCCATTGGTTACAACATCATTAAGACGAAATTGGTAAGTGATGTTGTTGTGAAATTTACTAAACTACAAAACAATATTGTGTTATAATACATGCAATATAAGTATTATTCATATAAAGTACTGTTTTCTTCTTGTTTTCTAATTAGTTAAAATGTTGCTTAATCTGTCAGTTAGTTTATATTTAAATAAGATTTTTTTTGTCATACATATTCTGATTATTTTGTTCTACGATATCATCTCATACGATGTTGATTTGTTGACTTAGGATACATAGATTGTTAAGTTCCATTGAAATGATGAACTGATCAGTGTTAGGCCATCATTATTAGAAATCTGGAGGCTTTGAAGGGCATCAGACCGAAAGTCCTGGGTTTCATTTCTGTGAGTGGAAGCCGTGGATGCGCACTGCCACTAATGAGTCCCATACTAGGATGAAACGGTCACTCAGTGCTTCCAGGTTTCTAATGGTGGTCTAAGACTGATTAGTTCATGATTTCAAAAAGTAACTCAACAGTCTCTACAGCCGTGTAATGCGAATTATCATACCCTCACTAATGACGAGTTTCGTGAGGAAATTTCCCCAAAATTCTAATGAGTAGTCTTGACCAGTGGAGTACAACCCTGTCAGATGTTGTAGGCAGTTAATCGCCCAAGATAATAGATGAAGTTGTACAATACCTTGAATTGATCAAAGTTAGACATTCACGCCGTTGGATGTCGGTTCAGTGAGCTAAAGGCTAAGCGTTCACGTGTGAGACCGAAGGTCCTGGGTTCGATTGCCGCAAGCAGAGATAGTGGATGCGTACTGCTGATGAGTCTTTTATATGCAAACAAACTGGCCATCCAGTGCTTCCAGGTTTCTAATGATCGATTGATGATTTCAATAATTTTATTTGTTGAAGATATAACGCAAAGTTATTCAATCATTTTAAAGAACGATCTAAACATGCTTTAGGATGCGCCTTTCGCTTCTGAAGACACAAAATGCTATTGCACAATAGATTTATATCAATGCTTGAACAAATAACAAGGAGTGAAGTAGATCAACGCGTCGACCAACTTTAGTTAGCTTCAGAAGTCCCATATCAGCTCTAGTCTGTTGATATCTGCTGACGAACTGTATTTAAGGGGTCAGAAAGTTCGATTGGCTGAGACTAATTAAATGAGATATCCATCTAATTATTAACTTCAGAGTTGTACTTTATAAAGAAGATGGTTGGCTTAAGTGAATTTTAGGCTTGACCTAATTACATGAATGATTGAATCAAGGTCACCAATGGTTAAAGACCTTGAAGGACATGGCTCAGAATCGTTTGCAATGGCACAGGTGCATCCACTCTTTGTGTTCTCTCTAATTATAACCGTCTGAATTCCTCATAATCTATGTCCTTCTCCTTCTAAATTTATCTCACTGAATTATACTTTTCGAATAATTTCTTCGCTCCCTAATCTTCTGCATTACTGCTAATACTTCTACTATCGCTATCACTCTTGGATTTGAACTGACAGTTGACGTCTCTGTGCTGATGTGGTATGTCAACCTGAACTGATGTACTTAAGTGCGAAGTTCTGTCTGTCTGAATGATTAAATTCTGCTACGAAATTTATAAATCATCCATTTCAGTAGTGTTTTTAACAGTTTATCAACTGTTTTCTATCAGTTCTCATTTGTTGTACATTACATAGATTCTGTTTCATGCTTTCATTAACTATTTCTAGGATTCCTGGCATAGAACGATGTAGTTTTCCATGTCGACGTCCTCATTTCGATTCGGAACATTATAAATTAGCTAGATGGATTACAGGTTGTGCTGCTGTGATTTGTTTATGCACTAATATTTTTACATTGGTAAGAATTATACTACTTTTATTTATTTGATTTCTTAGTGAAATTCTTTGGTTATTATGTGAAGTGTATACTTACTTTTTGCTATCATCTTTACTGATAGCATAAGTGCTTATTAATTAATGACGGTAGTGTTAGGTCGAGTAGGTATTTTTTTAAAAAAAAGATTATTTATTGAGGTTCGTAGCTGATTTTACGTCAATTGTTATTTCCTTCAAACTATTGAAAATTCTTCTTATATGAACAGTTTTAATGTAGGAGTTGATAACGACAATTGGCATACAACACTGTAACAATTATCCACAAACACAGGAACAAGGCGAAATGTAGGAAAAACGTGATTTTTATTCAGAAGAACCCGAGATTGCAAATATACATATATATGTAGTAGTCTACAAGGCTATGGATCAGTATCAGGTGATGTAGTCTGATAATTAATGGTAATCTCTCTATTCAGTCCCTCAAAATCCTGGAGTCTATGTATTCCGTTGGTTTGCAATGAGAGTGGTTCAACTTCCCTAGTTGTGGATCCTCAAAATGCGTATTCGTTAAGGAATTCCCTTCAATAAACAGGGTTCACCTGGCCAAAAATAGATATACTCATGACCAAATGAGCTCACTCAAAGCGTGAGATTAAGTTATTTACACCTTCGACCAGACTCTAAAGGTATTGGGGAGCTTTTGTTATTTACTACAAGAGCGATGAACCAGATACTCCTGAATGATATTCAACGATGCAATGATTAGGAGCCTATATGCATTGTTTCTCAACTGTTATTATATTCACTTACTGCTTTCCATTTGTTAGTTTGCTCTGATCATCAAGTTTCTTAGTTCTTAATTACACTGTCTGAAATTTCCTGATATATAGGGATTGTAATAATAAATAGAAATGTTGTTATTCTTTGTTTCTGAAAAGAAAAGTATTATTTTCTCTTTTTAAGAACAATGATAATTGAAACTGTTAAAACAAGTATAAACAAGAAATTTTTCGAAACAAAGAATGACCGAATCATTTAAATTTGGTATTTATTTCGAACTATTTAAATAAATAGGAAAATAAGTGCTACGATGGATTGTCCATAAAATAGTGTTCCTAGTTCATTAGAGACTTGATCTGTTGTAGAAATATAGCTACTACCTTGATGTGGTGGTCGGGTTTGCCTATCGTTATGATCCGACCGAGCTATATTGGCTGGAACATATGTTCCTTTAGGTCCTACCATGCCAGGTAGGTCGATTGGATAGGGGTAAGAGTAAAAGCAGCAACTTAAGGTCTGAAGGCAAAGTCATACCTTACCCCATAGATTTCTATCTCCAGCGTTAAGGCTTTTTCATGAGTGGAGCTAACACTTCCAGAACATCCCATATAAAGGCCGTTAGTGAACAACCTCGAGCAATAGTCCCTTGGGCTCTGCGATCACGCTCCCAAGTCTCTAAGACCATCGCTAATCCGATTTCCTTTTCAGGCTCCTCAAGAAAAACGCCCTTCCATGGTGTCGCCAGTCAGGAAGTGACATCCCCCCTCATACCCGTAACAGTACACGACAGCAGAATAGAAATATTGGAAGTCGAAGTTTTATGATCATACTGCAAGAATACTACATAGTTTTATACAGATTATGTCTTGGCATTGTAATCTTTAAATATTAGAAGAGCATATCAATCATGTTTTAGATCATTGAGATTCTCGTCGAGAGATGATGATGATAACACACACACACACACATAAACACACTTCACTCTGCTTATCAATCATCAGTTACATCAAGTACACTTGTGTAATTATGTAATTTAGTTTATACACTTATGTAATATTCAATGTATGATTGATTGCCTCAACAAATATGTTAATTAATTCTGAGCATCTTTTTTAAGAGTCAATTCCTTGTTATTCAAAGGCATAGTTTGAATTTCTTATGAAATTCTAATAACTACTATGTATTAAATCTGATTGGTTCTTTTTTTCTGTTTGTTCATTGTAGTTTTAATCAACTAGATGTTGGATAATGAACTCATATACATTTCTTAGTGTTTATATGCTAGCTATATATATATATATATATATATATATATATATATATCATTCACTAACTTACAGGTTTTGAAACTTCTTCAGTTTTATTTCACTTTAAGCGACTGGGTAGCAATCAGTCAGTCAGTCAGTTATAACATAGAACTTCTTGGTACATAAGCACATCAGTTCAGGTTGCCATACCAGATTAGCACAGAGACGCAATTTTCAATTCAAATCGCATAGTGGTAGAGTAGTAGAAGTATTAGCAGTAGTCGGAGAGATTAGGGTTTGAAGATACTATTCAAGAAGTATAATTCAGTGAGATAAGTTTAAAAAGACAAACGTAGAGGTGTTGACGAATTCAGCAGATTAGGATTCGAGAGAACACAAGGAGTGGATGTACCTGCGCCATTGCAAACGATTTTGAGTAATGTCATTCAAGGTCTCTAACGATTGGTGACTTTCGTTTCGCCGACCCCAATCAGGTAATCTACTTCTACCAACATGACTCAGTCCACTTGTCGTCAGTGACTTGATGTATTTGTGCCATGTTTTGTTCTGGCCGCCCCTATATTTCTTCCAACCTACTCCTACACCACAAAACATTGCTCGTTGAGGCAGTCGGCGTTTGAGCATACGTAACACATGTCCCAACCACCTGAACTGATGAAGTTTCAATACTTCGTCCACTAATCTGCAATCTCTACCTATTACTCGTCTCCTAACGACAGAGTTACGTACTCGGTTGTCCGACGATACACGAACAATGCTTCTAAGACATCTGTGGTCGAATATTAGTAGCCTACAAATATTTTCTACTCTTACCGGCCATGTTTCGTATCCATATAGGAGAATGGAAAGAACTGCTGCACATTACACTCGACCTTTTGTTAGCAAACGGATATCTCGCCTACTCCATCCCTGACGTAAATTGGCAAAAACCGATTGAGCCTTGTGTATGCGTGCTGAGATTTCGTCAGTCACCAGGCCGTCAGCGCTGATGAAACTCACGAGATAAGTGAAGTGGTCGATACGCTCAACTACTCCACTCCCTATCACTAATTCAGATGCCGACGCAAGGCAATCCTGAAGCGACATTTTGGATTTCGACGGGGATAATCGCATGCCGAACATGCTTGTATATTGTTGCTTAGAGTAGCGTTACAAATCGTTTGCATACTTAAAGTTTGACTTAAATCTTTGTCTAGTTAATAGATTAAACAGGGAATTTATTATACAAATATCACATATATGTATATATCTTCATTATGATTTGATTTGATTTGAACACATAAACACACTGGTACAAATGGGCATTGAAATATTTATACGTTACACAAATAACTGAATTTTGTGAACATGCTCTGATACTGTCTGCCTGCCTATTCCAAAACAGGTGTGTTTTTTTTAGGTGGTCATTCTGCGAGCCTTTGACCAAGAAGTCTAGTCTATACGACAGTAGAGCAATGTCAGGAGTTGTAGTCCTATGGTGGTAGCCAGTGACCAACGATTGGTTCGTTTATACGCCATTCGTTCCATTAGGATACTGGAGCCAATATACACTGTCGGTTTTGTAGTCAATGCTTTTCAACTCCTCTAGGTAAATCCCCATCCCCCAGTATTATGACCGAATAATTATACAATCTATTCATTATTATATATGTGTATATATATATTTATTTCATAATTTTAGTTTACTATTCGTTTACAATTAACTGAACGTTTGGAGATCACTTTACAACTTTCCATGTATATTCATCGTCTTATTGATTCACTACAATTGCCAACATTTTCAACTGATCGAAGAAAATCACATCTTATCTACAATGGGAAATCATCATCATTATTATCCACATCATTAAAATTACCAATGACAACTGTAGGCACATCTTTTTCAACTGGAACAAAAACCACTACTACTCATACATCAACAACTACAACAACAACAACCACAACCACATCTAATCACAATGATCCAGTGTCAAATCCATCTTGGCGTCTATTGCATACATCATTATTTTATATGCATTTATTTTTAATATTTGGTTGTTTTGGTTGGTTATTGCCATTACTACCAACTATTGGTGAATATGTGGCTTGTCGAGAAGATGGTAGCCTACGTGTAGGTGAACCACAAATCAGGTAATTCATTCAATGTATCATTATTATTAATTCATGGAAGTTGTTGATAAGTGGATGATTGAGTCTCATGTTGATGTTGATGGTGTTGACTATACACCCCGGTTAGGGTGCCTGTGAGATGATAGTCATCGATGATTAGAGAGACCTTGAATAATGAAATGGCTTAAAATCGTTTATGAAATGGTTCAGGTGGCCGTTTAAGGAAAAAAAATATTTGTGATGAATCACTAACGAACAAAAAAACTTCTCCAAGTTTTGAATTTTGCCTAAATAACTTTCAAAATAACATAGTTATTCCCATGAGCCTTCTCAGTTGTAAGTATCCATAGTCGTTGTAGAAGATATGGATTCAGGAACGCTTAATCTTTATGCATCAAAAGGATAAATATTTTGGGTTCTGACCTAAAAATTCATGATTGTAGGCACCTTCCAATACGCAAAACCAATGCCATCACCGCGATACTGTTGTGGATTTTTACATAATACTATTTGAAGAAACCAATGCTAGAGCATAAAACGACTATTCACTAGTTCTTAGTTAGTTAGTTTTTTTCTTAAACATAAATCAGATCAGTAGAAATCAGTCCATAAATGTAAACTGTGAATTCAATCAATCAGTCAGTCAGTCAGTTACAATGTAGAACTTCGTACGTACGTTGCCATATTACATTAGCACAGAGACACAATTGTCAATTCAAATCCCGTAGTAGTAGTAGAGGTAGTAGAAGTATTAGCAGTAATCGGAGAGATTAGGGTTCGATGATATTATTCAAGAAATAGAATCTAGTGAAATAAGCTTAAAAAGAAAAAGATAAAGGTGATGAGGATTTGAGAGAACATAATGAATGAATGCACCTGCACCATTGCAAACGATTTTGAGTAATGTCGTTCAAGGTCTCTAACCATCGATCACAATCATCTCACGGGCCCCAACCAGGTAGTTGAAACCTGCTAACATGACTCAGTTATCCACTTCTCAGTGACTTCATGGATTTGTGCCATATTTTTGTTCGGCCGCCCCTGGCTTTCTTCCAACCTATTCCTACATCTCAAAAACCACCTCAACTGATAAAGTTTCAATACTTCATCTATTGACCTAACAACAGCATTGCTTACTCGGTTGTCCCATGATACACGAGTAATGCCTTGGAGACATCTATGATCGAAAACCAGTAACTTACGAATATCTCCTACTCTGACTGGCCATGTTTCACAGCCATAAAGTAGGACGGAGCTGATTGCTGCTCAATAGACTCTTCGTTTGGTTATGACATGACGTACAGAATGTATTTCAAAGGTACCCAGAAAGGTTGAGGTCTTCAACCACACAACTTAAGCCTATTTATACAATAATAAAAACGCTCTTGGCGAGAACCACAAAATAGCGTACTAAAATACGTCATCAACCAATTACAGTCAAAGATTTTCCTAGTCGGAAACGTAATCTATAGGTCAAATGAGCGTCTTTGGAGCGAAAACATCAAAACTGAAAATTTCAGATAAATTACAAAATTAGGACTTTTTTCAAGTGAGTTCTGAGAATCCAACATCCCCAACAAATTAGCAGACAGATATCTCATCTACTCCGTAAATGACATTTTTGATTAATCATATCTTATCCTACTGAATAAATGTGATACAGTAGTACTGATGAACCATTTAGCATTGACTTTTTATTATTTTTTATTTCCCGCCTCATCTCCATCACCATGGTGATGATTATCACCATCACTGTCATCATCTCCATCATCATCATTATCGCTCTACACGCAGTTCTGGAAAATCCATTCTATGCATTATCGATTTTATTCTATTGTATTTCTCTTCAATGGCTGCTGCAATATGGTCAAATATTTTTGATTATGCTTTATTATATCAAATGAAAAAAATCAATTACAATTTAACCAATCAATTGCCTCATTATGAACACTTTCCTACTGAACATCATCAATACAAGAGGCAACAACGACGTCGACAACAACAACAACAACAACAGAAACAATCACGAGTATCAGAGCATCGGCGTCAACGTCAGCATCGTTCTCGTCCTCGTCGTCAACAACAACAACAACAGCAGCAACAACCGCATAAATCCAAACACTATCATACCGATATAGAAATGAAACATATTTGTCAAGCTTATGTAACAAAATTCAGTGAAAATCTTCTCTCTAGAAAATATCATAAATCATGTGAAATTCGTTTTATGCCAAAACGTATCTCTGATGAACCATCCTTATCTGAAATAACTAATTCTGTGAATTTAACCAATGAAAAATCTTCAGAATTTGAATTTATGAATGAAGAACAGTGTATGCCACCGATAAATGATAAAACTATTACTACAAATACTACTACTACTACTAGTGATACTACTTATAAAAATATCATCAATTTGAGTAATTATGACAATAATATCACTACCACCACTACTACTACTGCTACTGATACTACTAACAATACAATTCATATTGACAATCAACCAAGCATTGAACCATTGAATGTGGCATTATCTTGTCCAAGTAGTATTAAAAGTATGAAACAAAAATGTAAATCATCTTGTTCACTTTCATTGTCGTCAACTTCGTCCACTTCATCATCATCATCATCTGCATCTGCATCTGCATCATCGGCGTCACCTGCATCAGCGTCATCGTTGACATCATCATCCTCTTCACTATTGTTATTAACTAGTCAAAATGTGAAAAGAACCGACGATAATGTACACTTGTTGAATAGTAATACTACTACTGCTGCTATTGCTACTACTACTTGTACTACTTGTACTACTACTACTAGTAATCGTAATACAATCAGTAAACTTGACAATGCTAAGAATAAATCCCGTGAACAGAAATTGAAAGGTTTACATTCAACTTATTATTTTGATGATAATTATCATAGTAAGTTGAATGAATATATTTATGTGTTATTTGCCATGTTGACTTGTGTACATGGTTTATTCAGTTAAACTCTCACCCTCTCTACTACTACTACTACTACCACCACTAATGCTAATACTAATAGTTTTTTATTATAGAGTTATGGAGATTGTTGTTGATTACTGTAATCATGATCAGAGTTAGACACTGACACTGGCAGATGCTGACCCAGTGGTCCAGAGACTAGGCGTTCGCGCGCAAGACCGAAAGTCCTGGGTTTTCAATGCTGCGAGTAGTCGTATCCAGTAGTCGTGGATGTACACTACTGATGAGTCACATACCAGAATGAAACGGCCGTCTTTCAGTGCTTTCATGTTGCTAATGGCGGTCTAACAATAATTGATTCATGATTTCAATAGTATTACTCATGTTAGTTTTTCGAAGTTATAGTAGTCTAAGTGGTAAATGTGTATTGCGTTGAAGAATCAATCAGATTTTCGATTGCTCCTGTAATTCAAAATCCAAGATTATATAATGTACATCATATCGGAAGCTAAGTAAATAACACTGATATTTACTTCATGAAACGCTTAAACATTCGTCTACTCAATCATTGATCATTATTCCTACTTGCTAGATTTCAAATGTATCTCTAATTTTTAAGTTTGATTCCACTCCATTCACTTTGGTTCGGTCAATCAATTATTACTGTTAGACCTCATAACCAAATTTATCAGGAATGAGTTAATTTTAATTAAACTTCAAATTCTTAATATAAGCTTCAACTTTTGTAACTCAATAAATCCGAAATGAAACTAGTGTTTTTGAATTCTTTTTTTTTTAAGTGATACATCCTTTGTTTTTATTCATTGAAAGTTGGTTTTACCTTTTCAAGGTCATGTCGAAATCACTGAAGGTCATCTTTATGGTATTTATTTATCAATGTGCAGCTTTTCTGTTACATAGTTATCTGTTATCTTTTCTAATCTCATAGAACTGTTTGAATTGTTAACTAACTGACTGATTAATTAACTGAACCAATCAACAAAAAAAAATGGAACTCAAATATTACATCGATTCAAATAATCAAAACTTCATTGTTTAACTACACAATGAAGAATAGAATCATGTTTAGAGAAGAGTATGATATTAAATATTGTTCAAGACTTAAACAAAAATGAATGTTTCATATGTAACACATGTGCCTACCACTTCAATTGATGAAGATTCACTACTTCATCAATTGATTTGCCATCCTTACCTAGTACCCTATTCCAAACCCCCAGCATTGCTCATTCAGTAGTCAAATGACACACAAATAGTGCCTGGAAGATAGCTATGATCGAATACTGTTACGCGTGTATCCACTCTTTGTGTTCTCTGAAATACTAATCTTTTGAATTCTTTATCATCTCTATCTTTCTCTTTCTAAATTTACTTCACTGAATTATACTTATTGAATAATATCTTCGAACCCTAATTTTCTCCATTACCGCTAATACTTCTACTATCTCTACCATTATGGGATTTGAATTGACAATTGCATCTGTGTGCTAATGTAGTATAGCAACTGGAACTGATGTACGTACGTACATCTATGTTGTTCCTGACTGACTTACTGATGATCGAATACTAGTAACCTACGGATATCCATTCTTAATGACCATGTTTTACAACCATATAGTATGACGGAGTGAACTGATGCACTGTAAATGCAACCTTTGGTTAGTAGACGAATATCTCACCTACTCCATAAATGACACAAGTTGGAAAAAGCTAGTCTAACTTTCTGTACTCTCGCTGAGATCTCATCATACACCAGACCAACAGAATTGATGAGACTCCTAAGATAAGTGAAGCGGTACCACGATTTAGATTCATATCGGTCAACTATTTCAATAACGGAATAATTTGAAGCAATAAAAACCGAACTAAATTTATACCTGTTTCTCAAACCAGTGTCTATCTGAATTCATAATGCATTAGGCGTTTAAAGAGAAAGCTACTAGATTCGGATCTCATTGTGAACATCAACACTGGAATGTAACAAGCACATTCGGCTGACAAGCCTAAAATAGATATCCACTGCTATTTACATTCTATCTGTATTGAGGTAAACCACACACGAGATAAACATATACTAAGTCTAAGATTGATCAAAATATCCAATCAGGATGATCAACCACGGAATAATCCAAGTCATTTTAAACTAACTGATTCTTCTTCGTATATACTTCGATTTTAAGATTGAGGTATGTAACTGATGGTTAGAGACCTTAAATGACATGGCTCAAAATTGTTTGTAACGTCGCAGGTGCATTCATTTTTTGTGTTCTCGCAAATCCTAACCTTCGGAGTTCTTCATTACCTTTGTCTTTTTCTTTTTAAGTTCAACTCACTGAATTATACTTCTTGAATAATATTTTTTCTAACCTTAATCTTCTCCATTATCGCTAATACTTCTACTGCATCTACTACTGTTGGATTTGAATTGACAATTCGATCTCTCAGTGCTAATGTATGGTATGGCAACTTGAGCTGATGTACGTACGTACGTACGTACATCCATACGAAGTTCTACATTGTAGCTCTCTGACTGACAATTTTAAGTTATTTAGATAGTAACAATTAGTCAGTCAACCAGTATAATAATACAAATTTACACTTCCAATGTTCATTAGAATTTAGATATCAACTTAGCAATTTTCGAAATGATTCTTCATTTACCTGATGTAAATTTAAAAGTTATTCTCTTTCTAAAACAACACAAAAAACTAAAACTTATTTCACATTCTTTCATAACAAACTACATTGTATTCTCTCTCTCCCTCCCTCTCTCTCTCTCTGTGTATGTAACATTTGTTGCCTGCCTAACAAAAGACGATAAGAAGTGCAAAAAATTTTTTGTATCACTCAGTCTGTAATATATATATATATATATATATATATATATATATATATATATATATATGATCATGAATATTTCATTACGCATTGTTTGTTAATTCTTTTGGGGTTAGAATTTTCTACGACTGCGACTACTACTACTACTGTTACCTTTTTATGTCTTATGATGAAATCTATTCCTGTTGTTTGCCTTCGCTTTGTGTAAGCATATACCAAGCTACCTACCTACCTACCGACCTACTCACTCATCCATCCATCTGTTCTGTGTGTAAGCATATACCAAGCTAGACCTACCTACCGACCTACTCACTCACTCACCCGTTCACCTATCTATCTATTTGTCTAATATAAAGAAGGGGTGGGCGGCAATTTGAGAGCGACAAAACGGTATACACAAAATTAGAGTTTGTATTGTTCTATGGTGGCTATTTTTTACTTCTTTTCTACTCTACTCTACTCTACTCTACTGTAGTCTAGTCTAGTCTAGTCTAGTCTAGTTATCTTCAATATTGACAGATTTTTAATTTCTTTTTTATGAACTAAATTAAAAATTCAAAAAAAAATTGCTACTTTCGTCGACGATCATCAATTGATGATGATGATAGTTGTAGTAGGCAAAAGAGTGAAATATGTGTTTGTCTTTTGTTTTATTTTTTTTCATAAAAAAAAGCCAGCTAAAAATCCATTTTTACCGATTCCAGTAACATTAAATATGTATGTGAGGTCTTGATTATATCAAGGGAATTGTATAGCTGATAACTAACATTCTAAGAAAAAAAAGAGGGAAAAACACTATTAATATCTGTTTTACATAAAAATCAACCGAAAGAATAGCAATACTAATTGCGCAAACACCGACAATCGGTATGAGAAATGTGATAACATTTTAAAACTTAACGGATAAATACATATGTAATCTAAAAAAATGAATAGATTACAATTGTTTCATTTCACTTATATTCAAAGAACATTTGTTTCAGACATATATATATATATATATATATATATATATATATATATAGGATGGAAGAAAGCTAGGGGCGGCCAAACCAAAACATGGCACAAATACATCAAGTCACTGACGACAAGTGGACTGAGTCATGTCGGTAGATGTAGACTATCTGGTTAGGGTCCGCGAGACGGAAGTCACCGATGGTTAGAGACCTTGAACGACATGGCTCAAAATCGTTTGCAATGGAGCAGGTGCATCCATTTCTTTGTGTTCTCTCTAATTCTAATCTTCTGGATTCCTCATCATCTCCATCTTTCTCCTAAGTTTATCTCACTGAATTATACTTTTCGAATCATATCTTTGTTCCCTAATCTCCATTTCTGCTAATACTTCTACGATCGCTATAACTCTTGGATTTGACCTCACACTTACGTCTCTGTGCTAATCTGGTATGGCAACCTGAAATGATGTACTTATGTACGAAGTTCTGCGTTGTATCTGTTTGTATATATATATATATATATATATATATATATATATATATATATATATATATATATAGGTTAAGATTATACTAACCGGAAGATTTTGGTGATTATTAAGATTTTACCTTGAAATCATGACCGAATCATTAGTTAGACCACCATTAGAAACCTAGAAGCACTGGATGACCGTTTCCACTTGGTGTTGGGACTCATCAGTGATAGTTCACATTCACGACTCCTACTACACACAGGACTCGAACCCAGAACCTTCGGTCTTGCGCGCGTACGCCTTACCTGTAGATCACTGAGCCGGCATACAACGGTTTCAATGTTTAACTCTGATCAATCTAAGGATTTTGCGCAACTTCACCTATTGTTTTCGGTAGGTAACTGCCTACACGCACACACACACACACAAAACAGACCACTTACTTGAAGAATAGTTTTATCTTATTCAATAACATGACAAAATGTTATAGGCGGTTGTAGAAAAGCAAGTTTTTGGTGTAGTTATCTCATTCTCTAATCAACTGGAACCTAACTCATAAGTGGAATTCTCTATCTCATCATATCATCAAACCATCAGGTTGTGTAACGCTAAGGTCAAACATTAGAGTTGAAAGCAAAATCAGTTTTTAGGTGACTGTGTCATCATCCTATGTTACGCATATCTAACTATCCATCACCACTACCGACTCTAACGATGAGTAAAGTTGGCTTAAATTTGAATTGACTAAAAAGAAACTTAAGGGTGGCTAAAATGAGATGATATATTACCGGCTGCTGACTACTAGCTTGATGCGGTCGTTATTTATAGTTGTGTAGAAGAATTTAGAACTATGCTTATCTGCATGGCTTTATTATGTGTACACTATTGACAAATGGTATAGTAGAATCGGACGCTTAATTTATTTTCTCTATAGTTTCGGTCTCACAACCTCTACGTTTCATGAGACCAGGAATTCTGTTTCGTGTACTCAGAATGTTTACATCAACGGCGCCATGTGACAAAAGAATGACAGAAGAGTTGGTCGTGGAGATAAGAGAGTTATTAAGAGGTATAGGAAGGATTTGATTTTGACTAATTTGGTCTCCTGTGCTGTTACGGTGGCAGATATCGATTCCCGGCTGCCTACACAGTAGAAGGCCGTTTCTTGAGGAACCTAACAATCAGGTTAGATTAGCGTTGCCTTAAGTGACCTGATAACGTGACCGCAGCTCAACAAACACCTGCTTGAGGCCTTTTTATTGAATGTTTTGGAAGTGTTAGCTCCGCTCTTCAAATGGCTTTACTGCTGGAGACAGAAGTCTGTGAGGTAAGGTATGACATTTTTAGGGTCGACCTTTTCCAACCCCTTCCTTCCTTGTGAGAAGGCAGAATTGCTGCCGAGGGGAATACCTTTGTGCTGTCACATCTCTCTACAATCAGAAGTACGACTTCACCCTCAGACCTTGAGTTGCTGCTTTTAGTCTTGCCGTTCTCTAATCAACCTGCCTGACATGGTATAATCTAAAGGGACATATGTTTCAGCCAATATAGCTTGGTCGGGTCACGACGATAGGCAAGACGGGCTACCACATCAAGACAGCAGCAGAGCTGTTGTATGTACGAAGTTCTACGTTGTAGCTGACTGACTTTTACGTTAATCTATTCCCTGCAACTACATATTGCTCTACTCCTCTATTTGACACTTGTTTTTTTCCATTACAATCATTGTTTTTCCTCTATCTCTCTCTTTCTCGCTCTCTTTCTAGAATTACGTCCTTCTCCTTCCAGTCATCATGATGGTTTAGCACGCTTAGAATCCATTCTGCAACAATCACCAACAACGGGGAGTACTTGTTTAAATCCACATCACAGTCACCGATATAATCATCATCGTCATCATCATCATCATCATCATGATCATTGCCATAGAACTAATCATAACTCTTATCCAAAATATAAATACGGTTCATTTACAGGGATTCCTTTAAATTCATTGATTGACTTATTATTATCATCATCATCATCCTATGATGATCAACATTGTATCAATTCATGTATTGATTCATCTTTATCATATTTTTCATTGTGTAAACCATTAATATCACAAATTTTATGGATTCAATTATTTACAAGTGATAAATATCTTTTCATTCATAATATGAATACACTACCGACTGTCAATAATGAGAAACATGAAAAACATGATGTGCAAGACAATGAAGAGAATGGTAACGATGAAAATGTTGATGATACTAATAATGATGATGTTGACGATGATGATGATGATGATGATAGGATGAATGGTCATTTTTTACATAGAAAAACTACTGCCAACACTACTGCTACTACTGCTACTACTACAACTTGTTCTGATCTTAGATCACTTATGTTAAAACAAGGTGTTATCATTTCATCACCAATTAATAATCAGTCAATTAATACTCAACCACAAACAACTTGTTTACATTTTTTAGCTCTTGCTATTCCTTTAGTATTCACATTGATTATATTGACAGCTGCAGAAGTAAGTTGAATAAGTAAATAAATATGTATGTGACATGTTTTGATGAATATAATAATGATTATAGTTGGTTGACTGACTGTACAACCTAAGATAGACTTTGTGATAGTTGACACTCGGTATCGAGATGTATGTGCAATTGTAAGGCTCCTTTTGAGGTTTAAACTTGGGTTACCAATCAGATATCGATTGACGTGTAAGATTGTGATGTTTACAACTGATTGTTTAGTCTTTAGTTCTGATCAAAGTCTTTTGATAAAGGTGTAGTTTAAAATCACAAGTATGAGTGACTCGTAATCACTTGCATGATTCGAAATGTTGGATGTATTTGACTGAAAATCTTGGCTCTTGGTTTCGCACTAGGTGGAAATCGTCAGCACAACTGATGTGCGGGTGTGAAACAAGGTCATTAGGAACGGAAGATATCCGTAGGTTACTAGTATTCGATCATTAGGTATCTTCGAAGCATTGTTTGTGTATCTTGTGGCCATTGAATGAAGAATGTTGGAGTTCGGAATAGAATACTAGGTAAGGATGTGTGGTGAATCCACTTTTATGAAGAGAACGCAACTGGTTCAATAGAATCATTCATTATTATAACCAATCGTACCAGTGACTGTTTCACTGTGTCCGCTTGTTTAATTGTATCCAAAACACACATCTTCCCTTTGGACTTGCTCACGTACGTTCGGTAGTCTCGTTTGTGTATTCTGACCCGATCTAGGTATTATTTCGATACTACGAGATCTCCAACGAATATACCGTAACTCTGATCGCAACTGGTCTTCTAATTTCTACCTCTGACGGGATTCAACGTGGTTATTGGCGTAATATAGCTTCAATTCGCTATAGCTGGCAAATCAATTGAAGTAGTGAATCTTCATCAGTTGATTTGGTTTAGACATGTGTTACGTTTGCCCAACCACCGACTACTTCGACGGGCTATGCTGTCCAGTGTAGGAGTAGGCTGAAAAAAAGCTAGAGACTAGCAAACTCTGAATTCATAATTTATTTTTGGTATTTCATTGATTTGTATTTTTTCGAATCATATCCGCGACCCCTAATCTTTCCTTACCTCTGGTACTCTCTGATTCGGCTTGACAATTTCATGGGTTATGGTAATTTAGTCTGATGTACGTATACGCATACCAAGTTCTATGTTGCAACTAACTTATTGGCTAACTACTGTATTATTCTTGTCTACACCTCGACATTGGCAATATCTACTTCAAACAAAATACAATCCTTTAGAAATGCATCAAATTACTACTGAATGGTACTCAAACTGTTACTGCACCAATTCTACATCACTGAATACACGTTTAGTTTTCATCAAATTCATTTAATTAGAACTGTGAAACCTTTTACTTAAAATTTAATCTTTTTATGATTTACATCACTGACTGATTCTATTGAAAATCAATAAGCATTGAACAAAATATTTGGTCAACGTATAGAACTCTTCAACAATCCACACACCAACGTTTCTGTCAATGATCTGACCTATATGATTTTCACATCTCATAACAAGCTCTTAAACTTCAAACACTATCAATAGTCTAAATGTTCTGTTCAGCGTTTTTTAGCTAGTTAGTTTTTATTTTTGCTGGATGTGCTCGCTAACTCCAAGCCCAACTCTACTCCTTTATTCTGGGCTTAGGACCGGCAGTAGCTCCGAAAGGTCTACAGGCGGAGTACTCATCTGAATGTATTACTGTCACGCATGCACGTAAACAGGTCATTTGATATGCTTGAACTATTACGAGTTTACCTTAGTCAGTAAACGAGAGCGAAAATCGAGGATCCGGCGACATGACATGCTACTCTAATCCGAATGTCCCAACCTCCATATTGAGCAAACAGAAGAAGACTTGATATAAAGTAGAACTTGTATTCTAAAAGCATCCAGAGAGTACGCGGTCCGAGCCCAGAAGAGGATCAGGACCCCAAACTGGGGATCCGGGTCATAAAACGTTACAGATAATGCATATTTATACAGTTAGGTTGAATAGGAAACAACATTTGAAGTATGTGACATTGATAGTTAGGCCGATCCATAGGAATTGACCAATAGGAATGAATCAGTAGAATTAGACTTACAAATTATTCTCTTAGGATATTGGATGCCTATCCTAACAAGTAGCTGCATCTCAAAGTTGATAATTCACTTCAGGACTCGAACCCAGTTCCATTCCACTACACGCTTCGAACGCTATCCCACTGAGCTATTGATTTGAGAAAATTATTTTATATGATAACTAATACTACTACTTTTCATTAGGAAATTTTCTTCAAACTCGTTTTTTCTTTTTACTTACATCTATCTATATTAGATTGATGGCAATTCATTGAGTGGAATTTGTTCTGTTGGCTTGATCAATATATGGGCACGTGTTGGCCTTGTGTTGATCCCATTTACTTTATGTTTAATAATCAAATTTTATTATTTTATTCAATTAATTTATCAATTTATGAAATTACGTCATAAATTCTTATTGTCATCATTTCGTGTGGATCATGAATTAGCGCAACGTTTAATACGTTGTTGTTTATTTTATGGTAAGTTTTTTGAAAAAAACTACTGAGTATGTATTTATTTCCGTACAATTTATTAGTTGGAAACTGTAAATGTGATAAAATAAAATAGGTGGTTGAGACATGTGTTGTTACGTATGCTCAACCACCACTGCCTGCCTCGACAAATCATGTTGTGTGGTGTAGAAAAAGGCTTGGAAGAAAGCTTGGGGGCGGCCAAACCAAAACATGACACAAATCCATGAAGTTACTGATGACAAGTGGACTGATTCATGTTGGTAAGTGTAGACTACCTTGGTTAGGGTCCGCGAGATGATAGACTTTGAATGACATGGCTCAAAATCGTTTGCAATGGCGCAGGTGCATCCACTCTTTGTGTTCTCTCTAATTCTAACCTTCTGAATTCCTCATCATCTCCATCTTTCTCCTAAGTTTATCTCACTGAATAAAACTTCTCGAATCATATCTTTGAACTGTAGTCTTCTCCATTACCGTTAATACTTCTACTACATCTACCACGATGGGATTTGAATTGACAATCGCATCTGTGTGATAATGTAATATAACAACTTGAACTGATGTACGTGCGTACGAATGTACAAAGTTCAACGTTGTTCGTGACTGACTGACTCAATGGAATAACTTGCACCCTGTTCTACATGAATTATCGAAGAAGTTTTGATATCTGATGGACAGTTAGTCTATTACTTCAGATGTCAAAAATTTGCTCATAGTTGCTGCAACAAAATGTATTGAGATAGTATAAGTGGTTGGAGGTAGCTGGCTGGAAATCTTGCTGAATTTTTGGTTTCGTGATATTTAGCACTTGTTGGTAAGGCTGGCATCCAATTGTAATGGAACATCTGTTTCCCACTATTATCGAACCCGCCGAATCAACGAGGTACACATTTAGAGATGTTACCACAGAGTTATTCCGGCTGCAACTGACCGATTTCATGGCTGAGATATTTGCATGCTCGGTCATGTGCGAGAGCGTTTGCAGAGGGAGACTAACTCTCTCACTGTCAGCCATACCGAGGCATTTGGGTTATTGTGTGTAACTACTCATTAATAATTCAATAGTTTATTTCGTAAGTTTTTATGTAAGTTGATGTTTAAAAGTACTCGATCAACGCGTAACATCTCAACATAGTGCACACGATGTTGAATCACTTAAACTAGTAACCGTGGTACAGTGTAATCGACAGAATTCAATCAACACCAAAGAACATGGTCTAACATTGATTGATTCCTAATTGCAATAAAATAACTCAACCAGCTCCACGAACCTTTCATTCAAATGATCATTTTCTCACTTGTGACTAGCTTCGTGAAGAAGTTTCTTTTCGAGTTCTGGTGATAAGTCGTGACCAATGGAGTTCAACCCTATTCAAGTATAAAACAGTATTCACTGAAAAAAGTAGATGAGATTGTGCCAGAACATAAATTGATGGAAGTTAGACACTAACGGCGTTAGATACCGACTCTGTGGTCCAAAGTTTAGGTCCTGGGTTCGAATCCTGTGAGTAGCAGAAGTTGTAGATGCGCATTGTTGATGAGTCCCACCCATATCAGGACGAAACGGCCGTCCTTCAATGCTTTTAGGTGTCTAATTAATGTTGGTCTAACATTGATTGATTCATGATTTCAATAAATGATATTATTTACGCTACATATACACAATTTAATATTGAAATTATGTAATTTTTGTTTTATTGTTGTTATTTACAAACTAGGTATATTTTTGATTTTTCTACTAAGTTTATGGTTATTCTCAATCTGTATTCATAGTTATGTGTATTTGAATGAACCTGTTTGGTTAGAATCACAACGTCGTTTATTCTTGTAAGTGTTATTTTAATTTGTGCGCTTTTGAAGCGAAAAAATGTTTGTTAGTTTTTTTTGTCTATTTAAAATTGGTTGTCATTCATTCATTTTTATGAGTGTTGTGTAATCTGAGTACACAAATACATTTCATTTAAAATCATGAACCAATCGGTGATCAATGTCAGACCACACCACCATTAGAAACCTGGAAGCACTGGACGGCTGTTTCGTCCTGGTATGAGACTCATCATTGGCAATGCGCATTCACGACCCCCCCCCTTGCGGAAGTCGAACAATCTGGAGGTTAATCGTTCATAGTTAAGACTGAAGGTCCTCGGCTTTGATCCCGTGATCAGAGATCGTGGATGTGCACTACCGCTGATGAGTTCTATATTAGAACGAAACGGTCGCCTAGTGTTTTCAGGTTTTTAATGATGATAGTCTAACATTGATCAATTTATTATTTCAATAAAACTCAACAATCCACACCAACCGATCATGAAATCGTATTCTGCATTCGTTCAAGTTGTTATATTTTATATATTAAGCACAACACTCTGAGATTATTATCATGAAAAATTCCATAGTCATAGTAGTTGTAAGCGAATTAATAGTTGTGGAAAAGATTACGCATCCATTGTCATGATTTTAATCATGTCATCAAAATCATGATTAAAATCATGACAATATATGCGTAATTCTAATCTTCTGGATTCATCAACACACCTCTACCTTTGTCTTTCTAAACTCTTATCTCACTGAATTTCACTTCGTGAATAATATCTTGGAACCCTAATCTTCTCCATTACCATTAGTACTCTAACTATCTCTCCGGCACTATAGGATTTGAATGGACAGTTGCTAATGTGGTATGGCAACCTGAACTGATGTACTTACGTACCAAGAAGTTCTACGTCGCAACTGACTGACTGACTGACTGTCATGATTTTAAGGAATAAAGAATAAATTTATTCACATGAAAAAAAAATCCAACCTAGAATTTAGAAGGAAAAAAAAGCAGTTCTTTTTCTACGATGTTATTATTATCGAAATGAACTGTTGAAGTAAGAATAGTGGTAAGTTAGAGAACTAATTTGCGGATTATTATTATTATTATTATTATTATTATTATTATTATTGTATAAACAGTTTAATTGTAGAATTATTAAGCTAAATTATCCGGTTTATATATATATATATATATATATATATATATATATATACCTTTTATTATAAGCTTTCGACTAACCCATAAATCATTACTATACTTTTGCCAATCTGCGTCACTTATGTCGCAGGCGAGATATTCGTTTGCTGACTACAGGACTAGTGTACTGCGCAATAGTTCGCTCCGTCCTACTTTATGGCTGTGAAACATGGCCAGTGAGAGTAGAAGATATTCGTAAGTTACTGGTTTTCAATCATAGGTTTCTTCGAAGCATTACTCGTGTATCCTGGGACAACCGAGTGAGCGATGCTGTTATTAGGAAGGTAAGGATGACAGATCAATAGATGAAATAGTGGAACTTCATCATTTGAGGTGGTCGGGACATGAGTTGCGTATGCCTAACCATCAACTGCTTCGTCGAGCTATATTTTGCGGTGTAGGAATAGGTTGGACAAAAACTAGGGGCGGCTAGACCAAAACGTGGCAGAAATGCATGAATTCACTGACAAGTGAACTGAGTCATGATGGTAAGTATCGACTACCTATTTGGGATCCTCGAGATGATAATAATCAATGGTTAGAGACCCTAAAAGGACATGTATCAAAACTGTTTGCAATGGCGCAGGTGCATTTATTCTTTGTGTACTCTCAAATCCTAAAATTTTTAATTCTTCATCACTTTATCTTTATCTTTTTAAGACTATTTCACTAGTTACTTACTTACTTACTTACTTACGCCTTCACTAGTTTCTACTTCTTGAATAATATCTTCTAATCCTAACCTCTCCGACTACTGCTTATACCTTTACTACCTCTACTACCCTTGGGATTTAAATTGACATTTACATCGCTGTGCTAATGTGGTATGACAGCATGAACTGATGTACGTACGTACAAAGTTCTACGTTGCTATTGATTGATTGACTGATTGATTGATATTATTCCTATTCTGCCAATAGTTTATTATTTACAGTCTACTCCTACAGCCACAGCCACTGTTGGCTCATTCATATATGATTGTATTGTTAACCATTTATTGCTGTGATGTGATCTGGTTTTGTTTTTTCTATGACAGAATGTTTTACCAGTGGTCACTTGTTTTATGTTGTTCCTCTTCGGTTGGTGAGGTGAGTTATAGTATTGGGCGAAATCGTCAAGCATACAGTGTAACATGAAGTATAATTCAGTGAGATAACTTTAGGAAAAGAAAGATAGAGGCGATGAAGAATTTAGAAGATTAGAATTTGAGAGAACACAGAGAATGAATGCACCTGCGCTATTGCAAACGGTTTTGAGCCATGTCATTCAAAAATCTAACCATCGATCATTATCATCTCACTGACTCCAACCAGATAGTCTACACCCTAACCAACATGGTTCAGTCCATTTTATCAATGACTTCATGCATTTGTGCCATGTTTTTCGTTTGGCCACCTCTAACTTTCTTCCAACCTACCTCTACATTACTCAGAACATAGTTCTTGCAGTGTATAGGACATAATAAATACCACTGATATGATATCTATCTCATTTCTTTGCAGTAAAATTGAATGTTTTTGTTTTCTAAAAAATTGGTACACCTATCAAATATCATGACTATGATTAGTTTTTTTTCTGCTTACAACATTGTTTTCTATGATTTTTTTTCTCCTTTCTGTCCCTCACTTCCTTCTTTCAGATGTCGTATACGTTATCGTTTATTAGGAGGATTTGAGGATAATGAATTCAGCGCAATGAATACCTGTTTGAATACAGATTTATCGTATGAGTCTGTCAATACAGCATCTACGTCGTCGTCGTCATCATCATCATCATCACCGGCAGCAACAACCATGGCAGCATTCACACAATCATTGAATATGCATTCAAATCCTCTCTCTTCCATAGATGATGATTTGTCTTCTTCTAGTAATCATCATAAAGCTAGCTTACAATCCACCTCTTCACAATCCATAACTGACATGTTCACAATGAAATCGTCTGATCTACAACACCAACCAACAGGACACTCCATCCAATTGAATCATCATGACAGTATTGCTACTTCATTGACAGCGCACACTTATTATCATCAACTATCAATGCATAATGAAGAAATGTTTTCAATGCCAAAACCATCTATTGGTCCATTGTTGTTACATTTATTAATTTATTTTATGATTAATCTTTTATATAATTCAATATGTCTATTAGATCCATCAGTGAAACGTACTTGGTGGTATTTAATTAAAAAGTAAGCTTATTGTTATCGTTATTATTATTATTATTATTATTATTATTATCATGATCTCAAGATAAATTCTCAATTGAAGTTTGTGTCGGTTGTGTGTGCGCGTGTTTTGCTATCGATTCACGTGTATTGTTATTAGAATGCAAACATATTTGGGATACGATTCTCCCTTCTGGAAATGCAAACTGTTGCTTCAGGATTGGGTTGCGTCGGCACCTGAACTAATGATAAGGAGTGAAGCAGTTGAGCGTGTTGGCCACGCTTCACTTATCTTGAGGATCTCATCAGTGCTGATGGAATGGTGACTGACTTAATCTCAATACGGATACAGAGGGCTCGATTGGCTTTTGCCAATTTGTGTTACTTATGGCGCGCGGTAGATATCCGTCCGCGATTGTACTGTGCAGCAGTTCACTCCATCCTGCTTTATATCTTGGGACCATTGAGTAAGCGACGCTAGAGTTAGGAAATAGGTACTTGGTAAGGATGGCGAATCAATAGATGAAGTGGTGAAACTTCGTCAGTTGAGGTGGTTGGGACATGTGTTGCGTATGCCTAACCACCGACTGCCTCGACAAGCGATGTTTTGTGATGTAGGAGTAGGCTGGAAGAAAGCTAGGAGCGACCAGACCAAAACACATCACAAATCCATGAATTCACTGACAAGTGGACTGAGTCATGTTGGTAGGTGTAGACTACCTACCTGGTTGTGGTCTACTGGGGAATCGTAACTGATCGTTAGAGACTTTAAATGACATAACTCAAAATCGTTTGCAATGGCCCAGGTGTCTTCTTTCAATTTCTAATTCTCTAAATTCATTATGACCGTTTTTATTTTCTTTTCAAATTTATTTCACCGGATCATACTTCTCGAATGATATCTCCCAACCCTACCACTACCTCTACTACTATAGGATTTGAACTAATAATTTCATCTCTCTGTGCTAATGTAGAATATGTTAACTGGAACTGATGCACATACGTACAAAGTTTTACGTTGTAACTGGATGACCAGAGAATCATCTTATTTGTTTAGCGTTTTTTTCTAACTAGTTAGATTCCTACCGGATGGGCTCGATAACCCCATACCTGACCCTGCCTCTACTTTATCCGGGCTTGGGGATCGGCAGTAACCTCTTCAGAAGCGGCTCCAGACCGAGTTTTCTTTCAATATCATCTGATCTAAATTCAATCATATGATAACTGTATATTGATATATATATTCCATTTTTCACTCTATCTCATTTGTCTTATAGGCTTGTATTTTGGTGTCGACTTAAAAAAGACAATTTCTTTCAACAACAACAACAATCGCAACATTCACCATATCATACATCTTCTTATTCACAGGATTATAACAATCATAGTCATGACAATGTTGTTACACATACGCACAATGAAACTAATCTAGATATGTTCAATGAGAATAATCATAGTGCTAATTTTATTCAATCTTATTTTAAACATTTAATTATTGGATTCAGTTGGTGGGATCCTGGATTTTTCACTATACCAACACCAATTTTAACAAATTTTGATTTATGGGAAAAATGTACCATCATGTTTCATAATACACATCGAAAAACTGTAAAAAATTCTCCAAAACGAAACAAAAAACAACAAGATTTTGAATTAGTCAAATGTAAATTCAATCGTTTCACTAATAATGTTCATGACAATACTACTACTACTACTACTACTACTACTACTACTGATGCTACTAAAATGATGAATGTTAGTAGTATGGTGAATTGTACTGAAAATAATCCTAGTAATGGTTGTAATATTATAGATCTGAATGTCAGTAATAATAATAATAATAATAACGATAATCCTTTAGATCAATGGAATGATATCATGAATAATGGTCAACATTTATTAACTTTACTATCGAAATTACTAGTTCTACCAGTAAATCAACATCATCATCATCATCCTATTGATCATGATAATAATTCAAATGATTTATTAGAACAAACAGTTTTAAATTATCTACAACAACATCGCCAATCAATGTCAACTTCGTCATTACCATCATCGCTGCATGATGATGACATTCATATGAACAATAATAATGCCAACATTAATCATAGTAATAATGATAGTAATCCTTTGCAAAATGTTTTATTGTACATTCTACATCAACTATATCAATTATCCAATGCAACAAATACAATACCAATTGATTATAATGATGATCATGTTTCAAGTGAACATCATCCGAATAATGTGATCATAAATTCTACCGCAAATACTACATCGACTACTAATAAAAGTAGTATTAGTAGTAGTAGCAGTAGTGGTGGTGCTGGTGTTGGCAATCCTAGTAAAAACACTGCCAATACAATAATTAATCAATTTATTCAAACTGATGATAATCATTGTGATAGTGAAAAGTTTGCCATACATCAATCCGACTTGACAATGGCTACATTGAATGCAGCTGCAGTTGCTGCTTATGAACATTATCAAAAACAATTGTCAGATCTAACAACAGCAGTAAGTTGGATTTGATTGTATGTGATAAATTATGTAATCTTAGTTTTTTTTGGGGGGGGGGAGATAACTTTATCATTAATTGATATTAGCTAGAGATTATTAATAAAATGTCAAGGATCTGAGTTGATATTAGCTCATCTCCTTGTTCTTACGTCTTCCATGGTCGTTTTTAAATTTTTATTGATACAGATATGGTCGATTTGATTGTGAGTAGTATGATCCGGTGAAATTCATGTAGCTTTGTGTGTACGTTTGTGTTTAAATAGTTTGAATTATTTTTTTTTCTGATTAGCTTTTTTTTACAGCGAGTTAGTTTTCTATGGGATAGGATTGCCCAACCCTCTTCCCTTATGTGGGCTTGAGACCGGCAGTAGCCCTAGTGGAGCTCCAGGCGGAGTCAACAACAACTGTGTAGGTCAAAAAAAATTTATACTCTTAAGGGGATCGATCATGTTGATAGTGGGTGGTACAGTTATCTTTGATGATGATCATAATAATAATGAGTGGTCGTCGGATTCTTAGATTTTTTCTAACTTAACGGTTTAACATATATTAGGTTGATATTCTAAATAAACTTGGGCATAATATCCTACAGAATCACAGATGGATGCTGCTGAGGAGTCACAAACTAGGCCAAAGACAGCTATCATTAGTAGGTTATCAATTCGTCTCTTGTTATTATCGATCTGTAACAAAAAGTCGGTAATTTGAACCAATCTGATCAAGACTATTCAATTGAGCTATCACGATTTCTACTCATTTTTCTACATTTTTCGTAGAGTATTACACAACGTCGAAGCAGACACAAACGATTACTATCTGGACGTGCATCATGTGAGTTACTTTATTGATTCAACTTACTCATATATATAATATTTGTATTGCTCATGTGTTTTTGACTGTAAGTGGCTGGCACAAATCCATCAAGTCGCTGACAGCTTGTCTGAGCCGTGTTAATAGGTGTAGACTATCGCGAGACAGTAGTACCCGATGGTTACAGACTTTGAATGACATGGCTGAAAATCGTCTACAAGGGCACAGGGGCATCCATTCTTTGTGTTCTTTCAAATTTTAATCTTCAGAATTCCTCATCAACTTTATCTTCATTACCACTAATACTTTTACTACATCTACTACTATGGGATTTGAATTAACAGTTGCATCTTTGTGCTAACATGGAATGGAAAGTACGTACGTACGTACGAAGTTCTACGTTGTAACTAACTGACTGTATTTCTCTAGTATAATGGATGTTTGATTTGTCAGCATTTTGCTTGAACCATCGTCTATAGTACTAAATAAATATCTGTTATTGAAAATCCAGTCGAGTCATGTTGTTTCGGCTCTAGACGTTATCACAATACCTTAGTCGAATGTTCTATTAAGTACCGAATACAAGAAAATTAATAGATACTTCCAGAACTTCAAAATCAAAAAAGGCGGTTTTCCTAGGAAAATACTCTCTCAGCCTTTGATTTGTAGATCTAATGCATAAGACATTCTCACAGTAGCAGGTGATCAAAATAGGTTTATATGCCATCCGTTGCATCAGGATATTCTAGTCTCCCTAGACTAAACTCTCTATGTCCATGGACATTATGTACATAAGCTTCAATGTTAGCTGGTAGTTGGAAGTCATCAACCAAGATTTCGTGCTGTTTGGCACTATTCATCAAGGTGTATCTGTCAAGAAACATCTTTTTTACTCTATATTGCAGGTGTATCTTACTGATGATTGTTCAATATCACGGAACCTAGGTTCAGGATTCCTTATTATATATACTCCATGATTGTGACTATAGATACTTAAACAGTTTAACAATACATTTCTCTTCACATCTGGAAGATCTTTGATCATTTATCCCATGTCAAATTATCAATCAGTATTCTAATTTGTTCTATCTGACATCTACTACTATCTTAAGTCTAAAATTAACAACCAGACGATTTACCTCCCCCTAGACCACTGAACCGGCCGACATCCAATGAAGCTAATGTCTAACAGTGTTTAACAACAATCTCTATAACTGTTAGGATATTCATCCAATATCCTAAGAGAATTATTGGTCAATTCCTATTGATTAATTCCTACTGGTCAATTTTATGATCGTCCTAGATATCAATGTCACGTGCTCCTATGTTGTTTCTTATTGGTTGTCCTGACTTTCAATGTCACTTCAAATGTGGCTTCCTATTGGTCGGCTTAACTGTTGATCTCACAGACTTCAATGCTGTTTCCTATTCGACCTAAATGTATAAATACGCATTATCTGTAACGTTTTATGACCAGGACCCGGACCCGGATCCCTAGTCCAGGATCCTGATTCTCTTCTGGACTCGGACCTCGTACTTTCTGGATGCTTGTAGAATACAAGTTCTACTTCATATCAAGTCTTCTTCTTTTAATCAATGGGGGTTGGGATAATCGGATTTGAGTAGCATGTCGTGTCACCGGATCCTCTATCCTCGCTCTCGTTTTCCGACTAGGCAAACTCGTAATAGTTCAAGTATAATATCAAGTTGACGTGTTTACGTGCAGGTGTAACAATAACTCTCCCTATAATTAAAAAGACAATTTTATTTTATGAATTGAGTTATTTTAATGCTGATCAGTTTTGCTTTGTTTTTATATTGATTTTTTCCTTCTTCTTCTTCTTCCTTTTGTTTATGTGTGTGTATGTGTCTTGTTGCTGTGGTTGTGGTTGTTGTTTTACATGTCAAGTTCGTCGTCGTTACAGTCAATCGCGTCGTTTATCAACAAATGGTTTATTTTTGCCTAATTTAACTGCATCAATGAATTTATTAAGTAAAAATATGAATTCTTCTTCGACAACATGTTCTATCAAATCTCAATCAACAATTGAACAACAACAACAGCAACCTTTTACAACATCAATACTGACTGGAACAGAAATTGATAAACCGCTAACACAACCAATAACATCTGAACGAAGAGGTTCATTCAATCATCTACTACAAGCTGCAGCTTCTATGGTTGCTGCTGCTGCTGCTGCTGCAGCTGCCACTGCCAACGCCGCCACCGCTTCCACAGCTACCAACAATCCAACAATGGATTTGATAAAAATAGCAAAAACTAATTTTAAAAGTACTAGTAGTAATAATTCATTCAATAGTAGTAGTAGACATCATCGATTAAGTCAATCAGGATTGAGTGGACTTGATTCCATTTCAAGTGGTGGTGGTGGTGGTGGTACAGCTTCAGGTTAGTAAAAATACAGTTGAACTACTGTTTGTTTGTTTGTATTTTTGCTGATGTGAAATAATTTAAAAAATAGATGATTTTGATTGGTTAGCAATAGGATGTAAGTTACATGTTCCTTTTTTTGTGGCTCTCTACTTGAACCCTACTGGTTGAGTCTTAACTTATGGAGAACTTTTATTGAGATTGATTTCTGCAAGTGGTGTTCGTCCGTTCCTGTTTAACTTGGTCATAGACATGCTTTTAGATACAACGCTTGTATCATCTAACTTTTCAGGAGTTGAACTTTTACTAGGAGCTTCGTTTATTTACTTGGAATATACTGATGACATAATCCTATTTGGTGAGGATGCTGATGAAATGCAAGCACGGATACAGAAGGCTCGATTGGCTTTTGCCAACTTACGTCACTTATGGCGTAGGCGAGATAACTGTTTACTAACCAAAGGATGAGTCTTTTGTGGAGTATTTCGCTCCGTCCTACTGTATGGGTGTGAAATATAACCAGTCAGAGTAGAAGTTATTCGTAGGTTGCTTGTTTTCTATCATACTTTTACCCGAAGCATTGCTCGTGTATCATGGGACAACTGAGTGAGCAATGCTATTGTTAGGAAACTGGTCCCCTATGTAAGGATGGCAGGTTAATGGATGAAGTATTGAAACCTCAACAGTTGAGGTGGTTGGGACATGTGTTACGAATTCCCGACCACCGAATGCCTTGTCGAACTATGTTTTGTGGTGTAGCAATAGGTTAGAAGAAAGGTAGGGGCGGCCAAACTAAAACATGACACAAATCCATGAAGTTACTGACAAGTGGACTGAGCCATGTTGGTAGACTGTAGACTGCCAGGCTAGAGTGCGCCTAATGATATTAACCGATAGTTAGAGGCTTTGATTGACATGGCTCAAAATCCTTTAACAATGTCGCACGTGTTCTCTCAAATTCTAATTTTCTCAATTCCTTATCACCTTTATTTTCCTCACCGCTAATATTTCTACTTTAGGATTTAAATTAATAGTTGCATCTCTCGGTGCTAATGTGGTATAGCAACTTGAACTGATGTATGTACGTACATAGTTCTACATTGTAGCTGACTAACTGAATATTTAACACATTCACATAAAATTTCATTTTATTTTTTTAGCTTTTGGTGGAAGTCAAATCTCATCAACATCAATTCGTAGTGCTTTAACCAATGTTGACCATCTATCTCATCGTCACCATCGTCATCCTCATCATCATCATCATCGTCGTCGACGTCAAACTTATCATACTCGATCATCTTCAACATCTGAAGCTCCATTAATCAATCATATCAATAATAATACTCATACTCTCAATGAATTACAATCTAACAATAATACTATTGGTGTGTCGATTATTGACAAGTATAGTAATCCTATCATCACCACCACTACTACTACTACTAGTACTACTACTGTTAATCCTAATACTAATATGCATAGTATGGGTAGTCGTATGTCATCATTACATTCTATTTCATGTGCTTCATCATCATCCGGTGCGGAATCATACAATTCTTATCGTTTATTAATTAATCAAGCTGGTGCAAGTTGGCGTGAATTATGGCGTACACGAATGTTATTAATGCATGTATTACGTTGGGCTGAAAATGTCACATCATTTATGCAATCGAACAATAATAATAATAATATCCATTCAAACATTATAGCTCATCATGAATTGACTCAATCACAAATGAGTCTGTCAAATTGTGTTGATGTAACTGCGAATCAAACGAACGTAAACTGTATGAAAACAACACCAGCGGCGGTGGCGGCGACAATAACAACCACCACTACATCACCACTTGTCGCTGCTCCCCTTAATTGTGATGATATTGTGAATGTGACAAGTGGAAATAATCATTCATTCAATGTTACTCAACATCAGCATCAACAACAATTGCCGCCAACATTCTCATTGAATCAGTTGGATGGGATGACAGATTTCAATGGACAATTAGTTCAATTGATTCTGTCATTGATTGAACAACAACAACAACAACAGCAGCAGCAACAATCAATCCATCCTGGAACTGGATCTCAATCGAAATTGGATAGAAGTGAATCACTGTTGTCAACTAGTTCATTGAATAATTTACCTGTTGAATCATCGTTACAAACAGATATGAATACAACAATAACAACAACTACTACTACTACTATTATCACTAGTACTATTACTGCTACTACTACTACTACTACTACTAATACAAGTAATAGTAGTAGTAGTGTGAATCATTTCTATGGACAACCAAATCCATTGACCACTATGGATCCTATGATAGCAGCAGCATTTGCAGCGGCAACAGCGGCAGCTACTGTAGCTCTGCAACAACAACAACAACAACAGCAACTGCGGCTGCAACAAGGTTTACACCAATTGTCACCGTCAAATTCAACCTCATCTCCTGCTACTACTACTGGTGTTGTTGCTTTTGATACACCACCAGTCACTACTACTACTACTACTACTTCGACTACTACTATCAATAACATCAATGATCATGTTAAAATGTTTGATCAAAATATTGGTGGTACTAATCAAATGAATGTTGTCAGTAATCAATTCTATCATCCAACTATGAAACATTGGACTAATGAATCATGTTCATTCGGATCAATGGTTTGTTTGTTGTTTATAATACTTACTTACAATACGAGTTTATGTATCATAATTTCTTTTTTTTTTATGATTATGTCAATTTCTTCGAAACTAGGATGAATAGTCAGTCAGTCAGATGCAACGTAGAACTTCGTACTTAAGTACATCAGTTCATGTTGCCATACCACATCAGCACAGAGATGTAATTGTCAATACAAATTCAATAGTAGAAGAGGTAGTAAGGGAATTAGAAGTAATCGGAGAGGCTAGGATTAGAAGATACTATTCAAGAAGTATGATTCAGTGAGAAAAGTTTAGAAAGTCAAAACTAGAGGTGTTGAAGAATCCAGAAGATTAGGATTTGAGAGAACACAAAGAATAAATGCACCGGTGCCATTGCGAACGATTTTGAACCATGTCATTCAAGGTCTCTAACCATCGATTACTATCATCTCGCGGACCCCAACCAGGTAGTCGACTATTACCGACATGGCTAAGTCCACTCATCAATGACTTCATGGATTCCTGCCATGTTTTGGTTTGGCCGCCCCTAACTTTCTTCCAACCTATTCCTACACCACAAAACAAAGCTGGTCGAGGCAGTCGGTGGTTGGGCATACGCAACACATGTCCCAACCACCTCAACTGATGAAGTGTCACTACTTCATCTATTGATCTGCCATTCTTACCTAGCACTCTATTCTTAATAACAGCGTTGCTCACTCGGGTGTTCCAGGATATACGAGCAATGCTTCGGATACACCTATGATCGAAAACCAATAACCTACGAATATCTTCTACTCTGACTGGCCATGTTTCACAGCCATAAAGTAAGACGGAGCGAACTACTGCACAGTACACTTGAACGTTACCTGACACTTCTTATTGGTGAAATTTCATCGGCACTGATGAGACTCCCCAGATAAGTGAAGCGGTCTACACGTTCGACTACTTCACTCCCTATCACTAGTTCAGGTGCCGATGCAACCCAATCTAGAAGCAACATTTTGCATTTCGAGGAGGAAAACCGCATCCCGAACATGCTTGCATGGTTGCTTAGGGTAGGATGAATAAATGTAGTTGAGACATGTATTATGATTGCTCAACCTCTGATTTCCTCGGTAAGCAATGATGCTTGGTGTAAGAGTGGGCTGAAAGAAATCTAGGGGCAGTTAGCGCAAAACATGACATGAATCCATAAAGTCACTAACAACTAGAATAAGCCATGTTGTGGTAGGTGTAAACTAGCTGATTTAAGGTCCGCGAGATAATCGTAACCGATGATTATATACATTGAAATCGTTTACAATGACGCAGATGCATCCATTCTTTGTTTTCTCTCAAATTCTAATGTCTCTTCTGTAGTCCTCATGACCGTTGTCTTTTTTCCCTCTTTCTCTTTTAAAATTGATTCTTTTGGGATATATTCAATGTTTAATGTTTCCTCTAATTACCACTAATACTTCCAGAGTGATGAATGAACCACTAGAAACCTGAAAGCACAGCTGTTTCGTCCTGCTACAGGATTCATCAGTGGCAGTGTGCATCCGAAACTCCTGCTACCCGCAAAATACGAACCCAGGACCCACGGTCTTGTGCACGTAGACGCCTAACCTCTGGACAACTGACCCGGCATCCAATGGTGCTAATGTCTAACACTAATCCATCTAAGATTTCGCTCAACCCCACCCATTGTCTTCGGCAGTTACTGCCTACACCCTACAGGGTTGAGTTCCACTGGTCACGTCTTCTCACTAGAACTCCGAGAATATCCTCACAAAGCTAGTCACTAGTGAGCACATTGTACGATTTTTCATGGTACAGTCATATAGATTGTTATTTATTATTGAAATCATGAGGTTGACTGATCAGAGTTAGACTTCAACACCGTTGGATGCAGGCTTAGTGATCCAGAGGTTAGGCGTCTACGCGCACAAGACTGAAGGTTCTAGCTTCGAATCCTGTCAGTAGCAGGAGTCGTGGATACGCACTACAACTGACAAGTCCCATACCAGGACCTAATCGCGGTTCAAGGCTTCCAGGTTTCTAATGGTGGTCTAACAGTGGTTGATTGATGATTTCAATGTGTGACCTCATGAAAGATCAATCCCCCCTTTTGATATGTTTCTTGATCCCATGTTTCCTTATGATTTTTTCTGATTGCTTGATAAATCGGGTTAATGTCGATGTCCGCCTGAGCTACCAATTTTCTCCGCCATCTCAATGATCCATGTTAGACCAACCACACAGCCATTAGAAACCTGACAGCATTGGACAGCTGTTTTGTCCATTTTTTATCGATTAACTTTGTGGATGATTCTTTTCTTTGTTTGTTTTTTTCTAGCCACAAGATCCACATCATTTGTCTAGTAGTATTAATAGTCAAAATGTTACATCACAAGTATACAATCCTTCCAATACTAATCACAATCTACCACCAATGACACCAATCAAAAATACTCCACCATATTTACAAACTCCTAATCAATGGTTCCCTCAATTGTCATCCATGTCGAATCAACCAATCAAACCGATCAATAATATGAGACCATATTATTATAATTATGAAATGCAACCAAATTACACGTACAGAATGAATATACCTACTGACGAACCTCATCCTCATCATCCTCATCAGCAGCACCAGCATCAGCATCATCAGTGTACTATTGCACCAGATCTACTGTTAGACCATGATCAATTGACTAGAACAGAGGCGCCTAGGCATATAAATATGATTCATAATAAATCGATAAACTGTTCATTAACTGAACAACACCAACACCTACAACACCACCAAGAATCTGTAATTCATCCGACCAGCTCATTCAATTCTCCAGTGAATAATAATATGCCACATATTCCATTCTTATCCAATTCTACTACATTCTCTCCGGGATTTCATTCACAACAACCGAATCCTGTGTTATATTCTAATGTAGGTCATTGTTGTTGTTGTTGTGTTTTGGTTGTGGAACTTTCATCAGTGTTCTTTTGTACAACAACATTATCAGTTACAGTCTTTAGGTGTAGAGAGTGAGAGAGAGAGAGAATTGGAGTATTCGAATTTCTCTCCACGTCAGTCAGTCACTCAGTTACTATGTATAACTTCGTATGTACATACATCACATTAGCGCAGAGATGCAATTGTCACTTCAAATCCCATAGTAGTAGAGTTAGTAGAAGTATTAGCAGTAATCAAAAAGATTAGGGTTCGAAGATATTATTCAAGAAGTAGAATCTAGTGAAATAAGCTTAAAAAGAGAAGGATAAAGGTGGTGAGGAATTCAGAAGGTTAGGATTTGAGAGAAGTCAAAGAATGAATGCACCTGTGCCATTGCAAATGATTTTGAGCCATGTCTTTCAAAGTCTCTAACCATCGATTGCTATCATCTTGCGTGCCCCAACCATGTGTAGTCGACACCTACCACCAACATGACTCAGCCATCCACTTGTCAGTGACTGCCATGAGTGTCTGCCCCCAGCTTTCTTCCAGCCTACTCCTACACATCACCAAGCATAGCTCGACGAAACAGTCGATGGTTAGGCATACGCAACACATGTCCCAACCCCGTCAATCCAGTCCACTCATGACTCGTAGCTGTAATACCATAATCATCCACCTGAGCTGCAAATTTTCTTCATCATCTCTATAGCAGAACTGTTGGATGCGTTTTCATCCAATTTATTATTATTATTATTTCACAACGATTAATTAGTTGGTCGAGTTTATCCAACAACAGAATTGTGTACTCGAACTGCAACCTACAAAATTGACAAGATCATGTTATGTGTAATGACCAAAATTACAAACCAAAATAAGTCATCTTCTCTATTTTATTCCAAACAAGTTACACTTAGTGAGTCTGGAGTAGAAGAGAAGGAAATCACATATTTAATAGTCAATAGGCTGTGACTGGTTATCCACGCTCGATGATCGATCACATTCTCCTCTTAGTACTTACTACACATTAAGTTATTATTTGTATAAAGAGTGTTATTATTATTATTATTACTCTTCCGAATCCAAAGGGGCACTGAAATATTTATCCGTCACACAAATTATAGAATTTGTGTGTGAGCTAACAGCCTAAACTGAAACTGATGATTTTTGCAAGAGACTACTCTTCGAGTTTTTAATCTAGTTATCTAATCTACAAAGCAATAGAATAGCAGTAGGAGATGTGGTCCCATGATAGCCGGTAATGAACAATGTACCCTATCAGGATCCTCGAGCCCGTGGGCACCATTAGTTTACAGTCAGGGTTTTACAACTGTTAGGGACGCTTGAAGCTATTACGGGTTCACCTTAGTCGATAAACGCGAACGAGACAATTAATCAGCGTCCAGGTAGGCTACCTTTATCCGAAAACGCCAAAACAGAAGTCTTGATAAGCCTAGAAAGTATATTCTACAAACACCCAACAAGCACAATACAATCAAGCACACAAATCTCGTTTAGTTATACATCACGGAAACGTCCATGGGACAGTCACAAAAATAACACTAAAATAGACAGCAGCCAATCACAGCCAAGGATTTTTCTGATGGGAAAGGAAATCTCAAGGTCAACTGATCAACCCGCGCTCGCAAACGTAAAATCCAAAATAAGGCATTTATCAAGCGAGTTTTGAGGATCTAACATCCCCAACAACAACTCCCCTGAGTAGATGAATCCACCGTACCCATCAACACGATTCAAGCCTCCGCCGGACATTTATCTCTTCAGTCGTGTAAACAAAACCCCTTGATGTGAGGCAGTGAACAGGACTCTCCTGGCAGTGACCATACACGCATGGTCAGATGAAAGCATTTCGGAAGGTAAAGTGGACTCTTCTCACTCTCAAATTTATCAAGGCATTTGGAAGCCAATTAAAATACAAAAGTTTGAATATATGTAGTTATTCAGTTGTGATTATCACCAGTTTGTTTTTTTATTCTATGAACTTGGTTACTTACTTATTTACTAACGCCTGTTACCACCGATGGAGCATAGGCCGCCGCTGTTGTCTACGCATAATACTTCGGATCTGTTGACCAGACACCATCAGCAACAATCTGCTGTAGGAATGAACAAACTAGATTCCAGTGGAGGGAGAAATTGTGAAGAACCGCTAGTGGACGTGAATAGGACACACATTGCGGAAACCACCGTACTACGTCACAAAACAAGCCCTCACTTGGAACCCACTAGGACAGAGGAAGAGCGGAAGGTGAAGACACAGACATGAGAAGAATGAGCAAAAGCTGAACAGAACTAGGAAGGGAAGCCCAGTACAGAGTAGGTATGAGGATACTTGTTGGCGGCCTATGTTGTGTTGTGGGCAACAGTCGTAGGTAAGTAATTAATATCAATAGTCGCTTCAGGTATAAAACTATTCTGAATGTCTCGAAGTTTTTCACTACGTATTCCGTTATATTATAGTTAAAAGTTAAATAAATTAACTTCATGAGCCTACTGCTCCAAATAATTTCATGTTAAGAATGGGATTCGAACCCTTATCCACAGAATGGAGTGCAATAATTTACTAATTGACTTTTCCTTTGCCTTTCACTAATCTCTCTATATTTATAGACATGTACAAATCCACCATATATTGTAACCGGAAGTTCATATTTTAATAAAAATGTACAAATTCCTACACCATCCTTACAACATACAACTCAAAAACAAATTATTGATCATGAAGACACTGTACGATTATTACACAATCCACTTGAACAAGTTGTCCCGGTCAATAATAATAATAATAATAATGACTCAGATGCATTTGACAGTGAAGATGACATTGTCTCAGTTGATGAAGAAGAAGAAGAAGGGGACAAAGAAGAATTTCATGAAATAGTTGATTATAACAATCATGAAAAAATGGAACTTGATCGTTCGAGACATCAAAGTTGTCAACAAATACAACCACAAGCTCACCATCACCACCAGCAACAACACCAACAACAACACACAAATGTGTTCACACATAATCCCTATGAAAATTATACGAATACGCATGAACAAATGATTAGATTTCATACAAATAATTCACATAAATATTTTATTCCTAATTTTGTCAATCCACCCTACCATCTTCATCATCATCAGCATCAACATCATCGCCATACTGCAATGGAATCAGTTGATGCAGTGAATGCTACTACACTAAACACAACTCCATGTCTTCCATCACATCATCATACCCTATCAATTTATTCAAATAAATATTCTACAAATATTATTTCAGATGATGGTGAATTATCTAGTGTAAGTCAAAGTGCTAGTCAAGTTGTTCCATGTGCATCTTCATCATCCTCGTCCTCCTCATCATCAGGTACTGACTCATCGTCATCTTCATCGTCACCATCATTATCAAATTCAAAATTATTGCCTCAGTCAACTTCATACGATAATGCTGATATTGATCCAACTCCTTGTACTGTTGGTGATGGTGGTGTTGTCGTTGTTGTTACTTGTGCCCAACTTGATCATATCATCACTAATCCGTCTGCCTTATTATTATCATCATCATCACAACCAATGGATCGACATGACGATGTACTGGTTGTTGATACACATCATGCCCAATTGTTATCACCTAATAAACAACCGCAATTAGATGAGACAAATAATTGACCAATGAAACAACAATGTTGTAGATTTATTTGTTCGCCTTTTCTTTATTTCCGGTGTATCAACGTACGATTTCATCCGTTGTTGTTGTTTTTTCTCCATCTTCCTTGCCTGTCTTCTTTTTTTATCAGTGACGAAGAACTGACTGTTTTTACATCTCTTCCGATCACTCACACACTTCATATGGTTGTTCTCATAACATGATATGTAATCTTTTTCTTTTTTTTTTACAAAAAAAATCTAATAAGATTAATTGTTTTTAAATTTACTCGTTAATTATTATTGTACATTGATAGATATTGATCCGTGAAAGCGCCATAAATTTTTTTCTTTAAAAATTCACTTTCTTTTCTTTTTTCCTCCAAAAATAAATTTGTATTTAACAAACTATTGCATTTTAGACAAGTATATATATATATTTTACACACAACATCTTTGCCCTGTACACTTTCTTTATATATTGATCATGAATCAAAGCGCGCTTATTGAATTATTTTTCGTTGACTCTATTTTTACTCATTCAATTTCCCCGCCGTACATCGCATAGTAATCATGATGATGATGATGATGTGTGTGTGTGTGTGTATAAAGAAAAACAGAATGGAGAATGTTTAACTTTCTTTTAACTAACTATTTGCATCAGTTATTTGCCGACTCCCAATTTCATTTATATTCACCCAGTGTGTATGATTCATTCTAGTATGATGAACGCAGTGTGTGTTCCATTTTTTGGGTTGAATTTTTTGTTTTCAAAAAAGTAAATGATGATAATATCAATCACTCTTCTTTTTTTACTCATTTTCATCTGTATTACTTTGTATTGTTGTTAGTAGTATGTAGAATGAGTTGAAATAATATGTCTTATTTTTAATTGAAAACATTGTTTCTTTAAAAATTTTCAATTGACTATTGTAAACGTAAGTTTTATGAATTCTTTTTCTTTCTATAATTATATTTATATGACTGGAAATCATAAATTAAATGAAATTAAATATGTAAATAAACTGGTCTAGCATATTTATAGTGTAAAGTGTTTATAATTTTTCATTGAATAAGTTTTCTTTGAGCCTATTACCTTTTAAATGTGTTGTTAGTCTGCCTGCTTAAGTTCGTGGTTCAGACTCCAAACTTGCGTTGTTCAATCAATTTTAGTAAGTACACACTGCAACATATTTGAGAATTCGTTTTTTTGAGTACGTCAGTGAGTCAGTTACAACGTAAAACATGTTACGTGTGTATATTAGTTCAAGTCGCCATACATCATTCGTATACAGCAAGATGGCATTTTCAATTCACAGACCATAGGAGTAGAGACAGAAGTATTTGCAGTAATGGAAAAGATTAGGGATCAAAAATATGATTGGAGAAGTATAGTATCCTAGTGATATAAATTCAACAAGAGGAAAAAGGTCATGGGAAATTCAGAAGATTAGTATTTGAGAGAACATAAAGAATCGGTGCACCTGCCCCATAGCAATCGATTTCGAGCTGACCGTAACTGCCACCTTGACGTGGTGGTCTCTTTTGTCTATCGTGACGACCCAATAGAGCTATAATGGCTGGAACATATGTTCCTTTAGGTTCTTCCATGTCGTGCAGGTCGATTGAAGAACGGTAAGACTAAAAGCAACAACTTAAGTTGTGAGGGCGAAGTCTTACTGCTGACTGTATATACAGCTGTGACGACAGCAAGTTATTTCCCTGCAGCATCTGCAGCGATGTCATCTTCTCAAAGAAAGGAAGAGTTTAGAAAAAGTCGACCCTAAAATTGTTACGACTCACCTCACCACACTGATTTTCGCCTCCGGCGAAGCTACCATATTAGAAAGTTTTCATAAGAAAGCCGTACGTGACCGGCCTCAAGAAATCGTCAAATCCAATAGTGGTAGCGATAGTAGAAGTATTAGCACTAATGGAGAAGATTAGAGTATAATTAAGTGAGATAAAATTAAAAAGAGAAAGATAGAGTTGATGAGGAATTCAGAAGGTGACCGCAGAGTCCAAGGGACAAGTGCTTGAAAGCGATCACGCACGGCCTTTTTATGAAAGGGTTTTTGAGTATTACCTCCGCTCTTGTTTAAAAGACCTTATTGGGCAGCCCTTACCGCCAGAGACGGAAATCCGTGAGGTGTGACATGTTTAGGGTCGACCTTTTCTAACCCTTCCTTCCTTGTGAGAAGGCAGCATCGCTGTAGATGCTGGTTGTCCGATTGGAAACACCTTACTGTTGTCACATCCCTCTACAGTCAGCAGTACGACTTCGTCCCCACACCTTGAGTAGCTGCTTTTAGTCTCATCGTTCTCCAATCGACCTGCCTGACATGGTAGAACCTACAGCCAGTATAGCTCGGTTGGGTCATCACGATAGTCAAGCCTGACCACCATATGAAGGTACTAGCTACGGTTGAGTGTTAGTTAGTTTTGCCAAATACACTCTTATTTGACTACTGCATTAAAATACTACCTCTTTTTTTAAAAAAATATTAATGATTTGGTAGGATATATTTCTCAACTAACCAATCTGACTGTTCTGTTTATATATTACTAACCTACCACCTACCACGATGTTATTTTTTTTGTATATATGAAAAAAAATTGCAACATTTTCTCATATTTTTTTTATTCAATAAACTATTATCTGCTTTATTATCATTATTATTATTATCAGCATCATTTTCGGCTTTACCGTACAATTTGTTCAATAACATGAATAATAATTATGTTCACTTATTGTAATTCATATCATCTGTTCAATGTTGAAGAAACACATTCATTGTCTAATGATGTCTAATGACTAATTCACACTAGTAAATAAACAATGAACTAATCAATAATTTGGTGTATATATGTAAATATATATATATATAAATCTATTATACATCATATTGTGAATAAATGAATAATGATTTCTCTTGTCAGTTGCTTACAATCTAAATTCGTAGGATTAATAAAATCATTAACAAGAAATGAAACAAGTGTACAATATTTAATATTTGAAAAATCATGTTCAATTGTGAAGGATTGACTAATGATGTAATTGCCAGTTTCGTTTAACAGTTTAGATAGATGTACTGTACATGCTAGAGTACATAAAACATGGCAGAAATCCATGAAGTCACTGACTAGTGGACTGAGTCATGTTGGTAGATGTAGACTACGTGGTTGGGGTCCGCGAGACGAAACTCACCGATGGTTAGAGAGCTTGAACGACATGGCTCAAAATCGTTTTCAATGGCGCAAGTGCATCCATTCTTTGAGCTCTCTCAAATCCTAATCTTCTGGATTCGTCAGTACCTCTACCTTTGTCTTTCTAACGTTATCTCGCTGAATTATACTTCTTGAATAATATCTTCAAACCCTAGTCTTCTTCATTACCATTAGTACCTCTACTATCTTTATCACTATGGGATTTGATTTGACATTTGCGTCTCTGTGCTCATGTGGTATGGCAACATGAACTTTTATGTACATACGTACGAAGTTCTACGTTGCAACTGACTGACTGACTGACCAGAGTTCATATGTCAGACGAATAGAAAAGAAGAGTTTTTGTTCACATCTTTTAAACATATTCCAGAAAAGTTGAAATTCAATGTATGAAAGATTTTCAACAGTATAATTAATTGTTCGTCGTCACCTAAACGTACTCAATAGAGTGATCAAGATATTGAATTCTTCAAATCTTTAAAAAGTATTTATAATAAATCTGAGTTTAAATGTGAAGATAAATTTATTGAAACGCTTGCACATTTATAAGTTAAATATCTGAATATCTTAAAAGGATGTGAAAACAAAACCTATTTTTCAAACAGTTATTAGATTACGTAATATGGAATAGTTGAGTAAAGCTCTGAGGTAAGAATTAAGGCAGTAGAATTTTGATTAAATCATATGGAAACTCATTAAAAAACTAAGATCATCAGGGCAATATAGGATTAAGAACTATTTCCTTTTGGATACATGAACACTTGGTTTAATACAATGATTTCAGGTTGTAAGCAACTGAACAGAGATTACACAAAATACAATGAATTGATGTTATTCTGCCACGAGATTTTATTCTGACTTTATTTAAGTTTTGTAAATGAGAAGAATAACACTGAATTTTCTAGGCTTTTTGATCTTATCTGAACAATAAGTTGGAAATCAAAAAAAGTAATCGAAAGTTGTTTTGCGTCTAGTATGGAATTTAGTAGTAGCATTCACAAATAATACAACCTAAGATCTTTGTGCCCCATATAAGTAAATCATTGAATTGAAATTTTGGTGTTAGCAGAGAGATAGATATTAAGGTCCTGTATTCAACTGTCTGAGGAGTAGTGGATGTGCACGCTTGAGGAGTCTGATACTAGGTAGGATAAAATAGAAATTTACTACTTCCGTGCTTTGATTGGTTTTTGAACTAGGATCTATATGGTATATAAATATTTATGGCATAAAATTAAGATACAATATGCCTGTCTATTCATTTATACCTATCCTGGGAGTGAAGAAAAGCTCGATTGGCTTTTGCCAACTTACGTGAATCGTAGCGTAGGCGAGATGTCTGCTTACTTAGTCTGGCCAAAGGAGAGCCTACTGCGTAGCATTTCACTCCGTTCAACTATATGGGTGTGAAACATAACCACTTAGAAGTGAGATTATTCGTAGGTCACTCGTTTTTGATCATAGGTGTCTCCAAAGCATAGCTCGTTTATCTTGGGACTATCGAGCAAATAATGCTGTTGCTAGGAAGGATGAAGTATTGAAACTTCATCAGTTGAGGTGGTTGGAACATGTGGTGCGTATGGCTAACCACCGACTGCCTCGTCGAGCTACATTTTGTGACGTTGGAGTAGGTTGGAAGAAAGCTAGGGGCGGCCAAACCAAAACATGGCACAAATACATGAAATCACTGACAAGTGGACTGAGTCATGTTGGTAGATGTAGGCTACCCGGTTGCGGTCCGCTAGACGGTAGTAACCGATGGTCAGGCACCGTGAATGATATGGCTCAAAATGGTTTACAATGGTGCAAGTGCATCCACTCTTTGTCTTTTCCAAAACTCTTATCTAAACTCCTCACAACCTTCATCATTCTCTTCTCAAATTTATTTCTCTCGATTATTATACTTCTTGAATAATTTCTCCGAACCCTACTCTCTCCGTTTACTGATAATAATTTTACTACGTCTACTACTGTGGGATTTGAATTGACAATTCAATCTCTGTGTGCTAATGTGTTATGGCTACTTAAACTGATGCACCTTTGTATGAAGTTCTACGTTTTAGCTAACTAACTGACTGTTTAGTTAATGATTTAAAATGAGTTTGTTGAAAGTTGTGAACATGAATTTTATATTTGCTAGAATTCATAAGGAAAGTAGGACTCACGAATTTTAATTTACTTACAGTTTGCAAAGTATTGAGACTATTAGTACTTCGTCATGCCTTGTACCACTGAGTTGGTGCAATTTCCTCCACCACTTCGCTTTTCTTTGTGTTTACGCTTTGTATTTTTTAAATTTTATTTTGTTATTACTAGCATTATTTTCGCATCCTGTATTTGTTTGTAATTTTCCGCCTCTCCACGTTTGTATTCTTCACTAACTAATTGTTGGGAACGTTAGATCCCCAGAACTCGCTTGATAAATGTCTTGATTTTGGATTTTATTCATGAACTGATCAGTTGACCTTGAGATTTCCTTTCCCGCCAGAAAAATCCTTGGCTGTGATTGGTTGATGTGTTTTTTAGTGTGCTATTTTTTTGACTTTTCTGTGATGTATAAATAAACGTGATTTGTCTGCTTGAGATCATTGTATTTGCTGGGTGCTTGTAGAGTACACTTCTATGCCATATCAAGACTTCTTGATATAGTTAACCGGGCCTGTGACAACGGATTAGAATGGCTTACTGTGTCACTGGTTCATTGTATTTTTCTCGTTTATCGACTAAGGTGAACTCGTAATAGTTTCAAGCATGTCAAGTGACGAGTATAACACTAATTATGTACACACTTCTTATTACGTAGTGGTTTTAATGTTTTTTAGTGATTATTTTAACTCTATTTATCCACGTTCGACCTACTACTGATATAACCTTTGTTATCGTATTCTGCATTTTCCTTACTACTATCAGTACACTTGTATTCCTACTATCACAACTTTTACTTTTCCGCCTATTATGTGCAGTTACGTAATCTCTATTTCATTTCATTGTGATTATTGACTCATAATAAATTTGAAATCATCAATCAATTATTGTTAGACCACCATTAGAAACCTGGAAGCACTGGACGGCTGTTTCGTCCTGGTATGGGACTCATCAGCAGTGCGCATCCACGTCTCCTGCTCCTTTCAGGATTCGAACCCGGGACCTTCGGCATTGTAGGCGAACGCCTTACCATCAGACCACTGGGCCGGCATCCAACGGTGTTAATGTTGAAACGGCCGTCCAGTGCTTCCAGGTTTCTAATGGTGGTCTAACAATGATTGATTGATGATTTCAAATGTGTAAGAAACGCAAACCTCCAAAACTCTGCCCCAAAATATCATAATAAATTGCCTTCACTGATTTACTATTTTCATTTAAAAATATTCATGTAAAAGCCTGACCACGATCTGATTGAAAACAACCATATAATTCGCTTATATCAATCTGTGTTGTTCTAATATTCACAATGAGAAGAATTTTTGGTAACAATCACATTCACACCTGCATATATAGTAGGATATAGAGAAAAAAATGAGCAGGAAAATTTTGCAAACTCAATTGTTCTACTTACAAGTAGTTAAAATGTTTTATATGAAAATATACAAATCTACATGTTATCTCAAGAATTATCACAGTTTATAGAAATATTGATAATCACAAATTATTGAAGAAGAAAATAACATAACATTGGCTACTATGAAAATTTAGCATTGAACCAATTGGATCCATTCGATAATGAAAGTAATGAATCTTTTGCTTTGACTAATATTTTGAATGCTTCTTCACTACCTGGAGCATGATTTTTATCAGGATGTAATATGAAAGCTAAACGACGAAATGCTTTTTGAATTTCTTCACTGAAAATTAGATTTGAGAGAAAAAATTACTAGTTAAATTTCATTTTCCGTTTGACAATCTGAATTTTATTGATTAGTTTACTAAGTATTTATTAACACTTGTTTACGCAAAAGACTACTAGCAACAACCTACTATGGGATAGAACAAACCAGATTCCAGTCGAGGAAGAATCGGTGGAAGGCGATAAGACACGCATTGAAGAAAGCAAACAACTGCATCACTAGACAAGCTCCTTAGTTGCAATCCTTAAGGCCAAAAGAAAAGATGAAGATCGGAAAACACATTACACCGAGAAGTAGAGACAGACATGAGAAGAATGAACCACAGCTGGAAAGAACTTAAAGAGGAAGGACAGGACAGTGTAGGTTGGAGAATATTAGTGGGCAGCCTATGCTCCACTGGTGGCAACAGGCGTAAGTAAGTAAGTAATAAAAACGGTCACTTCAGATATACAACAATTCTGAATGTTCCGAATTTTTCCAATACTCTTTCTTCTCATTCACTTGTGTCAGTTACAGTGTAGAACTTGGTACATACGTACATAAGTTCAAGTTGCCATACTACATTACCACACAGAGACACAATTTTCAATTCAAATCCCATAGTATTTCAGGTAGTAGAAGTGTTAGCAGTCATAAAAAAGATTGATGATTGAATATATCATTCGAGATATAGAACCCAAGAGGAATCGATTAAAAAATGGTTGTGAGGAATTCAGAAGCTTAGGATTTTAGAGATACAAAGAATGGATGCACCTACGCCAGCGGAGAAGCGAAAGGCCAAGGAACTCATTGCACTGAGAAATGGAGACAGACATCAGAAGAATGATCAACAGTTGGACAGAACTAGAAAGAATGTCCCAGGATAGAGTAAGTTGAAGAATGCTGGTCGGAGGTCTATGTTGCATTAAGGGTAACAGGCGTAAGAAAGTAAGTAAGTAATCATGTTATCGGACTGCTTATTAGATACGGCTTGTATAGATCCCAACATGCGTTTAGGCTTCATAAAGTAACCACTGGATGTTGATCAAATGGAAAAAATAGTACAGTGTATTTAATGAAAACTATTTTGGAAAAATTACTATCAGAAAGATGATAAGCTGAGTGAATCCAGTCATTATTTGCCTGTGTTGACAGTGGCGTCTCTCGGCTGATGGGTATTACAACCTGAACTGATATACCTACGTACGAAGTTCTACATTGTAACTGACTGACTGACGGTTACTCAATCAGAGTTTTATAGTCATTCTCACTGGCGTATAAGAAATGCGTGTATGTGTAACAGAACAAACAGAGCGCGAAATATAACAGAAATTAATCGACAAAGTAGACAATATTTATTTCGAACATGAATTGCTCAGTTTACTTTAGCATAGAACTTAGTACGTATATGTACATGAGTTCAAGTTGACATACCACAGAAGTAGAGAGAGATGGAATTGTTTTGTTCAAATCCCATAATAGCGGAAGTAGTATAGCAGTATTAGCGATGATCGAAAGGGTTAGGGATAGAAGATGTGATTGAAGAACTATAATTCAGTGAATATTAAGATTGTTAACTAAATAACTGAAGACTTGATACCAATTATTGATTCATGTCATTTTAACAAAATTTAAAATTGGGTGACCCTAAACTCAGTCTGCAGATTATAATTTATTAAGTTAGAGATCTGGTATAACACAAATCAAAAATGAAGTTTTCTTTTTTGCCTCTTGCCTATCGGTTATCACCTTGAAAAGATGATCTATCTGAGAGAGATTGTAGTATGTGTAGGAATTGGTTGAGCACACGTGTCTTGTCCTAGTTTTTGAATAAAATAATTAACCTTGTCTGCTGGAGTGATCATTCGCCTGTCTTTTGACCTTGTCAATAATTCACTCAGAATCTTGGTTAACTTTACTTTAGTACGTATGTGAATTGCTTACCTCACTTGTCACATGTCTAGCCTATTTTAGTCGGACTATAAATACTTGTTCATGTCATATTACATGAAGTTGTATCAGTTGCCTCCTCCGCTTTAACTCGGTTTACGTTTACGCTTTATATATTCGTGTCTATCTTCATGAACGTTTTCATGAAACAAACTCATTCAACTGAGTCAGTATTTGGCTTCTTATTACCGCCCTCGCACAAATGGTGTTCACCTTAGTTTGTATGATACACGGAAATTGAATGGAAGATTTATTTCACAGCCTACTCCACCGTTCATCTAAATTGGATTCAAATCATGGAAAAACTAATATGATGAGTCCTACTTCAAATTCATCGCAACCACTAAACGACCCTTTTGGTATGTATTTTTCTAAAAGTTAAGCATGCACATGCGAAACCAAAGGTCTTGGGTTCGATTCCCGCATACAGGGATCGTGAATGTGCACTACGGACGTGTCCTACATTAGGACTAGTTCAATTCACTGAATATTTCCAAATAATCACGGTCAAATATTCAATATTACAGATTAGGAGCTAAGAATATATATGGTCATTTATTGAAAAGTCGTCATACTGAGAAGACTGAGGCAGGCTCAATGGATTGTATTTGGCAAATTTACACTCTTAGTCAATTAAAAACGATAACATTACATTGAACACTCCATTTGCACACCATCTTTGAGTCCTGACTTCCAACGCTCCAGCCTTCCTCCATTCCTGCTGTTGCTTCCTTTACTTCCTGTCGGTGCTCTAAATCTTTCTTGCTTTTGCTCTATTTGCTTTCCGTTTTCCTCTTCTGACCGTAAGACATCTTCCTTCACGTCCATTCTTATACTACTTATATCGTTCGTATAAGTAGCACACACCACACTCGTCCCCCCTTTAACAAGTCGCTCTCTCAGCCTTTCTGATCTCCGTACAGCCGTCTTCTTTATCAGTGTTTGTGGCTCGCCCTCTTGGCGCACTTGGAACCACCTTTGGAGTTCACTGACATTCACGCGTTTCTGTTTGTTTCCTTTCTGGATTGTATACACTGCGCCGCGCCTCTCGGTTACTACGTACGGTCCCTCCCACTTCGGGATCAGCTTACCTGACCCTGGCCCTCTTCCTGTGGTACATTTCCGTTCTCTACACTTCACTTGGTCTCCCACTTCAAACGGTCTCCAGTTCTTTCTCTCCTGTTCTGACTTCTGCATGTCTGATGTTTGTTTCTCTCTCACATTCCTGATTGCTTGTCTCCGCTCTGTTCTCAATCTTGTTGTATTCCATCTCTGTTGTTGCGGCCAGGTTTTATCATGCGTCGGTAGTCTCGGCCGTCTGCCATACATCAGCTGGAACGGTGACTTCCTGCTTGTTCCCTGTGCCGAGGCACGATGTGCCAGCAAGATTAATGGTAATTCTTTCTCCCAGTCACCCCCTTTAGATGCTAGCCATTCCTTTAGCGTTCGGTTATTCCTTTCCGTTAACCCATTCGTTTGTGGATGATACGGCGTTGTTCGTACTCTCTTGATACCTAACTGCTTTAGACGGGACTTAAACTCATCACTCTCGAAACAGGGACCTTGATCGGTTAATATTATCTTTGGTATCCCATGGTCAGCCACAATGTGCCGCATTACCGCTTCCGTCACCGTCCTTGCACGTTGGTCCGCCATCGGCACGGCATTTACCCATCGTGTGGCATGCTCAGTCATCACCAGCAGGTACTGGTTACCACTTGTCGTCTGTGGGCACGGTCCCATAATATCTACTGACCACAAATCACCAACTGCTGTTACTGGAATTGACTGCAATGGCGGTCGTATGCATCGATCCCCTTTCATTAGTTGACATCGCTGGCACGCTAATACATATCGTGCAACATCGTCTCTCATACCTGGCCAGTACGCACTTTGTCGCAGCAAATCAGTTGTCCGTGCAATACCTGTGTGCGCTACCTGGTGACATTCACGAATCATGTCCTGGCGCAGATCTTTTGGGATTATTGCTACCCAATTCTCGTCATCATCCCGCCAGGTCAAGGCTCCGTATCCGTTCACTCTCAGTCTCTCCTTCTGTCTCAGCAACACTGTTAATTCTTTATCTGTTCCACTCTTGTCAACATCTTCTCCCTCTTTTATCACTCTGATTACCTCCCGAAGGTTAGGGTCGGCTTTCTGATGCCGGACGAGTTCTAGGGGATCTCCCTCTAGGCCGTTAACTGCACACGCTATCTCTGGAAGTTCGGCTTCGGTGTCCGGTCTTGACAAATAATCTGCCATTACATTTTCCTCCCCTGGCACATGCCCGATACTAAAATCATACTCCTGAAGACGTAGCATCCATCGAGCCAACTTCCCCCGAGGGTCTTTTGCTGTTTTTAACCATTGTAGGGGCTTATGATCCGTCTCGATGTGAAATCGCCGACCCAGTAGATACGGTCTCCATTTGTCTACCGCCCATACAATCGCTAAACACTCTTTTTCTACTGTGGAATACTTCTGTTCTGTCGGCGTAAGGACACGGCTGGCATACTCCACCACTCTGTCAGACTGCCTCAAGACCGCACCTATACCGTGATCGCTCGCATCAGTGGTCACTGTAAATGGCTTCTCGGGTTCCGGCAGTCTCAGCGTCATTTGGCGGTCATCTAACAGCTCTTTGATTCGGTCGAAAGTTTGTTGAGCGGTCTCTGTCCACGTAAACTTCGCATTGCTTAGCACTTTATATAGAGGTGCTGCTATATCGTTGAAGTTCTTCACGAATCTGCTGTAGAACGCCGCTCTTCCCAGGAACTGTCTTAACTTCCTTTTTGAGTTGGGAACTGCAATATTCTTTATCGTTAGAATCTTCTCCGGCAGTGGTTTTATTTCTCCATTGCCTACTTTATGCCCCAGCAACGTGACGCTTCTTTTCGCTATCTGAGACTTGTCTTTGTTAATTCGTAAACCAAACTCATCAATGCGCCTTAGGACCGCCTCCACGTGCCTCACATGTTCTGCCTCTGTCCGACTATATACGACCAAATCATCGCCATAAACCTCGACATTCTCCAGGTTTCTGAGCAGCAATGTCATTAGTCTTCGAAACGTAAAGGGTGCGCCCGCCAATCCAAAGGGCATTCGTTTAAATTGATACTGCTTCTCCCGTACGATAAATGCCGTTTTGCTGCGATCACTGTCTTTTATTGGTAGCTGCCAATAGCCCGACCGTAAATCTAACACTGTGAACACCGTAGCACTCTGTAGACGATCTAATGTCTCCGCTATTGTTGGCATTGCACATGGTTTTATTTCTGTCACGTTATTCAGTTCTCTAAAGTCAACACAGAATCTATACTTTCCATTTGGCTTCTTTACCAAAAGTACCGGTGAGCTGTACGGGCTATCTGCTTCTTCAATTATACCTGCTTTTAACATCTCCTGTACCTGCTGGTTTATCTCAGCTTCCAAATGTACGGGGACCCGTCGTGTTGTGAAGATGGTTACTTCTTCGTTCTTTATCGGAATTTCATGTTTGACTTTATTACAAAACCCGTACGGTTCTCCGTCTCCCGTGAACAACTTCGTATATTTCGTGAGCACCCCGTTAATGTTCTGTTTCTTTCCACTGTCCTCTTTTGCTACTCTAACCTCAGCCACCTCGCTGCTTTCATGTATTGTCAGTGTGCCGTACTTTGTAATCACCTTCTCACTTCTTGTATCAATAATTGCTCCTACTTCTCTCAAGAAATCTGCTCCTAGTATTGGTCTCGACAAGTTCGTAGTCACTACAAAGGGAAACTGTATTTTCGAACTGCCGATTTTCACGATATCATTTGAGACTCCGAGGATTTTTAACACGTGGCCGCCGATGGTGTTAACAACTAATGCACTCGGCCTGATACCTCTACACCGCTCTTTGTCTATTAACGAAACTGCCGCCCCTGTATCAATCAGGCAAACTACCTCTCGCTCGTTTATCCCTACTCTCGCATAGACCGCCCCCTTATCTACTAATGCCGAAACCCCCAGTTTCGAAAGACATAAAGAACAACTTGTGTATGGTCTAAAATACTTACGTCTTCGTCTTGTTGGGCAATTCCTCTTCCAATGTCCGGTTCCTCCGCAAATGTAGCATTTATTATTTCTTTCACCCTTTATTCGTAACGCTGCCACCTCTCGTTGTAATTCTTCTATCTTCTTCACGACATCATCAGCCTGTCTCTCACACGCCACCGAGGCGACTGTTGAGTTCATCAGTTGTCTTGTTACTTTCGCCAGCTCGGTGACGTCCATTGGTTGTGCCGCGTTCACCAGTCTCAACTGTTGGCCAATCTCTGCAGGCACACTTTCAATGAATTGCGAGGCTAGCAGCTGTGCCTGCGACTCCTCATCCAAATTCGGCAGACCCCGGCGCAGCAATCTTGTCAACTCCACGGCCAGCACGAGTGGGTCGCCGTCCACCGACAGCTGCGCCTCTCGGAACTTCTGCAGCGCGTCCTGCCTATCCGCCGGGCTGTCGAACTCCAACAGCAGCCTTTCCGTCACCGCCTCCCAGTCAGCGTCCTCCACACTATCGTACACCGCTCTCGCCCTGCCTCTTAGTAGAGTCCCCAGCACCACCGCCTTCGCCTTCCGTTCCTTGACTCCGACCAGCTCCGCCACAGCCTCGAACTCCTTCAAGAAGCTCCTTACATCTCCGTCTTCAAACTCCCGAGGCCATGGTATCTTCATCCTGTGTGGAGGCAGCGACACCTATTGAGAAGACTGAGGCAGGCTCAATAGATTGTAGTTGGCAAATTTACACTCTTAGTCAATTAAAAACGATAACATTACATTGAACACTCCATTTGCACACCATCTTTGAGTCCTGACTTCCAACGCTCCAGCCTTCTTCCATTCCTGCTGTTGCTTCCTTTACTTCCTGTCGGTGCTCTAAATCTTTCTTGCTTTTGCTCTATTTGCTTTCCGTTTTCCTCTTCTGACCGTAAGACATCTTCTTTCACGTCCATTCTTATACTACTTATATCGTTCGTATAAGTAGCACACACCACAATACTAGGTCAACCAACCTCTTCTAATAAACCAACCATCTAATATGAATACTTATAATGATTGATTGAAGTTATAGTTTGAAGGAAGCATGAACGCATAAAACATTGATACAACATGATTGATCCTAAGGAATAGATTAGCACTTATGCATTAACTCAACTTACTTGCTTGCTGTTATACTAATTCCTAATCGTTCATAATTATTTTTAGCATTTTTTATACGATTTATTTCTATTAGATTTTGATATGTACATTTCAATGGATCATTTCCATTTGATCTAAATGATGATGTGGGTGAAGCAGCTGAAGATGGTGGTGTCGACGATTGGTTAGTAGATTGTTTTGACTGGTTATTGAATTTTGAATTATTTGGCTTATCATTGTAATTTGAATTAGATTTTGAAGGATTCGTTGTTGTTGTTGTTGTTGTTGCTGATGAATGTTGTTGATATGTATGATTAGTTTGATTTTTATGAAAACTAACTTGTGTTGGTATATAAGATTGATATACCTCAGGATTAATAATACTTTCAAATAAAGTCTGAAAAATAAAAGTTATTATTTTTGTTGAATGTTAAAAAAAAGAGGATTATATGTGTGTGTGTATATATATATTTTAAATTAAAAAATTAACGATAAACCTAAAGATTTTTAGTCTTCAGAGCATTCATCTTGTATTACGTGATCATTAGGGTAGCAATTTTGTGGTTAAGAATAGAATGTGTTATGCTCGTCAGTTGATATGCTTGAACTATTACGAGTTCACCTTAGTCGATAAACGAGAGCGAAGACAAATGATCCAGTGACACGATAGGCTACTCTAATCCAAGAGTATCAAGACCCCACTAAGTTGATGAAGCAGTCTTCATATGGCGAAGAAAGTGTATTCAAGAAGCACCCAGAAAATATGAGGTTGACAAGCACACAAATCGAGTTTAGAAACGTCCTTGAGAGAGTCACGATAATAACGTACTAAAATAATACATCAACCAATAACAGCCAAGGATTTTCCGAGTGGGAAATGTAATCTCAAGGTCAACTGGTAAGCTTATGTTCGAAAACATGATTTCCAAAATTAAAACTTTTATCAAGGGAGTTCTGGGTATCTAACGTCCCCAACAGAATGATAGACTAAGATGGTAAATCAGTTGATCAAGTGATTAGGACATGTGTTGCATATATCCAACAATCGCACATCTCGATAGGCGATATCGTCTGATGTAGAACAACGTTGAGACAGTGGTTGGGTGGCCAACCTAAAATTTCAATATTAGTCTTTAAAGTCAGTGACATTCGTAATGAGCCATGTAAATGTAGGCAGACTACTCGTTTGTGGTCAAAAAGAATATCGTAACCAGTAGCTGACATGGATTGAAACTGTTTGCAATTATACATATTCATTCAGTTTGTATTCCGTTAAACGCTCGGTCTTGAAATCTCCTTGTACATTTTTCCTTCTCCCTAAACTGAAACTGTCATTACTATTGATTTCGTCTTGATAGCCATGGATATGTTTCAACTTGGATAGATACACATTCATGTCAGGTTCTACGTTCTATTTGACTAATCGATTAGTTTTTCAGCTTATTGTTGTTCATATTTCAAGTCTCTGTTAGCATACAGGCTTCTTATGAACAAGTACCTTTGATATACTCACTGAAATCGTGAATGAATTATTGTTAAACCACCATTAGAAACCTGAAAGTACTGGACGACCGTTTCGCCCTGGTATGAGACTTGTCAGCAGTGTGCATTCACGACTCCAGCTACTCACAGGATTCAAACCTGATACTTTTGGTCTTGCGCGCGAACTCCTAACCTCTGAACCACTGAGTCTACATCCAACGCCGTTAATATCTAACTCTGATCAATCTAGGGATTTTTCGCGACCCCAACCGATATGTCTTCGGTAGTTACTGCCTACACTCGACCGGGGGGAACTCCACTGGTTACGTCCTCTCACTAGAACCCAGAGAATTTCCTCACAAAGCTAGTCACCAATGAGCACATTGTAAAATTTTTCATCAAAAGTTATGAAGATAGTTGTTCTTGAACACTGAAATCATGAACCAGTCATTATTAAATCACCATTAGAAACCTAGAAGCCCTTGAAAGCTGTTTGATATAATCTACAATTTTATTGTGTTCACATGATGAATACTATTCAACAGTATTTACAAAACTTATTCATAATCATATTTTTATCCCCTTCAATAAACTGAACCTAATTTTCTACCAATAGCGTAAATCTGCTTGCTCAGAGATCGAAGTCAAGTCCCAACCAATAATATGCACCTGTCAGCATACAAACACCCAGCCAGCACACCATGAATCTAAGCACACAAACTGCGTTTATTTATACTCCATAGAGATGTCCTTGGGATACTCACAAACATAACACACTAAAATGACACAATAACCAATCACAGATAAGGATTTTCCTGGTGGGAAATGAAATCTCAAGGTCAACTGACCGGTCCATGAAATAAAACCAAAATAAAGATACTTATCAAGCGAGTTCTGTGGATCTAACATCCCCAACAGGGTGATGCTGTTTAGGACTGGATTTCGATTGGTCTCTGTTAACAAATATGTACATTTCGAGCAGATTGTTTAAATAATAAATATCATATCTGGTCAAAAAGTTGACTAACAATCTAGACTAACCTGATTAACTGAAAAAGCGTTGACATTTGAAGACATGATCACTAGGTTCAGGTTTTAAGGTGGATGACAGACAGATACAACACTGAACTTCGTACGTATGTACATCAGTTCAAGTTGCCATACCGCATTAGCACAGAAACGTAACTGTCAGTTCAAATCCAATATCGGTAGCGATAGTAGAAGTATTAGCAGTAATGGAGAAGATTAGGGTATAATTCAGTGAGATAAAGTTAGAAAGAGAAGGATAGAGACGATGAGGAATTCAGGTTAGACGTACCTGCGCCGTTGCAAACGATTTTGAGCCATGTCATTCAAGGGTCCCTAACCATTGGTGGCTTTCGTCCTGCGGACCCCAACCAGGTAGCCTATATTTATCAAGATGACTCAATCCACTTGTCAATAACTTCATGGATTTCTGCCATGTTTGGGTTTGGCTGCCCCTAGCTTTCTTTCAACCTACTCGCCGAGGCAGTCGACGAACCATGTTACGGTAGATGCTGATGGTAGAATACCGATGAATACAGCTGATAAGTCATAAATGGAATCAAACACTCGTTCTGGATTTCATTGGTAGACACAATCCGAAAATATGATTATGTCAAGTACAGTAATAGTTATGGTGGATCGACGTTATTACTCCTCACAAATAGTCATTACTTCTAAAGAAGGCATCGAATTCTTCCTTCCTATGCTTTTAACCTCAGTTATCCGGTCTAATACGATCTTGCTTATTCTATCTAAACATGAAGTAACTAAATTAGTTAGTATGACTTGCGCTTCTCTGTCCACCTTCACCATGGTTGTAATCTAATTTTAACAATTTGGTCTTGAAGAATAATAATTTGTTTAGCATGTATTAGATCTTAACCTGAGTAACTGGCTAACATCACTTCTCAAGCATTATACTTTCAACTTAAACAGTGATAACTCATAATTGAAAATAATACCTTAAAGATATTCATAACTGTAAGGTTACAACTTATGAATAGCTCTAGAGTTATTATGACAAAAGATGTTATCGATAAATATATTGTGTTCTCCCTGTATGTCTTAATTCCAGATAAACAAGTAATAATTACGTAACTCTACACCTTTCAATAACTACTGATGATAGGTGAGATAAAACAAAACCAAAGATTCATCATGACTGACATTTTTGAAACAATTGAGTGTGATAAAAAGAGACAAATGAAAATTATGGAACACTAAGTACATGAAATAAGACCTTTTATCATAAGCTTTCCATTAACACAAATTATTACTATATGATTCAATCTTCACTTATTTCGGGAGTCTCATCAGTGCCGATCGCCTGGTGACTGACGAAATCTCAACACGGATACAGAAAGCTTGAGTGGCTTTTGCCAACCTGAGTCATTTATGGCGCAGGCGAGATATACGTTTGCTGACTAAAGGACTAGTGTGCTACGCAGTAGTTCGCCCCGTCCTACTTTGTGGCTGTGAAACATGGCCAGTGAGAGTGGAAAATATTCGTGGGTTGCTGGTTTTAGATCATAGGTGTCTCCGAAGCATTACTGGTGTATTATGGGACAACCGAGTAAGCAATTCTGTTGTTAGGAAACGGGTACTAGTTAAGGATAGCAGATCAATAGATGAAGTATTGAAACTTCATCATTTGAGATGGTTTAGTCATGTGTTGCGTATGCCTAACCACCGACTGCCTCGTCGAGCTATGTTTTGCGATACAGGAATAGGCTGAACGGAAGCTAGGGATGGTCAGACCAAAACATGGCTGAAATCCATGAATTCACTGACTAGTGGACTGAGTCATGTTGGTAGGTGTCGACTAACTGGTTGGGGTCCGTGAGACGAAAGTCACCGATGGCTAGAGACCCTGAATGACATGGCTCAAAATCGTTTGCAATGGCGCAGGAGCATTCACTCTTTGTGTTCTCTCAAGTCCCAATCTTCTGGATTCTTCAACACCTCTAGTTTTGACTTTCTAAACTCATCTCACTGAATTATACTTCTTGAATAACATCTTCGAACCCTAATCTCTCCAATTACTTCTTTTACTACCTCTACTACTATTGGATTTGAATTGACAATTACATCTGCGTGTTAATGTAGTATGACAACTTGAACTGCTGTTGATAATGATGATCCCATTTTGCTGATAGTTTGTTATTTACAGTCTCCCCTACACACAGCATCATTTGGCATATTCATATGTAAATATATTTTCCCATTTATTGCTATGATGTGATCTGGTTTTGTTTGTATATCAAGGGACGTGTGAAACGCTTGCCTTGTATTCTTTCTCTTTGTTTGCGGCAAGTTAGTATTGGGCTGACCTTCAAGCATAAAGTAATAGTTCTCCCATTCGTGTTATGTATTATTTACCCCCTGCGTATTAGTCAGTGCAGGGACAGTAATTAATCAACGTGGAAAACTGATACTAACCACTAAATTTGATAAGTTCGTCACTTAGTATGCTTGAGGCTATTACGACGAACTTTTCAAAATTACATTTAATGTTTATCGATAGGATAAAAATGAAATCTCACCCTATGATAAATTTAATGCAAACTATAAGTCTGTAGTAGCATTTGGTAGGTAGAATTATGCACTAACTGTATGTCGGCGAGTAAGTTTCCAAAGACTTTAACTTGCTTAGTACGATACATAATCAACAACTTAGATCTGCACAATAAACTATACTACAAGAATAATATCTTCAACTGAAACTATTCCAGGATGCAAAATCAAAATGAACAGACGATGTGTACATAACTAACTTTCACCTAATAAGAGATTCAGCTTACTAGTGTTTATTTTTAAAAAATGGCACTTACATTAAAGGTTTCTGTGACTCCATAACCAGAAAGTGCGGAAGTTTCAAAGTATGGATACTGATGTATTGCTGCCCACTCAGAAACTTCATAATAACTAACTGATCTAGGCGCTTTATCAACCTGTGGAATACAATCACATAAAAATCCAACAAATCTCTATGAATTAATTGTGTTGAAAAGAGTTAACGCAATCATAGAAAAGAGAACTAAATAGTACTAATTAAACCAGCAACTGATAATGAGGATTCTAAGCGTTGATATATAAACATGTTAAAAAGTAGTCATGATATGTACATAATTGTGTTTCAGTTTTTTTACCCAGCTGAAACTCTTAAGTGAAATATTTTTTTAAGGAATCACAATAATTATAGCAAAAACTGATGAATTATAGACAGTCGTACTGAAAATCAATTGTAAAACAGATCGTCTTTTATGATTGAAGAGTTAACACTTTTCCCTACCACGTTACTTCCACAGTGACTATGAGTATCCAAATAGAACACATATCCTAACCCTGATACCCCAACTGTCGCACAAGTATTAGGTGGCCAGCCATACAAGCAAACCTGAAAACAAAGTATACGTGCGTTTTTAGGCTCATTAATTTCATTAATTGTTGGAAGAAATAAATCCCTGGCCATTAACTCACATTGTCATCAGCGGCTTTTTGTTACAGATCGTTCAGCCAGCTTAGTGACTTATAACGTCAGAACTTATCCACTTTTTTCTTTATACCTATTCATGAACGATATACTTCTTATCTAGAAACAAATCCACTGTTTACCTGAAGCTTCAGTACAGATTAAACAGATGTAATTGACAATGTTCCAGGAGTATCGTAATAAAGAAAAATTCCACTTTATGATTCATCTTGCTAAAACCAAATATTTGATCTAGACAGTGTTTGGAATGCTCCACTGCATTCTGTATTAGCTATTTTATTCCAGGGAATATCAGTTGATCATTAACACAGTTAATGATCTTATGTTTTTAACAACAGCTTTAAGCATTAGTGAGCATAAGGAAACCTTCCGAAACCATCTTAAAATGAGAAGATCGCAAAACGATCAAATTCTACGGAAAATTAACTGGATGATCATTTTATACAAGTCAGACCTGAATCATGCTTTCCAACCTCATTTATTACACACTGAAAGTGAAACCATGTAAGTGGTGACGGAGATATATTTTTGCACGTGAATAAGACAGAAATAGATTCTGTCTTCAAATAAATGACTAAACGGTTGTACGGAAAATGAGTAATAAAACAATTTAACATTACCTTGTTACCACAAACAATAATGACAGGAGATGTAACGGAATTAGATTCCCTGGATTCGAAATGCAGTTCGCGAATCCATCGAATCAAGTTTTCAAAACTTTTTCTATTCGTTAGATCAAAAGTCAAGATAGCTCCATTAGTGTCATTATAAAACTCATTCCGAATGTCGTAGTAGGAAGGATTTCCAGACATGTCGAATATGTCGACGCGTAGTTCGTTCATTCCAACCTTAGTTCTACTACATTATTGCATATCATAACACTACCTGAATACACCATAGTCAATGCCAATCGTTGGTAAATACTTTGAAACAAAACGCTTCTCACAAAATCGTTTAATCAGGCAAGACTGGATGGTAACAGAATTGAATGCATACCTTCCCCGTGTCTTCATCGCCCATGCTGATAATTTTAACTTTTTTCGGCTTATTTTCTTCAGGCATTATTAATCGACATTCAACGACACTATCACGCTATTTTAAATTAGCACGTTATTCATGACCTTTGCGTTACATTGGATACGTAGAATAAAACAAGGAACATTAAACGCGAGAATGATCTGTATTCTTATTCTGGCTTGCAGAGAAGTTGTCACTATGAGCTTTTCGAGAAGACTGTCGAAACGTCAATAGAAATAGTTTATAAATATACTTCGTCCATTTGCATGGATAATCAATGAGTTCATTTTGTGAACTACTGATTCAGAAAACGAACAGAGCTCACATAATTTTGTAATGAAAGTGATTGATATCATACATGACTACACTTAGGCGATATTGCAGTTGAAAATACATAATAAAACGAGTATTCTTAAATGCACTGAAGTCCTCTTCGGAAATTTCCCTGAAATACCGTGATATCAATTGGCAAAGCACTTAAAGGTGCATCAATGCTAAAAACACACACTGAAATAAGCTAAAATAGTCTTATTTGCCTAATTTCCAATTGTTTAAGGAATTTAACTCAGACCTTATAATGTCATATTACATACCGAATGGTCCTAATTATTACCTACAAATTTGACAACGAGATGAGACGTTGATATAATTAATCCTTTCATAAATTTTATTGTATTGAACTTTCATGAATTTTCATATAAAATGTCCTGAAAAACGTATGTACAGCCAGATTGTCCTGAATATGCGGTGCAAATATATCGCATTTTTCAAATCAGCTACATCTCATAGTTCTATGACAATTATTCGAGTTTCTTCCCGTTTCCTGGCTCTGGCAACTCCAAATTTCGGCTTTATTCAACATAATTGTGTTTGGCATTTACAAGGCGATGTCTGTGATCATTATCGCGCCAAATTTGTTGTATAAATGAATTAAAGTTATCGTAACTGTCGAACAGAAGGATTTGTGTACCTATTCTTTCACTGGCTCAAATTTTGGTAGTGGGAGATAATCAATCATACGGTTTTTCATTCCTAACTAGGATGTGTACGCTTTTATACTTATGCTTAGCAATATCGTTTAAATATAACTGTTCCTGGTAAGATTTCAGGAGTTTTGGTCAACGTACGAAGGATAGAGTATAGCCTGGCTCTCATATAGGATGTCTCATGTTGCAGACTCGTTTAACAGTGTAGCTTTTAACATAAGGCTACGGAAATTAAACAGGCGCTCCGTTACAGTCAACGACATATTTGAACTGCAAATAAGAATTGAGTACCATGATTGTTCTCAATACATTAGTTCAGCTCAATTATACACAATTATTTTTTTGTGCACTACGAATATCTTCATTTGCATTCCTAGCTGATCGGGCCAAAGCGATCCCAGTAGACAAATTCAAAACAATAAACAACCGGCCGGTTGTTTTGGTTGCCGGTTCTATGTATAAAAATATCCTTCATACGATACCTGTATTCACCAATCTTTTCATCCTTGATATTTAATCCCACCATATCACCATGAAAGTAGCTAAATGAAAAACAAAGAATGAATGATTTTTAACCGACCACTATAACATATGGAAGTATCACTATCAGAGTGGTAGTGGAAATTGAGGATTTTTATAGTTTGAACTATGGGAAGACTCGAAACCTGTTTGTTTCTAGGATGTAACCTCAAACTGATGGACATCCACAACCCTACCGGCAGTCAGACTTGGGACCTTCAATTCTCACAACAAGACCTTTACGATTTTGTCACTATAAAGGGATCCATACGTTGCCTTTCTAACCTAACTCAATTCACGACATCGTGAAAGATTTCGGTTTCTTCAACGGTGGAGCGGTAGATACATGAATTGGTTTTCAGTTGTTTGAGATAAGACCATTATCTAAACCGGTAACTGGACGAATGTATCAAAACCTAATTTCATGACTAATCGGATATCGTTTAATCAGTTACGCAGGTGTCTAGAACTGATACGCTCATAAAATTTGAAAACCAGTCTCTCACATATTCGTAGTTTCATGTGTAATTCTTTTCGAGAACAAAACCAAACTGCATATATATATATATATACATATATATATTAGACGCATGTTTCAAGAGGATAACGACAGACGTGATGTCACGAACAAAACAATGATGTTGGCCAGGTATGCAAACGTTTCTACATATTCCAAAGCTTCTCCGTCAAGTGCAGTTCGGTTCGTACATCTTGTTGTATCAGAGGATCTTGCTTTTGCATTGTGTATGTCTGAGACTAAACTTCGTCTGGAGGAGCTAGGAATCAGTGGAACGCATTGGACGCAGGTTGCACATCTAAGACTAGCTTCAGGGGATCTGCTATTATACTCCGCCATGAAAAAGAGAATGCCTCACAAACACACAAGGAGTTGCACTTACAATGTCCAAACAAGCACAGAAGGAACTGATACGATAGGAATCTCATGGACCCAGGATCCTTCAAAACAAAGAAAGAGGACATTACAACGAACGTCAGCCAGTGCTATGCAACTACCAACTATTACCATGACAGCGGTAATAATCAATTTTTCGAGAGGCTGGAATAAATCGTCGATAGATGCTCACCAAAGGATTTGACGGTTCTAATGGGTGATCTAAATGACAAGGTTGGCATGGACAACACTTGATATGAAGATATCATGGGACGACATGTCCTGAAATAAAGGAACAAAAATGGTGAGAGATTTGCAAACCTATGTGCCTTTAACAAACTGGCCATCTGCAGAACAATATTCCCAAACAAGCGCATACACAAAGCTACATGGATTTCGTCGGCTCACACTACTCAAAACTCAAACTATCCGTATCAACAAAAGGTTGAGAGGGACTATGGGAGACGTGAGAACCAAGAGGGGAATTAGTAAAGCCTCAGATGACCACTTGCTGGTCGCCAAAATGAAACTGAAACTAAAGTGGCACTGGACAAGGAGGTGCCATACACACAAGTTTAATACGGCCCTTCTTCGGGATACCGTAAAACTCAACGAATTCAATATAGCCCTCTCCAATAGGTTCCAGGCCTTGCACGATATACTCAACGGGGAGGAAGCAGCATTGGAGAAAAATTGGAAAGGGATCAAAGAGGCAAGCACTTCAACATGTCATGAAGTCCTGGGTCACAAGAAGCACCATCACAAGGAATGGATCTCTGTTGGTACTCTTGAAAAAATTGAAGAAAGGAGGAACAAGAGGGCAGCAATCAATGTCAGCCGAACAAGAGCAGAGAAAGTTGCCGCACAAGCTGCATACACAGAAGCAAACAGGGCAGTGAAGAAGAGCATCAGAGCCGAAAAAGGAAAATATGTGGACGATCTAGCGATGACGGTGCAAAAGGCTGCAAGAGAAGGAAACTTGAGAAAATTTCACGATACAACGAGAAGGCTCGCTGGAAACTGTTGTAAGCCAGAACGACCAGTGATAAGCTAGGAAGGAAAAGTATTCAGAAATACTGAAGAACAGCGAAACAGGTGGGTAGAGCACTTTAAGGAACTCTTGAATCGACCAGCAGACATGTCAGCAACTGCGAAATTATTTGGAATTCTCTTCAAAAAGATTTGGGATGAAGAACAAGCATCAGCTGACTGAAAATAAGGGCAACTCATTGTAGAATCCTTTTTGAATGTTTTGTGTTTTGGAAAATCCCTCCATGTTTACATATTTTTGTTATGACATGACGGACTTTTTCTGTTGACATTTTTGGTATTTTATTTGATTCCAATTTGAGATTTTATCATTGTATGTTGTTATTCTTTCTATATTTTGTACTTATATTGAAGTTTTTATGTTTGCTTCTGAACTGTACATATGTTGTTTAAATTTGATATAATATGGCTACCGCCACATTTTGGATTCAACATCGTGCAGTATAGGAGTTCACCTAGACCTCGGAACATTGATACTCGTTCGGAGTAATTCTGAATTGGAAGACGTAATTTTCGTTAGGTATTATTTGTATTTCCATTTGTCATTTATAATTAGACCATTTTCCCCTAGAATTATTGTGTTTTAATTTCAAAATCGGGAAATGCGTCCAACATACGTCTATTGAAATCGAATTGAATTGTCACGATAGAGAATTCAACTACACTCATTAAAATACCCAAGAAAGGAGATCTCAGCAAGTCTGAATAATACACAGGCATCACTGTTCTCTCAATATTGGGCAAAGTCTTCAACAGGGTATTGTTAAATAGAATGAAGGAATTCGTAGACGCCCATCTTCGAGATCAACAGGCTGGATTTCGTAAGGACTGATCATGTACCGAACAAACTGCAACATTGCGGATCATCGTATAACAATCAATCAAATGGAGGTCACCTTTCTACATCAACTTCGTTGACTACGAAAAAGAATTCGATAGCGTGGATAGAAAAAACACTATGTAGGATTCTTCGACACTATGGTTTGCCTGAGAAGATATTCAACATAATACGGAATTCTTACGATGGATCAAACTGCACAACCAGTCACAGAGGACAGATGACAGACGCGTTTGAGGTGAACATCGGTGTCATTCAAGGTTGCTTACTCCCAATTTTTCTCTTTCTCCCGTTGATCGACTGGATTATGAAGACTTCAACAGCTGGAGGAAAGCACAAAATCCATTGGACAGCTAGGATGCAGCTGGACGATTTGGACTTCGCAGATGATCTAGCTCTCCTATCGCACACGAAACAACAAATGCAAGATAAGGGGATCAGTGAAGCAGAAGCCTCAGCAGCAGCAGGTCACAACATACACAAAGGGAAAAGTGTGATTCTCCGATACAACACAACATGTGCCAGCGAAATCACGCTTGATGGGGATGCCTTGGAGGACGTTAACACCTTTACATATCTTGGTAGCATCATCGACAATCAAGGTGAATCTGATGCAGATATGAGGGCGCGAATCAGTAAAGCAATGGCTGCATTTCTACAATTAAAAAATATCTGGAACTCCAAATAAATATCAGTCAACACCAAAATCAGGATTTTCAAAACAAATTTTCAGACAGTTCTACTGTATAGAGCGTAAATTTGGAGAGCTACGAAAGCCATGCTAACCACATCCCTTATTTAGTGATATTTTCTTAAAAGTGACATATTTTTTAAAAAAATGAATGTGCAGTTTTCAACACGCGGGCTTTATAGTATACGATATGTCGAGCCATCATAGCTCGTTTTGGCTTTTCGACAAAAGAATTTACCTATTCTTTTTGAGCTATTATTCACTTATTGTTAGGATATTTATCAAATATCCTAAATGAATTATTGATGTAAGTCTAATTCTATTGGTCATTTCCTACTGGTCAATATTATGATCGCCCTAGCTATTAATGTCACGTACTTCAATATTGTTTCGCATTCGACCAAACTGTATTAATATGAATTATCTGTAACATTTCATGACCCGGACCCGGATCCCTAGTCTGAGATCCTGATTCTCTCCAGTACTCGGACCTCGTACTCTCTGGATGCTTGTAGAATACAGGTTCTACTTCATATCAAGTCTTCTCATTTTTACTCAATATGGGGGGTTGGGATAATACGATGTGAGTAGCATGTCGTGTAGCCGGATCCTCAATCCTCTCTCTCGTTTTCCGACTGAGTTGAACTCGTATTAGTTCAAGCATATCAAAATGACATGTTTACGTTCATTCGTAACACCTATATTTCGACTTTGTTAATTATTTGCTTATAACCTTGTTTGTTTTTATTTGCATGTGTGCGTGTACCGCCGAGCTTATTTTTGCCTGACTATAAATAGTTAGTCATGTCTCATCAAATGATGTTGGCTTACTCAACCTCTCCACTTCGCTTCACTTCATCTTCAGCTTTCTAGTTATTATCTATCAACAGACGCAAAAGTATGAAATAAATTCATGTAAATAAAACTGTATTGAGTTTCTTATTACCACTGTAACACAAACAGGATTAACTGAAATGTAGTACACGGAGGTCACAGGAAAGCTTTATTTGATCAGCATACTTGACCAAAAATGGGTTCAAATTGGGTCAGATACCAAACCATTAAACAGCTTTGATGTCAAATATCAATTAGTATAACTTTCAAGCTAGATTCTAATAACAAACTACGACAAAACGACTATTCCGAAAGCTTCAACAGTGATTGAAGACGACGATTGTTGATGTTTAAAAAGTGTGCGTATCAATGTTTCATAGTGTACATTTTTCTGGCAGTTAGAATTCCTTAATAATCAAATTAGGGATTCCAATGTGTAAGCGTTTAAATTCAGTTCAGTTGAATATTTGAGTGGAGATTGTTAGACTGAGACCATTAACCGGAGAGAGATGATACTTTTAAGGATGTTTTGATGAATAACTAATATAGATGTCTTTAGCTAAAACAACTATGAAAACATACAGGTTATTGTTAGGATATTTATCCAATATCCTAAGAGAATTATTGGTCATTTCGTATTGGTTAATTCCTACTGATCAATTTTATGGTCGTCCAAGATATCAATGTCACTTCAAATGTTGCTTCCTATTGGTCGTCCTAACTGTCAATGTCACAGACTTCGATGCTGTTTCCTATTCGACCTAAATGCATAAACACGTATTATCTGTAACCTTTTTGTGATCCGGATCCCTAATCCGGGATCCTTATCCTCTTCTGGACTCGGACCTTGTACTTTCTGGATGCTGGTAGAATACCTGTTTTACTTCATCCTCGCTCTTGTTTTCCGAGTGAGGTAAACTCGTAATAGTTCAAGCATATCAAATTGACATGTTTACGATCAATGCGTAACAGTTACATCATTTTTGTTTTCCCTTAAATCTAAGCTTCCATTTAACTGGAAAACATTATTTTTTAAAAATATTTTTGTCGTATGCGGAAGATGCAAATGTTTATTAATAATTTTCTACGCAAACTACTGAAAATCCTTTGGCCTGAAACCATCAGCAGAATAAACCAGACTCCAGCTGGGGAAGAAATTAAGAAAAAATTCTCTGAAGATGGATAGAACCCACATTGAAGAATGCATCCATTTGCATCACCAACGCAGGCCTCCACTTGGAATTCTCAAGGTCAAAGGTGATGAGGAAGACCATGGAACATATTATACCGAGAAATTGAGACACATGAAATGAATGAACAACAATTGCGTGGAGTTGGAAAAGAAGACCCCTTGGTTTGAGAATGCTGGTCGACGGCCTATGTTCCATTGAGGGTAACAGGTGTAAGTAATTATAAACCTACCATATAGGTTTGTATCATTAATGGTCTAGTTATCTGTGCATTGTAAGTAATCATTCGTGATACTTTGTAGAACAGATCATTTATATGAACCTAGAAATGTTTTGAATCATGATGAATGATATTATCTTAAGCGGATGTTCAACTTCACATTCTGATTGACTGTTAGAATTAAAGTAGCTAAGATTTTATACTTGTTGGTATGTCAGTCATACAGTATTACTGGTCTAAAAAAGGTTAAGCGTGTCATGAAATAATCAGTAAGTCGTTTAATTCACCAGTCAGAAAATTGAACGAATTCATGAACATACTCACTAATAGACAACTTCCATGATCGAACAACTTGAACACAAACATTATTATTTACGGGTATATACAACAAATGACTAGATTTCAATTCGATTCGATTCGATTTTTGATTCTTGTGAATAGCGAAAGGATATTCACTCTTTAAACATGATCGAAGTGTTACCAGTTATCGCAGTCCAATTGACAATAGCCTTAAACTAGTCAATGAAAAAGATTTCAATTTGTTTATTTCACTTAATACCAACATGAAATATTTCCTTACTTACGTCTGTTACCTCGAATGAAGCAGAGTCCACCAATCAACATTCTCCAATCCTACTCTATCCATGACCTCCCTTTCCAGTTCTATCCAATTTCTGTCCATAATTCCCAAGTGTGCTTCCGATTCTCAATGTAATGTGCTCTTTGGTCTTCCTTTTCTCCTTTAACCTTGAGGATTCCAACTGAGAGCTTGTCTTGTGATGCAGTTGGGTAATTTCGTCCATCAGCGCTTCTTCCTCATTTTATTTCTTTGCTAGAATCTAGTTTTTTCTTTTCCACAGAAGGTTGTTACTGATGGTGTCTAGTCAACAAAAGTGGAGCATTTTGCATAGACAACTGTTCATAAACACTTGTATCTTCTGAATGATGACCTTCGTGGTTAGCATCAAAAATATACCATATTTATAGCATACCAATCAGTAGAAAGGTTAAATTTTTTTCTGACATTTCATAAGCCATTTACTTCAGAAAATAAATAAACAAATTAAATTAATCCAGGTTTAAATAGTACAAAGGAACAAAGTATTCAATCAATCAAAAAACCGATTTGACCAAGTCAATGTCATGTCATTGCGATCAACAAGATTCATATTAAAATGTATTGTGATGGTGTTTCATTCTCTGAGCTGGATATTTTGGTACTGTGCAGATTTCATTGTTTACTTCTGAACCACATCATCGGTACAAACTTGATGTTTTTCAGAAGAAGATTAGCGAAAGCTCCACAGTACCAAAACATCCAGCTCAGAGAACCAAACACCACCACTACAATCGTCCCCCTGAGCTACAAATTTTCTCCAACATCTCAAAACACTTGCCTATTTGTGTGTGTTAATGAGTATGAAAAATGTGGCAGTGTGACAGGATATAAAGTTGTGAATAGAATCAGACACGGTAGCTTGGATAGATGATCCTTGATTATTGAACATGACAACAATTCATCCAATGTTCAATTTAGTTAAAATTATCAAGTCAAATCCTGATAATGATACTGTAGTGACCGAGAACACAGGTGGGGCAACCGAATGTATTTAACGACAATTACAGAGTTACTCAGTAAAATCGAAAAACCATATCGTAAATCGTTAATTTGCAAAATATCAGTTCATCATATCGAACTGGACTGTTCCTGTTGCAAAACATCAATCCATTGTCACTATTCATGCGTTTCATACAAATTCCATTGTGTTCTAACTCTTCCTTTCTTGAACTTCCCCCGTCTTCTGCTGCCAGACATTACGTTGACACTCACGTCATATACTACTTATAAGTAGCTCACACCACAATACCTATGCAATATATATATATATATATATATATATATATATATATATATATATCACCTTCCCTCCCTCTGCCAACATATGATTAGTAGGATAATTTTCATCGCTCTGCGTGCTTACAGTTAGTCATACACAATCGAAGTTATGCATTACAAGTCACAAGATTGTATCAAGTGATCTGTCAAATCAAAGTCACGAACAATATCGAGACAACTCAAGGTCATATAATAGAAATAAGACTGGAAATGTTAGGAGATTTGTCTGTAACTATGATAATGTGATATCAGAAATTACGCTAAACATGAATAATTTAAAAAATTGGAGCCATTTAATAATCAAAATTTACCAACATTACAACAGATTCAGTCAAGAAAATCAAGTTCATAGTGCTAGAATCAAAATTATTCTAGCGTACGAAGGGCGAAACAAATATATATATATATATATATATATATATATATATATATATATATATATATATATAAGAGGAAGAGAATTTCTAATCACATTAGAAAGATCATTACATAAAATGAAATCTCAATATTAATTAAAACAGAAAACAAATGTGGACCAAATAAACAATAAGACAAAGTTAATACTACTTATTTCCAATAAGTAACCGGAGTAGTAGTAGTAGTAGTAGTAGTAGCAGTAGTTGCTATTAAAACAAAAAACGTTCATCTATAATTAAACAAATTCAATAAGTTCATGATGAAAATTTACATTTACAATGCATAGAATTACATAATAATACACTGATTGATATTCAATGAAACTTTATATTACAATGTAGAAATAGAACTAATCAATCCCATTGTTCGTTGTTATAATTAGAAACACTTTCACAAACAAATAATCATTCTAGAAAATAATTTTCAATCATTAAAAACTACATCATTTTAAAATTACAGACACAAAAATGCAATTCAGTTCACCAAAAACAATAAATACATTTAAATACTGCCAATTGCATGAATTTATCTAGTAGTATTGATTAAAATAATTTGCATGTCAAACATTTATAATAATGTGAATATATTGACAATTGAATGCTGTTTGTTCACTAGATTTGAAAATCCTATAGAAAATTTATTATTTTACATGGAGGGCAAGAGAATGATGATTCAATTGTGAATTTTTAATGATTCAACTATATATGTTTGTAAATTTAACAAGAGAGAAAATGATAATCAATATTTTCAAATTTAATACAATGTCTCATCACCACTATCAGTTGGCGTACTACTATTACTACTACTACTACTACTACTAGTAGTAGTAGTAGTAAAACAATCATCAACTTCATTAATATCAAATAAATCAGCAGTCATTTCTTCTACTAAACTACTTTGTAAATAATTCACTGTACTGTCTATGATAGTAGTAGTATTGCATTCATCATTCTCTTGTTTGATTTCCTCATCATTATTGATTTTCGATACATGTATACTGATTACGATCACGTAAAAAAATGAACCAATCAATGCACCTATATATGGTCCAACTAAGGGTAACCAAAAATAATAATTATTTGCTTTGAATGGTTGAATACCCCAACCTATATTTTTGTTTTTTTTGGTAACATTTAGTAAAATGAAATGAAATGAAACAACAATGAGGGAAAGTGTTAAGTGAATATTGCGGGAATGAAATTCAAATGAATCATGTTATTAGCAAATAGTTTCTTTTATTGAAAAAAAACAGTGACACTTTTCACTACTCAATAACTGATCATTTGTAGCAACACTGAAGACACACACTGAGTTTGAATTGTATGAGGTGCAGCAGTCGTGGACGTACATTGCCACTGATGAGAGTTCCATACAAGGATGAAATGGTCGTCGTTCAATGTTTCTAGGTTTCTAATGCTCGATTCGTGATTTCAAAAATAAAACAACACCTTAGTTTAATGAGTTCATTTACGGCCGAAGCGGTTTCACACCAGTTAATCGGTTGACCTTGAAATTATATTTCCCACCCGGAAAATCATCAGCTGTTATTGGTTGATGCATTATTTTAGTACGCTATTTTTATGGCTTTCACAAGGACGTTTCAATCATGTATAAATAAACTTGATTTGTGTGATTGTCAACCACATATTTTCTGGATGCTTGAAGAATACACTTTCTACATCTTGTCAAAACTTCTTGATCTAGTTAGTGGGGCCTTGGGACTCTCGAGTTAGAATAGCCTATCGTGTCATTGGATCATTTGTCTGCACTCTCATTTACTGACTAAGGTGAACTCGTCGTTATAGTTTCAAGCTTATCAACTAGTGGCAAGCATAACAGTTTATTATAAAAAACACCAAAAACATTAGTCCCTCTAAGATTAGAGCTACGCCATACAGATGAGTACCAACTATCACTGAATTCACATCAAACAACGTTTCCTACCTACTATTTCCAAACACCTAAGATTCTAACCAATAATTAAAAAAACTATCAGTAAATATCTAACAGTTTTCATAAGTGGACCTAATCGGATCAGGCTACATTGGATCAAATATATATTCAGCTCTTAGGGAAATGACAATTTCAACCTAGTTGGCTAATTGAAGATGTTATATAGTTTATTCGGATCCAGGTCAATCGACTGCTTGTATCACATAACTGATCATCACTAATTTGCCGCCAGCAATGTGATTAAATAAAATCGAACCAACTAAATCACATTTAACGGAGAAGCCATAGAACATGTAGAAGTCTTTACATATCTAAGCAACATCATTGGCGAACAAGATGGATATGATGCAGATGTGAAGACAGAAATTAGGTAAGGAAGAAGAGCCTTTATACAATTGAGGAACATGTGGAATTCAAAACAGCTCTCAACTAACACTAAAGTCACAATTTTCAAAACAAATGTCAAGATAGTTCTAATGTATGGAGCGGAAACTTGGAGAACCACGTGAGTCATCATTCAGAAGATGTGTTTTTTCAACAGTTGTCTATGTAAGATACAGAGGATCTGTTAACCAGACACCATCAGTAACAACATACTGTGGGATAGAACAAACCAGGGATCGAAGATGTTATTCAAGAAGTATAATTCAGTGAGATAAATTTAGAAGAAAGATAGAGGTGATGAGAAATTCAGAAGGTTACAATCTGACAGAACACAACGAGTGGATGCATCTGCGCCATTGCAAACGATTTTGAGCCATGTCCTTCAACGGTCTCTAACTGTTGGTGACTTTCTCCTCGTGGACCCCAACCAGGAAGCCTACACTAACCAACATGACTCACTCCACTTGTCAGTGACTTCATGGATTTCTGTCATATTTTCGTCTGGTCCTCCCTAACTTTCTTCCAACTTTCTTCCTACATCGCAAAACATAGATCGACGAGACAGTCGGTAGTTGAGCTTACGTAACACATATCTCAACCACCTCAGCTGAATAAGCTTCAATAATTCATCTGCTGATCTGCCATATCTACCTAGTTCTCGTTTCCTAACGACAGAATTGCTTACTCGGCTGTCCCATGATATAAGAGCAATGCCTCGAAGACATCTTTATATGAACACCAATAACCTACCAATGTATTCTACTCTTGCTGGCCATGTTTCACATCCATATAATGGGACAGAGAGAACTACTGCACAGTACACTCGTCCTTTGGTTAGCAAACAGATTTCTCACCTACGCCATAAGTGAAGCAAGTTGGTAAAAGCCAATCGAACCTTCTGTATCTGTGCTGAGATTTCGTCACACATCGGGCCATCAGAACTGAGGAAACTCCCCAGATAAGTGAAGCGGTCAACATGCTCAACTGCGTCACTCCCTATCACTAGTTCAGGTGCAGATGCAACCCAATCTTGATGCAACATTTTGCACTTCGAGTTTGAGAACAGCATCCCAAACATGCTTTATTGTTGCTTAGGGTGGTCAGAAGACTGCATTTTGTCAACTTCTTCACTGAATAGGACTATGTCATCGGCATACTCTCAGTCAGCAATCGTGTCTCCTGGTAGATGGTCCTTTTCTGAAAAGTTAGACGATGATAATGATAACTCTCAAAGCATAACCACGAAAAAATGAAAAGGAATGGGGGGAGTGGACAGCCCTGACGTACACGATGACATTTCGCCATAAGCTCTCACTCAACCAGCGGTGTTCGAGCAGAAATCTTGTATAAGGTTATTGTAAATTTGGACAAACAGCGATTGAGACGAGTCAGACGGGATTGCACCCAGTTCCCAAATTGTACCCAAGATCTCAGTCAATCTAACTGTTAAAGCTGAACCACCATCCTTGAAAATTTTAGAGGTCAATCTATCAGGACCCGCTGCTCGCTCTCTATTCAGATTTCCCAAACCTTTTTCAACGTCATAAAGACTGGGAGGACTTATATCGATTTGCCATTCAGGATGACTGGAGATCTTGGGTAACCGAAATGTGGCTGAAGGTCAGTTGAACTGATCCCTAAAGTGTTCAACCCATTAATCCAATCTCCTGGGTCGAGAATGAATAATAAGACCATTCTTTTCCGCGATATTTTCGCTAACAGACGGATTTCTAATACCGGATTCCCTCATAAGTCTGAATAGTTGCCTCTGTTCCCTATCGCCGCCGCCTTTTACATTTCCCTTGCTTTCGCTGCCCACCATTGTAGGCTTTTTATCAGTCTGAGCTTAAGCTGACTTCGTTGTTCATCATGTTCTTCAACATGAAATCCACGGCTTCTTCCTAGCTTTATGGTTAACCTTACCAGCAGATATCACTGCTGTTTACACAGCCTTTTCGATATCATTCCAACCTTCCTACGGATGGGAATCGCTTATAACGTTGCCTAACTGTTTTTCTAGTTGTTCCTGAAATATATTCATAACTCCGCTATCATTAAGTAGAACCCCAAGAGGTTTCCTTGTGGTATCTTTCCTACGTCCGGTAAGCCTCAAACAAATACGCGCTCGCACTAGGGCATGATCTGAATCTAGAGATGTGCCCCCGAACGAGAAACAGTCCTCTATCGAACCCCTCCATCGGTGGCTGATGGCGATGTGATCTAGTTGGGTTCAGCGTTGTGACGACTTCGAGGGTCGCAATGTCAAGAGATGGTTTTCTTCATACTTAAAGTTAGTGTTTGCTAGAAATAGGAGGTTATCTGAGCACAGTTGCAACAGACGGTCGCCCTTGTCTGTTCTCGGAGCCGCGACACCATAAGATCCACCCAGGTGTCTTTCCTTTTCACTAAGTCTACCTACTTGAAGATCAAAGTCACCAGCCATTATTACTACATCGGAGCGCCTAGCTTTTTGGAGGAGGTTCGAAAGCTTTCTGTAAAACGCATCTTTCACATCATCTGGACTGCAGTCAGTGGGAGCGTAGGCTGATATGACGAAGAGGCAACGGCGAGTGTCCCTATCCTTCCGAGTCCTTGCTGTTCCGTTCAGTCGGATAGCGCACAAATGACTATCTACTGGGATCCACTGTAGAAGAGATAGTTCTGCTGTAAGACTCAATACCATACCTACACCAGCGAGGACTTGGGAAACAGCATCAGGGCTTCCAGATACATGAAGAGTGGTGGTGGTGTTTCGTTCTCTGAGCTGGGTGTTTTGGTTGTGGAGCTTTCATTGTTCTTCTGAACAACATCATCAGCACAAACTTCTATCTGAAGTAAGGGGTTTTAGGAAGGATTTGATGTTGACCAATTGGATCTCGCGGGCTGTTACGGGTATGAGGGTGGTTGTCACTTCCTGGCTGCCCACACCGTGGAAGGGTGTTTCTTGAGGAAGCTGAAAAGGAAGGTAGATTAGTGTTGGTCTTAACGACCTGGGAGCGTGACCTCAGAGCCCAAGGGACATCTGCTTGAGGCCGGTCACGCAGTTCCTTTTTAAGAGGAGTTTTTGAAGTGTTCGCTCCATTCTTTTTAAATGAACTTACAGCCGGAGACGGAAATCCATAAGATAAGCTGAGGAGTAACATTTTTAGGGTCGACCTTTTCTAACTCTTTCCTTACTTGTGAGAAGGCAGCATCGCTGTAGATGCTGGTTATCCGAGAGAAACACCTTACTGCTGTCAAACCCCTCTGCAATCAACAGTACGACTTCGCCTTCAGACCTTGAGCAGCTGCTTTTAGTCTTATCGTTCTTCAATCGACCTGCTTGACATGCTAGAACCTACAGGAACATATTTTCAAGCCAATATAGTTCGGTTTGGGTCATCACGATAGGCAAGCCTGATCACCACGTCACGGTAACATCTACGATCGGGGAGAGTGAACTTCTAAAAAATGAACAGCAATTAGACAGAACTAGAAATGAAAGTCCATTTCAAAGTAGTTTAAAGAATACTAGTCGGCAGTTTATGTTTCACTGCCAAGTAACAACAGTAAATAAGTAAGTAAGTAAGTCAGTAAGTAAGATAAAACCTCAAAATACAAATAAACCAGCTTCCTACATGATAACATTAATAAATATTAAAATTAAGACAATTTACCACATAATGAAATTGCCAATCGTGCACCTAAATCTCTTGCTGGATTCAATGCAACACCAATATTTAAAGATAACGAACCAATAATTCCAGTTGTTACTAATCCTATATAAATAATTTGTAATTCAAATGGTATATTATAAAAATGTTTCTCTTTAATGATCAACACTAATCCAGTAAATAATCCACTTGATAAAATATGATCCATGAAACATGATTGATGCGATACACTTGGTATAGTTGTAGTGACAAATAATGCACCAGTGAAATTCATTTCTAATTTACCAAATGATACAATTTTTGCATAGATTTGTAGATTTTCCCAATAAATACCAATAATAATCAATGTTCCCAAAATAGATCCCGACAGCTGGAATATACTAAAGGGTAACAAATAACGAAATGGTAATTTTCCAATTAAACAACAAGCTAATGTTAACGCTGGATTCAATAAACCATACTGATGATGATGAGAATCACCGCCAACGCCGCCACCAGTCGATATTAAAAGTCCAGTGATTTTAGCTATTCCCCAACCACTGGAGATTGATAGAAATTGACCAACATCTTTATTTTCCATTGAGCCAATACAAGTTTGTAACATGACACCTGAACCAATAATAATGAAAATGGTTGTTCCAAGGAATTCATTTAAACAATGACACAAAAATGGCCATCTTGTTAAATTAATATGATGAATTAATTGTTTCACAAATGCATTATATCGAGTTTGATAGACTGATTCATTATTGTTATTCGGCATAAGAATAAATTATTTAGTATGGTGTTATTTTTAAATATACCATCATGGCGGTCGTATACTATAGTCTGCTGCATATTTTCACTATTTACTCTTCTTGTTGAGTGAGATGGTATCGATCCAAGTTCTGTGTGTGTGTGTGTGTGTTTGCTCACTAGTGTATGTGTGTGCGTGTCTACAATACATCATCAGCTTACATCCCATTGGCTTATTTCTTGTTCTTTTTTTTTTTTCTCAAAAAAACGTCATCAACTCTGATCATGATCACTTTATTCAGGATTATCAATTTTAGGTTAATAATAAACAAAAAATCATTCTCAACATGGAATGAATTGACCGTCTCAGTGTAATTCACCTCTACACGAACAACGTCATCATCATCATCATCATTAGTTAACGGATAAATACCTCATGACCAAACCTTCTCCTTTATCCGCGGTTGGGACTAGCAGTAACCGTAAAAGGACTGTAGGCGGAGTTAAAACCCTAAGAGCTCCAGTTTTTTTTCGACAACTAAACTTGTATCAAATAAAGTACATGATTAGCTCTAGTTAATCAATGATATGGTCATTCTGTCAATCAGTCAGTTAGTCAGTTGGTTACAACGTAGCACTTCGTACGTATGTATATCAGTTCAAGTTGACATACCACATTAGCACAGAGAGATGCAATTGTCACTTCAAATCCCATAGTATAATACAGGTAGTAGAAGTATTAGCGGTAATAAAGATGATTAGGGTTTGAAGCTATTATTCAAGAAGTATAGTTCAATGAAATAAAATTGAAAAGAGAGATAAAGGTGACGAAGAGTTCAGATTAGAATTTGATGGAACAAAAAGAGTGGATGTACGTGCGCCATTGCAAACGATTTTGAGTCAAGTCGTTCAAAGTCTCTAACCATTAGTTACTATTGTCTCGTGGACCCCAACCAAGTAGTCTACACCTAACAACACGACTCAGTTTAATTGTCACTGACTTCATGGATTTGTGCCGTGTCTGGATTAATGTACTTATCTTGTACTCCTTTCAGTGACAAACACTGCCAGATATCCTCACGATCGACAGCATGAAATGTTGTCTTTTGGTCGTGAAATAGCACTAATGTGGGACGTCTGAACTTGAGGTAGTGTGAATATCTGGTCTATACAGATATGTCCAGGTCGTAAACCACCTTGGTTTTCTCTAGTATGCTCTTCATATCATAATGTGTTAGATAATTATTATTCTTATTTGATATGTTACTTACTTACATTCGCCTGTAACCCCCCTATGTATATGTAGAATTTTCTTCTTCATGACCGGAGTTAGGCAGCAGCTCTGCTGAAGCTAATCTCAATTGTCCAACCTGTGTCCAATCTGTTTCACGGATCCCAAGCACCTCCAGGTTGCATCTTTTCATTTCTGCAGCAATTTGGATGACTTTCCCGGTCTTCCACATTGTACGAACATTAATCGTTGCTCTGTTTGTCAGAAAGGACATTAGCCTCATGGCTTCCGAAGGAACTTGGCTTCCATCATGACACGTCATAACTCTTCTAAATGAAAACCTTCTAACTCCCAGGGCAGCCGAGTGTAAGTGCTTTGAATTGTTTTTACTGGTTAGCCTTTTTTTAACGAGTTATTTTTCTGCAGGGTGAGGTCGCTAACCGCATGCTCAGCTCTCCTGCCTTATCCAGCTTTGGGACCGGCAGCAGCCCAGGAGGGACTTTCGGTGGAGTTTTGTTTGGTATATCTGATTCGACAAGTCAGTAAGTTACAACGTAGAACTTCGTACGTATGTACTTCAGTTCAAGTTGACATACCGCATTAGCCCAAAGGCGCAATTGTCACTTCAAATCCCATAGTAGTAGAGGTAGTGGAAATATTAGCAATAATTGTAGAGATTAAGGTCCGAAGATATTATTCAGGAAGTATATAATCTAGTGTACTTAACTTAAAAAGAGAAAGACAAAAGTGATGAAGAATTCAGAAGGATTAGGATTTGAGAGGAGCCAAAGAATGGATTATTTTGAGCCATTGCAAACGATGCTGTGCCATGTTATGCGATTCAATAAACATTATTCTACATTGATTTAGACTTTATGATCGATCAGGAAGTAATTTCTATTATCTTATGTTGTTCAGTTACATCTTTAATATATTTAACAAATATTTAAACTGTCCAATGAACAAAAATTGGACAGAATTGGAAAAGGGAGCTCAGGACAGAGTTGATTAGAGAATACTGATCAACAGCCTATGCTCCATTCGGAGTTACAGGCGAAAGAATTAACTAAACTGCTTAAACCTAATAGATACAATATATATGAGAGTTTAGTTCTAAGAATTGAATAGTTGAATTGTAAAGCTTAGATTGTTCTTCACGACAAGATCGTCAGCATTAAACACATTGGATAACACAAATAATCTGCAAAAAAGTTAATGTTATTTAATCAGTATAAAGTTATAAAGATTGTTGAATTTCATTAAAATCATGAATCGATCAATGTTAGACTGTACCAAGATGAAAAAAAAACCTATAATCATAGGATGGCCATTTCGTCTTCGCATGGGACTTATTATTTGTACGCATACATGACCCATGGACGTAGGAATTAAACTTGATACCTTACGTCTCATATACTAACTCTAAAACTCTTAATCAATCAGTCACAATCTAATCGAGTTTAACACAATTCAAGGCCTTCAATGGTGGTCTAACATTGATCGATTCATGATTTCAATAAGACAATAACAAAACATGATACACATTCTTTCTTTTTTTTAAGTGAAAACGTAAACTAACAGTTTTCATTGTAAAATGAACACTTTTTGTTGTGTTTTTTTAAACAAAATATTTGTAAAGATATCTTTCATGTAGGTAATCTACAATATGAAGATGGTTTTTAATAATAAATGCATTCCTCTAGTTTTATATGATTTTTCTGTTGAAATTATCAATTTGAATGTGTATAATACTGATGGCAGAATATTATTTATTCAACAGATAATTCCTTTTGCAATCGATTATTACATTTAAACAAAAATTATTTTTTTGCACATCATAAAACTACCATTTTTTTGGTTAGGGTGATGTTTTAGTGAGTTGATTTTCTACGGGATGGAAACGTTAACTCTGACTCTCTTTTATTATTCAGGATTAAGAATGGCAGCAATTCTACAAGCTCTTCAGGTGGAGTTATAACTACCATTATTATTTCTTGTTAGGTATTTGAGTTTGATTGATGTCATGCAAGATTGCTTAATCTCACTATTTCTCTTTCTCCTGGTGAAAGACTGTAATAAGAAGACGTCAACATCTGGGGGGATACATGAGATACAATGGACAGCTAGGATACAGAAGATGATCTGGCTCTTCTGTCGCATGCGCAACAACAAATGCAAGAGAAGATAACCAGTGTAGCAACAGTGTTACGCATGCACGTAAACATGTCATTTTTATATACTTGAACTAGTACGAGTTCAACTTAGTCGGAAAACAAGAACGAGGATCAAGGATTCGGTGACACGACATGCTACTCTAATCCGAATGTCCCAACTCCCATTGATTAAAAAAAGACGATATGAAGTAGAACATGAATTATACAAACATCCAGAAAAGTGTGAGGTCCGAGTCCAGAAAAGAATCAGGATCCTGGACTAGGGATCCGGGTCCCGGTCCTGGTCATAAAACGTTACAGATAATGCGTATTTATACATTTAGGTCGAATAGGAAACAGCATCGAAGTCTGTGACATTGACAGTTAAGACGATCAATAGGAAACAACATTTGAAGTGAGATTGAAATTCAGGACGACCAATAAGAAACAACATTGGAGTACAGGACATTGATATCTAGGACGATCATAAAATTGACCAGTATGAATTAACCAATAGGAATTGACCAATAATTTTCTAACAAACAGGCTCAACAGTAGCAGGTGTCAACAAACATAAAGGGAAAAGCCAGATTCTTCGATACAACACTATATGCACCAACCAGATCACAATTGATGCGGAAGCTCTGGAACATTTGAAAACTTCCACATATCTGAGCAACCTCATGGACGAGCAAGCCGGATTTGACGTAGATGCGAAGAAGCAAATCGATAAAGCAAGCGGAGCATTTTTTTCAGTTGAACACTATCTGAAACTCAAAACGACCATCAACAAACACCAAAGTCACGGCTTTCAATACAAATGTCAAGAACGTTCCACTTGAATAACCTCAAAAGCCATCATCCGAAAGGTACAAGCATTTATTAAGAGTTGTCTACGTTAGGTACTGAGGCTCCATGAACATCAACTTACTGTGAGACAGAACAAACCAGATTCCAGCAGATGAAGTAATTAGGATGAAGTACTGAAGGTGGATAGGACACACCACAAGGCAAGCCCTTACTTGGTATCCTCAAGGCCAATAGACAACAGGAAGACCAAAAAACACATGACAATGAGAGTGGGAAGCCGACATGAAAAGAATGGAGAGCGACTGGATAGAATTTGAAAAGAAGGCTCAGGATAGATCAGGCTAGATGGAGAACCCTGGTAGGTGGCCTATGCTCGATTGGAGGCGTTGGTTGGTAACAGACATAAGTAAGTAAGTAAGTAAGTAAGTGAGTAATTAAGTAACCTCATAACATAAGATATCACATAACAAAGTACTTATCTCCTAAATGATATTCAAGTGTTTTTTTTCTGTTAATTTCTGTAATAATTTACACAAAGTAAGTAAACAATTCTATCTGTCTATAATCGAACCAATTTCATAAAACTCTTCGAATTATTGGAAAGCAGATCATAATGGTTTTATCGATCCATTCTCAAGTTATTAATTGACATAAATCTGTAAATCTTTGAACCAATCAAAAGCAAATCTATTTTTTTCTATGCATCTTAATAATAATAATCATAATAATACACCAACAATAAATAACATGGAATAATTTTCAAACTATGGAAAAATGTTAAAATTTAACTTACAAAAATTGTATCATTTATTACCGAGCAAACTTCAACAACACTTTCATCTTATCAATAAACGTTTATTCTATGCATGTCTTGCTGAACTAATCGGTACATTCATTCTAATGACCATTGGATTAGGTACAATGATTCAACGTATCTTAAGGCATCATACAAATGAACATTATAAATTACACTTGGGAAATGTTCCCACTGGTTGGTCAATAGCATTTCTATTATCTCAAACTATCATTACTCCATTTGGTTGTGGTATAATGAATCCAGCGATGACATTCTCTTTAGCGATTATTAATAAAATACCATTTAATTATGTTTTACCATTTACTATTATTCAATTGATTAGTTCATTTGTATCAAGTTTATTGATTTATTTCATTTATTATAAAAGTACCATGGTGGAGAAACATATGAATTTGATATTTTTCAATCAATTCATTCCAACACCGTCTGCATCGCATTATGTATGCTTTATTGATCGTTTAGTGTTGACTGCCATTGCAACTGTATTTGTTTTATTGATTCGTGATGAAAGAAATGAATGTGTACACAAAAGTTATCGATTAATTTATGTTGCACTATTTACAGCTGGTCGAATTGGTGCTTTTTCAATGAATGCTGGCACATCGATTAATCCAATACGTGATTTAAGTCCAAGAATAGTTTTAGCTTTATGTGGTAAGTTGATGCAGTGTTGTTATCAGATATATTCATTTGAAAATATACATTTGCTGATAAATTATGATTAAAAAACAATTATTAAAGGTTTGTAATGGTAGTTTGTGGAGAAAATTCAACATATTTAACATTGAATTCCGATAAAGTACTATTCTTCGATACAATACAACATACAACAACTATATCACACTTGATTGAGAAACTTTGGAAGACCTAGAAATGTTTAGATACTCAAGGTGAATCTGATGCAGAAGTGAAAACACGGATCAGCAAAACAAGGGCAATATTTCTACAAATGAAGAACATCTGAAACGCATATTAACTCTCAACTAATATCAAAGTCGAGATTTTTAATCTGAACGTCAAGACAGTTTTATTGTATGGAGCGGAAACTTGGAGAACTACAAAAGTCATCATCCACAAGAAATAGATGTTTATTAACAGTTATCTACGCAAAACAATCCACATTTGTTAGCTAAACATTATCAGAAACAATCTACTGTGTGACTGAACAAACTGGATTCCAGCTGAGGAAAAAATTAGGAGAAGCATTGGAGGTGGATAAGACTGATTGTGGAAATCACGCAGCTATATCACAAGGCAAACCCTCAATTACAATCTTCAAGGCCAAAAGAAAAGACTTAGACCGAAAAACATATTACGCTCAGGAATGGAGGCAGAAATTAAAAGAATGAACAGCAGTTGGGTGGAACTGGAAAAGAAAGTGTAGGACAGAGTAGGCTGAAAAATGCTGATCAGTGGCCTATGCTCCATCAGAGTGGTAACAGGCATAATCGAATATGCCTTAAACTAAAATCATGGTTTGTAAAACTGACACTATTGAAAATTAATAACGAAATCCTTACATTTAGTAACTTTGTTTGAAGGGTTGACGATTGATATAATCATCATTTGACTTAAACAGTATTAACAGGTTTCCGTAAATAAGCAAATTATTGGTAGTAATGAAATCTAGGAATCGTTTCTTGTCCTATTTAGAAACTGTCCACTGATTATATCTTTAGGAATTAATTGCAGACAGATGAAGCGAACTCCTAGCCTATCGAACATGGAGACTTGACTTGGCCCATGTCAGAACAAGTAGGATGATTGGCTTGATAATATATATATGTTTCTAAAATGTAAATTAAGGCAGTTAGTGTTTGAAAAAGGCCGAAATTAGTACAGTCTATTAGAGAAGAAAAGAAGTTATATAAGAACCATACCGAACAGTGACCGGTGAACAAGAAAAATGAGTCAACCGATTTAACATTGTTCATAACAAACACTAAAGATTATGATTGGTGAAAAGGTGAGGCATAGTCATGCAAGGTCTACATGGTAGTGAAGATGTAACACTACAGTTGGTGGGTTTATCTGTTAATCACACCTTAAATCATCTGTAACCCAGTGTTGGTAATCACACTCAAACTTGAACCCAGTACGTGTCGCTACAAGAACCATTTTTGAACCACTGAGCTTAGGTAGGCAGCTTTAGGTAGCTGCCAACCTGCTCAATTGGCATGTTCTTTAAATAATTACTCGTGACAGCTTGAGTTATCCTGTGGTTGATTCACACAGGACCAAACTCTTGTATTGTATAGCACTACTTGCCACAATTCGATGACACATGCCTAATAAATTGATCAATTTGAAATTTGTATGAAGTAAGACAATCATTATCTCAAATGTATTATTCACATAAATTGTTTTCGTTTGTAATATCGCATGGAACTGAAAATAGATTCATTCGTTCAGTGATTTAGATAATTTTGTTTAATGATACTCAATTAGTCAAAACAACTAGATAGAAAAAACACCATAAAAATAAAATTAATAGTAAGAAAATGTACTATTTACTTTAATTATTAGTAGTATAGCTCTGTGTATAATTTTTTTCTCAGTTTGTGATAAATTAAGTAAACTGTTAAAATATCAGATGTCTTTAATAAAAAAGATTAGTTGATTTTTTAACCTGAACTGTTGAATGCATAATCAATAAAAGTAGTAATAATATGGATCTTTTAAAAATCTATGCAGATAACGCTAGATCGTGGTTACATTTCAATCATTCAGTCAAATTCAACGTAGAACTTGGTACATATACACATCGGTTCAGTTTGTCATACTCCATCAATACAATGTGATAAAATCAACACGGTAAATCCTAGAGTATTAGGAGTAACAGAAAAAATTGGTCATCTAGGATATAACTCGTGAACAAGTTTGTAAATTACGCAATGAAATCATTAATCAATCATTGTTAGACTACCATTAGAAACCTAAAAAAGCACTGGACGGCCGCTTCATCCTGGTATGAGAGACTCATCAATGGTAGTGTGCATCCACGACCCTTGTTACTTGCAGGGTTCTAATCCGAGACCTTCGCTCTTCGCACGAACGCTTAACCATGGATGCCTACTTCTGATGAGTCCTATAACAGGACTAAGCGGCCGTTCAGTGCTTACAGGTTTCTAATGGTGGTCTAATAATGATTGATTGGTGATTTCAATGTGTAAAGTCACTGGTCACCGTAACTCTAATTGAAAAAATTGTAAATTAGTAAAATAATGAAGGAAATTTATCAGGAATTAAGATAGTTAATTCCATGTCATCTGAATTCTCCAGCCATTGGTAACGATAATCACGTAGACGACAACCAGATAGTATGCATCTGTCTATACTCTTCAATCCATCAACTTGTACTGAGGTATTCGGTGGATGAGCAAATATAATTCATGTCTCAACCGTCTCATGTTTAATTTGCTAATCGTTATTCTAGTAAGTCAAAACAAGAATGATTTATCAAGCTTGTGATTTGAGCTGATCTCTGCTATTGATTTAACAGTTTTAATGACGGTGAAATAATCTGTTTTTTTCACTTTAAGATTGTAGAGAATGTAGAGTTTCACTGAAATCATCAATCGATCATTGTTAGCACTCCATCAGAGACCTGGAAGCACTGGACGGACGTTCCTGATACCATGGAACTCATCATCAGCGAGCATCCACGACCCCGCATGCCAGAATCGAACGTAGGAACTTCGATCTCAACCTCCAGATCATTGAACCGAAAATCTGATGGTTTTAATGTCTAGATGCAACCAACTCAAAGTTTTCTGCAGCTTCATCCATTGTCTTCGGTGGATAATTGATAATTAATTACTTAAAGTGTTTATGCGGTTTGCGAATTCAGTAAATTAACAATTTTGGATGACCAGGTGATAATATAGGGCTAAGTTCGAGGGTGTGTTGCGATACGTTTAGTGAGAAGCCGTAAGCAGTGAAGTTCACCCATGTCTCAACTGTTAGGTAGTCAACATCAAACAACATTCAAGTTGACTGAGTAAAACTATGAATTATTTGGTGTAACATTTCTAAATCATTGAATCCTGACTCAATAGTACTTGTCCTGAGACTAAATGTTCTCACGTTCGGTCCCATAAATGCACGGTAAACCTGTCTTTCTGGCACTTATCTGGTTTGAATGGTTATTGTGCTAAGATCAGTTCGTAATATAGACTAATCACTATTAATTTAAACCATATATTTATAAATCTTTGATCACTCTAAGTCTTACAATTTTTACGATTTTTGTTCATTAAAGAATTAGGTTTGGATGCATTCAAAAAAGATCATTATTATTTTTGGATTCCAACCGTAGCACCATATATCGGTTCTATTATTGGTGCAATACTCTATGAAATAACAGTTGGTGCTTATTTAAATAAAAAATTAATGCGTAAATTAAACAAAACTATAACAATATCACAATCTCAATCGTCATCTTCTAGTATACATTCAATGAATTGAATTGTTAACACTTCAAATTATACCATTGAACAATTCAATGAATAATTTTTGTTATATAAAGTTAATCATCCTCTTTCTAGTATGAATGCACTTTTAGTTTTATTGCCATTTTGATTGGATAACATGAGCATAAAGTATGCGAATGATTCATTCACCATCTTACAGCTATCTGACCAATGACCTTCAGGCAACCAATAAAATAGCACGAATGACAATCCATAATGATCAGAATCTTGATTCATATTGATCTGATTAATCCCAAATTAGTCATTCGCGAGACAAATTTACCTTGTTTGAATAACCCCTCATTGTAAACCAAAGACTTATAGATTTATGATACATTAGTTAACATAGTATCACAATTATAGAAAATTTGTCCACAACTAGGTCATAAGTGATACAAAATGGAGTAATAAGTGAGTAACTTATTAACGGTAATTTAGGAAGCGTAAAACATACTTTCATGATTGCTCACTTCAATACAAGTTTCAGTAGTAAAATAAAGAAATCTTCTGATCTTTCATTCAATCAGTACATAAATGCCAAAGATTAAAAATGCAAGGCTTATCTGAAATAAAGAAAGTTATTACGAAAATGTATGAAATACACTAAAAACCCTAAATTCATGAGGTATCTCTGGTTTTCACAGTGTTGATATTCAGTCAAAGAAAGGTTATTCCTGAAATAGATACATAAAGTTATTTTCGAAAAAAATACGATATTCTGTGTAATTATATTAAAACTATGAGGGTGAACGATGATCAATAGCAGGAATGAGTGACACCAAAATAAAGACTGTTAAAACAACAGAGTTGTCCAATGAATACAGTAGAATTAAATATCAGTGATATAAACGTTAAGGGGATATAATTGTACCGATAAATAAACTGGACCTTAGTAGTCGATATAAATACTGGATGAATTTAACAACAGAAAAATATTTTACCAGAAATGCTCAAAAGTTATGAAGAATTGAATTTAGTTACTGATTATTTGTAAGTAGCATTATGCAATACATAAAAAAACGGAATCGGATAAGATAATTAGGAAAAATAAGCCTAAGCAGATTGAACTATACAATAAATGAATTACTCAATAATAATACCATGGAAATATTTGTACTGATTCACAGTTTAAGAGTTTAAAAGAATTTCATCCCTTCAAAATATTCATCACTATGAATTTACAATATCTGATTTCAAAAAAAAAGCCAAATTGCGCTTCTCATTGAAAAAATCGTTATTCAAAATATCCTACACTGCGTTTAATGAAGCATTGAGGAATATCACATTGATAATAGTAGTTAGAAATGATAGGAAGATGCTCTGTTCGATGAAAATTTCATACCAAGGAAAAAAACTCACTTTTTTATATGTTCAGTACAACTTGATGGTTGAGGTTAATCATGGTGTTTTTATTATTGAAGTAATGTGTTATATAAGACGATTCCGAGTATTTCTCGGTTCATTTATTGAGTGAATATTATATCTAAAAGTGTATTTTCAGTAAATATTTTATTTGAAACCGTAACTTTCAATATATTCGTGGTGACCAGTTCGCACATTGGACATCGAGAAGAGTTTACATCTATCTATCTATCTATCTATCTATCTATCTATCTATCTATCTATCTATCTATCTATCTATCTATCTATCTATCTATCTATCTATCTATCTATCTATCTATCTATCTATCTATCTATCTATCTATCTATCTATCTATCTATCTATCTATCTATCTATCTATCTATCTATCTATCTATCTATCTATCTATCTATCTATCTATCTATCTATCTATCTATCTATCTATCTATCTATCTATCTATCTATCTATCTATCTATCTATCTATCTATCTATCTATCTATCTATCTATCTATCTATCTATCTATCTATCTATCTATCTATCTATCTATCTATCTATCTATCTATCTATCTATCTATCTATCCACACATCTATCTATCTATCTATCTATCTATCTATCCACACATCTATCTATCTATCTATCTATCTACACATCTATCTATCTATCTATTGTTTTTAATCATAACACCCTTTAAAGTAACCTTTGGATATTCTTCAACTTTCGGTATCATTTTATAATCAACTCAAAAAATTTCTATTACATTAACATAAACTATAATTTGTAAAATAATCATAAATATAACTGTACTAAGAAAGATAATCCACTCTCGTCAACTTTATACTTTTTTGTAATCTTTACACTATCTTGATTAATGTATAAGAAGTGTTTTAATAGGTGTTGAACAATATAGAATCAATCCAATCGTGATATACATCCATGGCCTAACAGGAGATTGACGCCAGAATCCTCGACCTCTTGAGCAAACACTTAATCTCTAGGAATGCTTAGTGTACATGTCTAATTTTAACCGATTCACTACAAAGCCTAACCATCTTTGATGATCTTCAGCAGATCGTTAGCTACCTCATACCTTATATGTTCGAACTCTGTTGGTCACGATATCTCACTATAATTCAGAAAATAATCTCTCAAAATTAATGACCAGTGAGCATGTGGTGCGCGCTACTTATAAGTAGTTTATGACGCGAGTGAAAACGTAATGTCTGGCAGCAGAAGATGGGGGAAGATCAAGAAAGGAAGAGTTACAACACAATGGAATTCGTATGAAACGCATGAATAGTGAAATCTCGGACAATGGATTGACGATGGATTGAAGATTTGCAAATTAACGGTTTACGATACGGTTTTACTGAGTAACTCTGTAATTTTCGCTAACTACAATTCGGTTGCCCTCGCCTGTGTTCTCCTTCACTACAAGCACACTTATCAATAGTATAGAAATTTGTGGATATTATTGAAGTTAAACATCCACACTATTGCTTTGTAGCTGAACGATTTAAAATGTAAGCGTTCATCATTGTATGTCACAGTACTAGGTTCAACCTCTGATAAGTAGGTTGTAGATGTACAAAAATATTTCCTAAATAATCTGTAATTAATAAAAAACAGTTGTTCAATGCTTCTTAACTTTTCAATTATCAATTTATACATATCACTAACATTCATTTATTTATCTTCACAAACCACCAAACTATTTAACTGTTCAATATTCAATTCACCATTTACACTGTATTGCAAAAAAAGTTTCAAACATTATGAAAAACAGATGTTTAAACATACGAATAAATGGAAGAAAAATAACTAATAAACAGATAATTTACTAAGTAATAATAGCAATAATCTTTTGTCCTATAATTCTACATTTCATATTATTTCTCTTATTGTCAATTGTCAAAATGCAAATCTGCTTAAATAACATAAATGATGCAATATTGTACTTTGAACGCACAAAAAAGAAATACTGATATACATATATATAGATATATATATATGATTTTTCAGGTTGGTATCATATCTAGGAAATTATCTTTTTTTTCTCGATCTAAATCTCATTTTTCTTAAACATCAAATTCTGTCCATAATTTAGTTTAGTCAAATCAAATAATGTTTTGTTTGAATAGAGGCCATAAAACATAAAAACAAAATCCACATCAAAATCAGTTAGTTTATTGTGTGTGTGTGTCTGTGTGTGCGTGTGCTACAGTAACTTCAATTCGAAAACAACTTCATTTGACTAACTTTGTTTCTCTTACATTCTTAATTATGCTATACATTGATGTATTCTTTTTCTTTTTTGTTGTTCAATAATGACATTCGTTGTTTGAATGGTTTAAAAGTAGTTTACATAGAGTATTTTTTATTTTGAAGGGAAATATCTATTTCTGCCATTTAATTATTATTATTATTATTATTATTACACCATTTACAACAGAACTATGATCACTGAAATCATGAATCAATCATTGTTAGACCACCCAATTAGAAACCTGAAATCAGTGGATGGCCATCACATCCTGGTGGGCGGCCAAAACAAAACATGGCAGAAATCCATGAAGTCATTGACGAGTGGACTTAGCTATGTCGGTAATTGTCGACTACCTGGTTGGGGTTCGCGAGATGATAATAATCGATGGTTAGAGACCTTGAATGACATGGCTCAAACCTGTTTGCAATGGCGCCGGTGCATTTATTCTTTGTGTTCTCTCAAATCCTAATCTTCTGGATTCTTCAATACCTCTAGTTTTGACTTTCTAAACTTTTCTCATTTAATCATACTTCTTGAATAATATCTTCTGATCCTAATCTCTCTGATTACTTCTAATACCTTAACTACCTCTTCTACTATTGGATTAGAATTGACAATTACATCTCTGTGCTGATGTGGTATGGCAACATGAACTGATGTACTTACTGTTAGATCCCCAAAATTCGCTTGATAATGCCGTATTTCGGTTTTCACGTTCGCCAGCAGGGGCTGATCAAATGACCTTGAGATTTCAATTCCCACCAGGAAAATCAATGGCTGTGATTGGCTACAGTGTATTTTAGTATGCTATTTTCTTAACTGTCTCAAGGACGTTGTTATGTTGTATAAATAAACGAGAGTTGTATGCTTGATTGTACTGGGATTGCTGGGTGCTTGTAGAATATACTTCTACGCCTACAAAGTCTTCTATTTCGATTCTGGGATTCAGGGTAGCCTTCCTGGAAGCTGGTAAAAGTCTCGTTCGCGTTTATCGACTAAGGTAAACTCGTAATAGCCTCAAGCATCCTAAGTGACGAACTTATCAGTGGCGACGGGGCTCACAATTCACAATGTCAATTAATCTTGAACAGTTAGAATCTTTACTGGAACGTCAAGGTAAACGATATGAACAGTTCCAGGAACGTATGTTGGAGCTGTTAATGAAACAAATGAATTTGAACGCACGAGATTGTTCGTTTTCTGAGACTGTTCAGACTTTAAGCCAACACTTTGGAGACAACTCGTCACTATTTAATACTCGTTATCGATGTTTGAAGCTTATTATGAACGAAGATGATGATTTTCTTACGCACGTGGGCATCGTCAACCGTGAATGCGAACGCTTTCGGTTGAAGTCTTTGTCGGAAGACCAGTTCAAAGCCCTCATTCTCAT